GTAAGATTGGAAGAAAAAAAATAGAAAAAAAGTAATTTCACATTAATTTGACATGCTTGAAATTTGCTACAAGATAACGTATTTTTTTATTTTTTTTTATTTATTTTATTTATTTTTATTTTTATTTTTATTCTTTTTTTTTGATTTTTTTGATTTTTTTTATTTTTTTATTTTTTTATTTTTAATTTTATTTTTATTTTTTTTATTTTTATTTTTTTTTTATTTTATTTTTTTTTATTTTTTTTAAAAGACTAAATGCTCCAAGTCCAAAATTTTGATGAAATTTGTCACCAATACAGAATAATTTTTTCCAAGCCATATCTGAGATTTCTAGCTGTGGCTTTTGAAGAAAAAAACCGTGATTTTTCCCCAAAATTCGAAAAAAAAATAAAATTTTTTTTTTCAAATTTTGGCATGAAAATTTCCCCTCCTGTTTCTACTAGTCCTTCCGTAAAGTCGCTGGAATGATTTCGGCGACGCGCACTGTGCAAGAAAACTCAGGGTGCGAGCGACAGCTCGAAAAAGCTTATTGCACAGTGCAAAAAGCCAAAAATTGCACAGTGCAAAGTGAACTTTCGTTTTCGCGGAGTGCATGTCGCCGAAAACATTCCAGCGACTTTACGGAAGGACTAGTACTGTAGAGTGTAATGTTTCCACAAAAAATCATTTTTTTCCGCGCGAAACTGGCAAGGATATGGCCGAAAACTGTCCTCTTTTCTCTGACCGCACTCCAAATTTTGCGTACTCTCTCCTCGATCGTTGAATATCTCGGCGCTCCCTGCAAAGCGCGAGCTCAAACTTTCAGGCATTGATACGTAGTCTATGCACTACATGTGTGCAAAACTTGAAAAAAATTGGAGCGTCGCACTTCAAGCACTTCCCTTCTAAAGACAAATATCAGTCCAGTCTAAAGTAAGGTCCAAAAAACAATTCCTCCTATCATTTTGCAGCTTCAAACTACTACATGCAGCAGAATAAACAGCTCTTGTGCTGGACCCGTCGCCCGCACACGCTGCCCTCTTCTCTGAACCCTGACATTTCGATGTGTACACAGACCTGTGAATTTTCCGTTTTTTTTGCGTTTTTTGGAATTTTTTGTACCTGTCACACACAGAATATGACTAAAACATTTTGTCAGGAGTCCGTCGGGATGTTACGTACGGAGCAACGAAATATGAAAAAGGATTACGGTAGGGTTTTGGGTAAAAATGAAAAAAAAAATGATTTTTGATGTTATACTAGGCAAAAAATCGATGCTACGCTTGAATTAAGTGCTGGATGAGGATGTTACTTTCCCCACAGATGATAAATGACATAATAAACATTTTTGTAAGCTATTGTAAATTGATAGGATTACTGTAACATACCGGAAATCTCAGTTTTCGGCCAAAGATGGGGGTAAAATCAATATTTTTGCTAAAATTGTTTTGCAAATCGCAGTCAAATCAGCTGAAACCTTCCATATTTACTCTACACAGTATGCTAAACAATTTTGTAAGCCACTTTAACTTGATAGGATTACTGTAACATACCGAAAATCTTAATTTTCCACAAAAAAATGGGCTAAAATTAATATTTTCGTTAAATTTTTTTACAGGGTGTACCAAAAAAATGGAAACTTTTTTTCATGGGTCCTGACGCAAAAATGGTTAGGTGTAGCCAAAGAGGTTTATTACCACAAAATTCTCTGTGTTTTTCTGTCATGGTGTTTTGATTTTTACGCCCATATCGATTAATCGACCTGTCTTTTTTGAACTTCAAACGAAGGGACCTTGATTTTGGACTTGTTTTTGGAGCTGTTCGAACAGTTAATTTGCTCGGTATAGAAAGAACGTTGTGTCGAAAGTAATCACGCGGCGCAAGGAGCTTGGTACGGATAGTAAGCGCCCAGGAAGTTAAAGAAAAACGCACCGCCACCGATTCTTTCAACCGGGAGATCCTCAACAGCAAAATCGGCGATTTTCAAGAATAACTTGCCCTTGAGACTGACATCAGCGACCGATCGGTCGGCCGAATAGCCAAAGACGAGCTCAACCTCATGTCATACAAGCTCTAAAAAATTCAGATCTTTAAAGCCGAGAGGAAGTGCGTACGGCGCAAAAATGTCGGAAAGTCAAAGGGGCGGGCCGCAGCTCCGAGACGTGAGCGCATTCAGTTCGCGGTTCAATATTTAGCGGATCCACAGCCACCAGAACGATAGAATCTGCTTCAATGAGGCTCCTAGCCTGTTGGGCATCGTCGAATACCGCCAAAATCCGGGCCGTCATTGCTTAGGGCGGAATTTGTGCCAGCGGCAAGAATTCCATGTTTTTCGTGAATCAATGGGGCAAAATACAAGCGCCGCGTTAATTTCTATTTTGGCGTGCTTCCGTGAGCTCAGAAGAACCTTGGCAATGCAAACTTAGCGTTTCAACAGGACTCAGCGCCGGCTCACAAGGCAAAATCAACTCAGGACCCGAAATGGGACCGATTTTCCCGATTTTATCCCGCCTGCGAAATGGCCGCCTGCTCGTCAGGTCTGAATCCAATGGACTATATATTTTTTTAAATAGAAGGCCAGCACCTGTACTATGCTCCACAAAAGTTTGGAGTCGCAAAGTAAATGATGCGCCAAGAACGGGACCGATTTCCCCCTAAAAAGCTGCGGCCCGGACCCCAAAATTTTACGTCACGTTTGGAGCTCTATATCGCCACCAAAGGCAGCCACTGTGAAACAGGTTGAACATGTTATAAACAATGCTCTATGTTACCAATCATGACCGTTACTTTTGCTGAATTTTGATTCTCCGAAAAAATATAGCTATAAAAACAAGTTTCCATTTTTTTGGTACACCCTGTATAAGCCCCCGTAAAACTAGCTGAAACTTTCTACAATTACTCTAAATAGCATGCCATACAATTTTGTAAACTACCGTACATCAATAGGGTTACTGTAACATACCGAAAATCGCGATTTTCCACAAAAAATGGGCTAAAATTCATATTTTCGTTAAAATGTTTTTATAAACCCTTGTAAAACTAGCTGAAACCTTCCATATTTACTCTACATAGCATTCTAAACAATTTTGTAAGCCACCTTAAATTGATAGGATTGCTGTAACATACCAAAAATCTCAATTTTCCACAAAAAATGGGCTAAAATTGATATTTTTGAAATTTTAAAGTATCAAAAAGTATCATAAACCCCATAAAATCAAAAATGCATGCTCTTCGCTCCTTTCGCAAGATATTTCCTCACTTCCGCGATGGAGAGACATGTCGATACACAATCAACTATGCCCGTATTACCCATGAGACGCACTAAATTAATATAAAATTTGATACAACCGCCGCATTTCCAATAATGTTTACGTTGGTTATTGATGCTGCTACGATGTCTGTGTATATGTGCGAAATTTGTGGGTGTCAAAATAATGATTTATGGGAAAATTAATTTTTGTGCGGGAAAATACGGTAATTTTGGGGGGAAAATGCTAAAAATGAGGTGAAATACGCTCAGTAACTGAGTAAATATAGCGTACAATGGGCTATAATTAACTTTGATATATCAGTTGAGGCTTGAACGATCTTGGAAATTCAGTTTTTGCTGATTTTTCTCAAAATTTGAGCAAATTTTCGCCAAAAAATGACAAAACGCAAAATTTCATTGAAATTTCAAAGCAATTCCATCATTCCAAGGTAAAATAAGGACTTCCAAATCGTACACCATCTCAGGCTAGGCTTCTAAGCCCGTTAAATTTGCAGAATCAACCAAATTTTTATATTACACTAGGTCAAATTGATGTCATCGTGGGAAATACCTCCTATATGATGCTCATAACATAGTTGTATGTGCTGTAGAGTAAGCTTAGTTCATCAAAAGTAATTTCCAAGTGTTTGTAGACCTGATATGCAACGTATTTTACCTTTATTCTATGGTTTATCCCACATTTTAGCTCAAAATCATCATTTTCCCCGAAAAATAGCCAAAAATACCTCCTCTATGATGCTCATAACATGGTTATATGTGCTCCAGAGAAGCTTAGTTAATCAGAAGTAATTTACAACTATTTCGACAGATGACTTGCATCGTATTTTACGTTTATTCTAAGTTTTATCTCAATTTTCCCCCAAAATCATCATTTTTCCCCCAAAAATAGCCAAAATCCGGTATTCAAATTACTTTTACCGCCAACCTATGTCATTCCCATTGTTTGTCATCTATTTTCATCCGTCTATCATCCCTTGCCGTCTTCATTTCCCCTCATTTCCCCCTACTCTCCCGGTTTTTCGCGCTATTTCGTTGATTTCTTCGTTTCTAATCCCCACCGTCGCAAGTCCCGCCCCATTTCTTGGGCCAGAAATCTTTGCGTGGGTTCGTGGCCGGATTTTTGTCGCGCCCCGGGAAAATTGAGTGCGAGGGGTGGGGCCAGCGGCGAATAAAACACTCCGACCGGGCGCCCGACCCCTGCATTTCAAGGGCTCGCGGCGCGCCCTGCGAAATTACTGTGGTTGATTTGAGGGGTTTAATAGATTGCTAGGGACTCAGTAGGAGTATTAGTAACCTCAAAGTCAAAGGTTTGACATATGGCATCAACTTTTTGATGATTTAGATAGCAGCTGGTCTAGTGTAATATAAGCTCATTTTTTTGGCAAACTTGGCGTTTTAGACTGTTCTACCTTACTAATCACTATTTCGTATGGCTTGAATTTTTTCTTACATCGTATTTTACCCCCAAAAATTTCCGTTAAGCTATGTTTTTCTCCATTTTTCCCCAAATTTCCTCAATTTTTCCCAATTTTCCCAAATTTTCCAACGAAAAATCGTTTATAAAAACAACCCATTGATACTATCGGATGTTCAGTGTATTATACAATATCGAGGAACTTGAAACCCCGTATTTTAACCCCAATTTTCCCTGGTTTTCACCGTCTTTCCCATAAAAATCGCGATTTTTCCCAGAAAGTCTTTAATCTCCGCCAAATTACAGCTTCAAACTTTGGTCATTACAGCTGGAAACATGAACGCAATGGAGAGCGTGTTCCTGGCCATCGTCGCCTTTGTTGCCTTGTCAGTGCAGGCCGCGCCGGCGGCGCCATTCCAACCAAACGCCCTAAAACTGGGAGGGAACTACGACTTCACTCGGTAATTTCGCTTACAATTCTATTTGGATGATCCTGTAAAACTTTCCAAAATTTCCCAAGAGTACTATGAACCCAAACACATCTAATGACATGCCTAACAACATTTATGTTCGCTGTTTTCGAGCGCTAGAAACAGTTTTTACGTGAAAATCTAATTTTATCGCACAACTCGTCATTATTTTGGGTTTTCGTCAACGTACAGTAGCGGCAGTGTATTTTTCCGCCTCCAGCGGCATCTGCAATTGCATGAGAGGCCGGGAGATAGTAAAGCATATCCGTTATTTATTGCTGTCGTGGTCGGTTTCACGCATTCCCTAATTAAAGTCGAGTCCCAAAAATATCAAGATAATTAATTAATCAGATGGTCCGGTGAGAAGCTGGATGAAATGCTCACGCCTAAGGGCCTAAATAAACAGCACAGAGAATACGAAGGCTTACAATAGCATAGCATAGCGACTAGAAGCGTTTTAGGTTGCTTTAGTTGGGTCTGAAGCTCAAAAAAGTTTTCATCGTATAACTTGTCGCCTTACGCGTAAATTAAAAATTCATTTAGTGAAGTTGAAACTAGAACTCTCAGGCTTTTTAAAAATGTATAGATTGTATTTCTCTCATCTGGATTACTGTAGCAAAACCACTTTCTCTTATGATGTCTCCGAAAATCAAAACAATTATTAAAAATCTCGGATTCTCCCCAAATCTACGTCGCATCGACTAGACACTGTAATCCGACGCTAATTTATTGACTCTACAATAAATAACCAGCGTAATCGGATGCCTCCCGAGTGGCCACACGTCGCGCTTTTGCAGCCAAAATAGCTGCCCTCGAATTCGGGACCTCAAGGGAAAATTGGGGGGGAGAAAATCCGGCTCCCACCCACCCGTGCAGATAAGCTATTTGTGGTATTGCGGATTACTCAGCCGTAACATCCGCATCCTGAACGGAGCTTGGGCTTTATAAGGCAATTAAATCGGGTATTCAAGAGTTGTAGGGCTGGGAAACGATGGTGAAGCGGATTACAAGGCGATTTAAGGATCTGAATAGCCTTGAAGTTGTGTCAAATGAGCTTTATATGATGCTGTATGTCATAAGCTTTCTGGGCAACAGATTTGAGCGAATGAATTTAGCCTTATAGAGGCTTAAATCCGCTGAAATTCCCCGAAAAAGCGGAAAACCCGCGCTAAACCCGGTTTCTGATCGGATTTCGGGAATTAGCCGCAATTACTGGTACCACCAGCCCGATTGCTGTTTACAAACCGCCTTAAGGACAAAGCCGAATCCACAATTCGCGGAAATGGAGCCGGCGAAAATTAATTGGATCCACTAATTGGAGTTTCTTCGGCTCCAATTTGAGACCTTTAAGGAAATGCGAGGCCGGCACTAGAGTACAGTACTCATCATTTTTGGACTCTAACTAAGCCTCCGGATACAATGAAACTTGTTTTTCCGGGAAAAAATTTGACCAAAATTTTTGATTTTCATTTTTTTTATTTTTTTCGTTTTCAGATACTACTTCAACCCACAGAAAAGAGATGGTGTGCAGCCATTCAACGCCGCACAATGGGCTCTTCCACGTCAGCTGGCACCAAAATTTAAACGGTAAGAAAATTTTTTTTTAATTTTTAAAAAAATTTCAAATTTAAAATTTTTTCGTATTTTAGAAATTTTTTTTATGACAAAGAGGTAGTTTGGAAGCATTACGTATTTTACAAAACAAAATTTCCAACACACAACGCCAAATTTTTGATTTTTTGCACAGTGCAATTTCGTAGGCTTTTTTGCACTATGAAATCGCACCGTGCGGAAACCTCAATTTTTGTTGAAAAACCCGGTAAAAATACGATTTTAAAATTGAAAAACAAAAAATATGTCTTCTAAAATACGTCTACATCTGATACTTCAATTTTGTCATCTAAAATACGGATTTTTAAAATTTAAAAAATCCGTATTTTAGGCCGGAAAATTTTTAAAAAAATAGCAGATAAGTTGTCTGCCTCGTATTTGACCCCAAACAATTGATATTTCAACTTTTCTCTTCTAAAATACGGATTTTTAAAAATTTAAAAAATCCGTATTTTAGGCCGGAAAATTTTAAAAAAAAATAGCAGATAAGTTGTCTGCCTCGTATTTTACCCCAAACAGTTGATATTCCCACTTTTTTCATCTAAAATACGGATTTTAAAAATTTTAAAAATTCCGTATTTTAGGCCGAAAAATTTTAAAAAGTTGCATGCAAACCTTGTTTACCTCGTATTTTACCCCCAAACAATTTTTTCGCTTCAGATTCGACACCTACTTGCCCAGCGACAAGCGTCTGGACGGCGACTCGATCGACCAATTCTACATGCAACTGGGCCGCCTGCGGCCGGGCCGTCTCGAGTGGAATTTCAATCGGCTTTGAGGAGGAGCAGTCCTCTACTCATGGAGAAGAACATTCTGTGAATTGGTGTGGACGGTCTGAGTTCTCTATACTATGCACATAATTTCGACAAGTTTTTGTCGTTTTTTTGTAAATTTCATATTGTTGTACGATGTCTAGTTGTCAGAAATTCAGAAAAGTCTTCGCAGATCCTGCGGTTTGCCCTACAAGTTGTTATGAACGCCATTTTGAAGGGTTTCAGCGAGTTTTTGACCGAATTTTGCGAAAAATAGTGAAAAATTGAGGAATTTTGTGGAATTTTTGCCATAACCGATAAAATAGAGATGTAAAAAGACTATTTTTATTGTCTCAACAACACTACGGGGTCTGTAACGTCTAAATACACCTATTTTACTATCAAAATCTCCTATATTTCATCAAAATTTAGAGATTTCCGAGAAAAAGTCATCAAATTTGATGATGATATAATTTTCGCCTCAAAAATCGCTGAAACTCCCTTCAAATCGCCTTGAAACTCCATCAGCATGTCTTCCATGACATTTGTATTCAAATTGCAATCTCCGAAGACCACTAATTAATTTATTTTTTCCATTTTTTCCAAAATTTTTCACTTTTTTTCCGAATTTTTTCACTTTCACCATCCAATATTCAGTCTAGCGATCTCTCACTCTCTCTCCCCCCAACCAGCAAAGCCAACGGATTCGAATTCAAAAAAGCACACTCCTCAAGTTCGCCTCTTTTGTTCTTGTTTAGTTACTATTTATTGTTACCATGTGTATATTTATAATAACGTAATAAAATTGAAAATTGTACAAGAATCGAATTTGAGGAGGTGTGTGTGTGTTTTCGATTCGATATGTAAAGTTTTAAAATAAATTTTAAACCAAAACGGGAAATATCGGATAATTTGGGAAAGCGGACGGTAAATGGTAAGATATTGGTCTTTGGATTACTGGAATTGTAAATTCGGATACTGCATGAGCATGCAACCCGTGTTTTTGGCGCTGTAAACAAGTTGTTTGGCATTTCGTGGCATGCAGAGGGAGATTAAACCGCACAGTGCAGACGTTTTCCAAAAAAGTAAAAATCTCGTTGCACAGTGCAGGTTTTATATCAAAATTTTTAGGATCGAAACTTTACATCATGTGTATGTTATGACGTACAGTAATCATTCTTTACTGTTTGGACAATGTCCGCAATGAAAAACTAAAAAGTTCGACCGCACAGTGCAGTCAAAAACAAGAAATACCTATTTTTTTCTGCACAGTGCAGATTTCGCCTCAAAATTTTTACTGTGTAAACAACTATCAATACACTTATTAGCAAGCCTAGTATCTTTTTTCAATCAAGCAACTGCAATAAATAATAAAAAACTAAAAAATTGGACCGCACAGTGCAGTCAAAATCAAAAAATGTGAATAACTCTCTCCATAGTGCCGTCTACCCTCAAAATTCATATCATCACAATTACTGACAATACCTTTTTCATTGCTTAAGACATTTTTCTTCAAGCGCATATTACACTTCTTCAATAAATCATCAAAAAAATTGGCTTGCACAGTGCAAAAAAAACTTTTTTTGAAATTCGCACTGTGCAAAAATCCCGTAAGATTTTATTTAACGAAGTAAAATAAAAGTTTAAAAATGAAAACCAACCCGCGACATGTCGCTTCGGCGTCCCTCCAAATGGATTTGTGCTGAGTCTGATCACTGGCCTGGGCAAGATCCCAGTGTTGGTGAGGTTCACCTTGGACAGGTCGTATACCCAATCCGCAATGACGATGGGGCATTTCTGGAAGATATATATAGATGTAGACTGGTTGTGAGATGTAAGATGTAAATAAAAAAAAATTTTTTTTTTTTTTTATTTTTTTTTTTTTTTTTTTTTGAAAAATGATAATATTTGATACTACACTCTGTAAAAATAATTGTAAAATTTTTTATAACTAGTTACAGTAATTTTTAGCTCCAAAAAAATTCAATTTTTGGCAAAGTTTTTCAAAAATTTTTGCAAATTTTTTCCCCCAAAAAATCACCCAAATTTCCCACAAAATCCTCCTCCAAATCCCACTCTCTTACCTGCACATCATACGGGAACGCAGTAAAATCAAACGAGCACGTCACATGGAAAGTAAAAGCCCCAATGGCGCTCACTTTGCCCGTCGAAGTGACCGTCGCCGGCTGCCCATTCATGTACAGATACCAGCTGTTCGTCTTGGCCGAGTTGTAGAGCGCAAACGCGGGCTGCCAGATCTTCCACGGCTGAATGGTGATCATGTCGACGTTGGACCAGTTTTTCGGGTCCCAGGTCAAGTATTCGTCCTTCCATTGGGCCCACAGCATCCCGTGGACGATCATCGTTTGCTCGTCCTGGTTCTGAAAGGTCGTAAAAATCATTTTGGGAAAGGCTGAAAAGAAGTTTTAGGCAAGTAAAATAAATTTTTTCACAGTGCAAATTCATAAGGTTTTTTGCACTATGAAACTGCACTGTGCAAAGTCATAGGGTTTTTTGCACTATGAAACTGCACTGTGCAAATTCATAAGGTTTTTTGCACTATGAAACTGCACTGTGCAAATTCATAAGGTTTTTTGCACTATGAAACTGCACTGTGCAAATTCATAGGCTTTTTTGCACTACAGAACTGCACTGTGCAAATTCATAGGGTTTTTTGCACTACGAAACTGCACTGTGCAAATTCGTAGGGTTTTTTGCACTATGAAACTGCACTGTGCAAATTCATAGGCTTTTTTGCACTACAGAACTGCACTGTGCAAATTCATAGGGTTTTTTGCACTACGAAACTGCACTGTGCAAATTCGTAGGGTTTTTTGCACTATTAAACTGCACTGTGCAAAGTCATAGGGTTTTTTGCACTACGAAACTGCACTGTGCAAAAAAATTTTTTTGGAAAAATTGATAAAATAAAGTGAAAATCAAAAAAAAAATAAAAAAAATCGAAATTCGTACTGTAGTAAAACATCAAAAAAACAAATTAAAAAAAAATAATTATTTTGAAAAATTATTTCGCGAGCTGCGCCCTAGATAAAATAAAAAAAAAGTTTAATAAACTCACAGATAATTTTAAAATACGATAGCCTCCATACCTTTTTCAAAAATCATCCCAAAAAATCAAAAAAAAATTCCCGACCTGCGCCCTACACTTACGACTTCTTCAATATGATTTATCACAATGAACGCTTTCACAGTTGTAGTCGTTGACTCTCTCTTCACAGGACGATGTCTTCGCTCATATTTGGCCATCAGCGTCTTCTCCAGCTGTCGATTACTGGTCGGACGAGCGGTGGAAACCAAGGCAATTAGAAGGGTAAAAAGTAGGACGATCAAGCCGAGCTTGGCCATTGTGAAGCTGAATTTTTATCAGTCGGCGACCGGATTTTAAAAAATTTTAATTTTCTTTTCGCCAAAAGAAAATTTCGCGACAACTGCATTGTGCAAAAAAGAAATTTTTCTCTCCGCACAGTGCAAAACCCCAAGGATTTTTTGCACTGTGCGGAATTAAAATGAAAACTTCGCACTGTGCGAACAAACACACAACTCGATTTGCGACAACTGCACCGTGCAAAAAAAAATAAAATTTTCTCCGCACAGTGCAAGACCCCAAGAATTTCTTGCACCGTGCGAAATAAAAATGAAATTTTTGCACTGTGCGAACAAACCCAATTTGCGACAACTGCACTGTGCAAATGAAAACAAAAATTTATCTGCACGGTGCGCCAAAAAACTAAACAACTGAAAACTTATTGCACCGTGCAAAACGATTTTTTGATCATGCACAGTGCGACAAAAATTTAAATTTCGCACCGTGCGCCAAATTTTACGTTTGGCACAGATCGAAATTTCAAAATCAAAAAATTAGCAACTGAAATACGACAAAAAAAAATTGATTGAAGCCCTCCAAAAATCGATAAAATGGCCGAGAGCGTTTGTTTTATTAAATTCCCGATATAAACAAACCATTCGTTTTCGGGGTTTCGCATTTTTCCGCGGAACCTGATCCGATTGCATTTTTGGGAGGGCGTAAACAAATCAGTGGGACCTTGATTCATTGTAAAATACGCCTGACATCCCTTAACCTTTTAAAAAAATATTTAAATTTGGCTATTTCACAAGGAAAGTACTTATATGGAGTATGGAGTTACAGGTCGAGAAATATATCAAAAAAATCGCAAAATTTTTCTAATTCAGAATATGTAAAAATTAGCTGCCAACTTTCGGTTTGTAAGGGCGAAAATACCCTCACAAGGGAATGGACTTTATGTGTAAATCGATTTTGGCTTGGGACCTGGTCAGGTCGAAAGGTGTGTGGTAGTCGATTATTCACTTTGGGGGAAATCTCTGCGCGGGGCTTCAAAGCCGAGAAAATCGGCTTCAAAGTTTGGACGAAAATCAAAGGATAGGGATCCCGGAAAAGGAGCAATAAAAAGTGTGAAGCAGTGGCCGAGTGGTCAGTGCGCTCGCTTTTTGCGCAAAAGGTCGCAAGTTCGAATCTGCTTCCATTCATAACTTTTTTTAGGCAAGAAGTTCTATTAATTTTTTTCCCCTGAACTCGACTATCGATGCAAGAAGTATACTTTAAACGGAACTTTTCCATTTTCAACAGCTTCGCACCTTCCCTTTACAGTTTTAGAGCGCAGGGCACACCATCAACCTGATGTATTCAAAAACAACTTTCCATTATGTTAACGTTTTTATCTATACCTCTTTTTCAAATGTACAGCCGGATTAGCACGAAGAAAGCAAAAGTAAAACCGATAAATGATGTGAGCTTGGAAAGACTCGAACCTGCAACCTTTTGCGCAAAAAGCGAGCGCACTGACCACTCGGCCACTGCTTCACACTTTTTATTGCTCCTTTTCCGGGATCCCTATCCTTTGATTTTCGTCCAAACTTTGAAGCCGATTTTCTTGGCTTTGAAGCCCCGCGCAGAGATTTCCCCCCAAGTGAATAATCGACTACCACACACCTTTCGATCTGACCAGGTCCCAAGCCAAAATCGATTTACACATAAAGTCCATTCCTTGTCAGAACCTTTCTCGCAACACCACGCAAATTCCTTTTTGACCAAGTTTTTACCAAATCAAATGTTTTGCTTTGAGCTAAAGCTCTGACATCTTGACAAGCCTTACATTGGAACTACTAAATAAGGTGTAGTACGAATCAATTCGATATTTTCAGGCTTGTCAAGATGCCAAGGTTTTAGCTCAAAGCAAAACATTTGACTTGGTAAAAACTTGGTCAAAAAGGCATTTCTGTGGTGTTGCAAGAAAAGTTCTGAGGGTTTTTTCGCCCTTACAAACCAAAATTGTGCAGCTAATTTTTACATATTCTGAATCAGAAAAATTTTGCGATTTTTTTGAAATATGTTTCGACATGCAACTCCATACCCCATAGAACTAATACTTTCAAAGAAAAATCGACTTGATCCCTTATGATAATTTTATTAATGGTCAATGCAATCTTATTTCGTGTTTTGAAGAACAATATTGTGAATACTTAACAAACACAATCTAAAACTTAGGGAATCTTATCAAAAATTGATATTACACTAGGTAAAGTTTGATGTTCTAGACAGAGAAAATTAATTTCAAACTGATTAAACTCGATGCTTACTATAATTTATAGACCCTAAGGACAATTCCAGAGTCCAAATCAATTGGAAAATTTGCGAAAAAATCGGTCAAAAATCGATTTTTCCAAAATTTTCAATTTTTTGATTTTCAAAAAGATCGATCCAAAAAATCGAGAAATTCAAGTAATTACAGGAATATAATTCAGTGCTACGGAGTTTGAAACACTTTACAGAGCCAAAAAATCGTTTTTGGATATTAACTTAGACCTCGTCGGTGAGTTCGTATTCTTCTTTTTCTTCGCTCTTGATATCCTCTTCCTTGATTTCCTCTTCCAGCTGAGCCGAGTCATCGTTGGGCTCGTCTTCGGCGGGTTTGGCGCGCTCGTCTTTCGGGAGATCATCATTGGAGATCCGATCGGCCGCTCTTTTCAGCGCCGCCTGGAGGGTTTCCGACTCTTCCGGAGTCGAATTGCGGGTGCCGTCGCGGAACTCGGAGTCGAATTCTTCTAAAATTCTCATATTTTAGCCAAAAAAAACAAAACTTACGATTCTAAAAACTAAATTCAAAAATAAAATTTTTTTTCAAAAAATTCACAAAAAACCAAAATTTTTCGACAAAAAATCGGTGAAATAGTTTTTAAAATACGCTATCCACTTCCTCTTTTTTTTACAATTTACAGCTTGAAAATAATTCCTTTATCAAAAAAATCAAATTTTATGCCCTAAGATACCTAAAACAATATAAAAAAGCTCAATTTTGAGTGAATTTGAGGCAGTTATACAACTCACAAATCCTTATACTCTCTAATTTTGAATACAAAAGCAAAATCTACCAAAAATTTGTCCATTAACATTACTTTTTTATTAATTTTCGTCAATACTTATATTAACATACCTAAGACAATAAAAAAGCTCAATTTTGAGTGAATTTGAGGCAGTAATGCATTTCACAAATCTTCATCTGCTCTACTGCTTAATACAAAACCAAAATCTACCAAAAATTCGTCCACTAACATTACTTTTTTATTAATTTTCGTAAATTCTTATATTAACATACCTAAGACAATATAAAAAGGTCAATTTTGAGCGAATTTGAGGCAGTAATACATCTCACAAATCTTTATCTTCTCTATTTCTTAATACAAAAGCAAAATCTACCCAAAATTTGTCCATTAACATTACTTTTTTATTAACTTTCATCAATTCTTATATTAACATACCTAAGACAATAAAAAAAGCTCAATTTTGAGTGAATTTGAGGCAGTAATGCATTTCACCAATCTTTATCTTCTCTATTGCTTAAAACAAAAGCAAAATCTACCAAAAATTCGTCCATTAACATTACTTTTTTACTAATTTTCATCAATTCCTATATCAACATCCCTAAAACAATATAAAAAAGGTTAATTTTGAGCGAATTTGAGGAACAATACAACCCACGAAACTTCATCTTCTCTAATTTTGAATGCAAAAGCAAAATCTACCAAAAATTCGTCCATTAACATTACTTTTTTATTAATTTCCGCCAATTCTTATATCAACATCCCTAAAACAATATAAAAAAGGTTAATTTTGAGAGAATTTAAGGCAGTAATGTATCCCATAAATCTTTATCTTCTCTAATTTTTAATACAAAAGAAAAATCTACCAAAAATCCGTCCATTAACATTACTTTTTTATTTCTTTTCATCAATTCTTATATTAACATCCCTAAAATAATACAAACCTCAATTTCTTCGAAAAAACCCCTCCTATTTCAAATTTAATCACTCTCCACCAAATAATAAGCCAATTTCCTTACTAAAAAACAGTCCTACCTTTCTCCAGCTCCTCCTTCATCACGGCGATGCACAATTTTCCTCTATTATACAGTTCATGTTTGTATCCGTGCTTCTTCGACGCCAAGTTCACAATCACCTTCTTTTCGAGGATTCCGAATTCGTGGAGCTTGTTGACCAACTGTACAATCAGATCGTACGCCACATCGTCCACATCATTGCCTGTGGCGGAGATCTCGAAAATCTCCGGGAAAAACTTCGAAAAGAAAATTTTCATGTGGATGTCGCCGCGCTTTGAGAAGGTTCCAGGCTCTGGAAATCAAAATTTTATGTTGCCAGCAGTGCATTTCATCATTTCACATCAAAAAAAATATTAAAAAAACCCTAAATTTTTAGAAAAAAAACTTTCCTCTCAGAAATGAAAGTGCCTCTATGGGGTATCGGAAAAAATGGAGATGTTGGTAAAATGTGAACAGATGCGACTGGATCGTTTTAGTTGGGCAGTTTTTTTTTTGTAGAGTCGGTAATTTCTCAGTATGTTGCGGTTTTATAAGGTTTTACTGGTGAAAGATAGGGCGCAGCTTGCCGATTTGATTTTTGTTACAAGGAAAGTACCTCTATGGGGTATGGAGTTGCAGGTCGAGACGTATATCAAAAAAATCGCAAAATTTTTCTGATTCAGAATATGTAAAAATTAGCTGTCCAATTTTGGCTTGTAAGGGCAAAAAAAATCCTCAGAACTTTTCTCTCGCTTAATTAGTAGTCCCAATGTAAAAAGGGGGCATTTGTGTGGTGTTGCGAGAAAAGTTCTGCGGATTTTTTCGGCCTTACAAACCAAAATTGGGCAGATAATTTTTACATATTCTGAATCAGAAAAATTTTGCGATTTTTCGATATATCTCTCGACCTGTAACTCCATACCACATAGAGGTACTTTCCTTGAAACAAAAATCAAATCGGCAAGCTGCGCCCTATCTTTCACCAGTAAAACCTTATAAAACCGCAACATACTGTGAAATTACCGACTCTACAAAAAAAACTGCCCAACTAAAACCATCCAGTCGCATCTGTTCACATTTTACCAACATCTCCATTTTTTCGAGCTGCGCCCTAGGACTCCAAAAAAATTTTCCAAACCAAACCTACGTTCCGTAACGGTCCTCATTTGAATTCCATTGTAACTGAAGAGTCTCATGACCTTGAATCTGATCTGCTTCCGACGGCTTTCGCTGATTCCCTTCGAGGTTTCGAGGAACTTATCAACCGGATCGCTCTCGCATAAAACCACTGGATCTTTCGGTTCGCCGTTCTTTTGCTGTGGCCTCGGCTTCGGCTGTTCTTTCTTTTGTTGCTGCTGCTGGGGCTAAAGGAATAAAAAAAATGATGGAAAAATGAGAAATTTATATTATCCATGACACAAAACTTTTTTAAAAACATGAAAACTTTGACGAAAAGAGTCTACAATAACTTTTTCACAGATGACTTTGTCGTTAAACAAAATTCCGACGTTTTTTTGACAAAAAATTATTTTATTCATGGCCAAGTCGAGGTCTCAAAAAATTAAATATGAAGTGGTATAAACGTGTCTGCCACCTCTGTGAACACCTTGGAACACCTCAAAGGCAATCTAAACACAGAAAAAATCAACAAAAATTTGCATACCTTATTATTTTCGCCTCCAGACCCGGTCTTGATCGCCTTCCCTCCCTTATTTTGACTCTTTACAGGTAGCGATTGCTTCTGCACCGGCTTCTTCTTCGTCTGCGCTGGCTGTTGTTTCTGCTGTTGAGGGCGTTTATTCTGATTGGAAGGTCTTTTGAAGTTGGGCCGACTTTGAGCCAGCATTGGAAGTGGTCGCGGAGCGTAGGAAGCCGCTGGTGGAAACAACGACGGGTATTCCGGAGCGCCGTAGCCCGCATAAGCACCGGCGTATGGGTCGTAAGGGTCTGGTCGCGAATATGCAGGCGGATAATCGGCGGGATGAGAGTGAGCGTAAGGATCACTGAAGACCCCGCGGTCTGACTAAAACAAGGTGCGTAAGACGTCAATACTTTAAATTTTGGTACATTGCACTTGTGTGGAAGGTAATATAGAAAACAGGGGAAATTTTGAGCTATAAACCACAAAATTTGAAGCAACTTCCAAAAAGCTGTGAGCGATATTATCCGTGATATCTAGAACACGAATTTCTCCGTCTGTATTTTAAAAAGTCGACTCTTTCGAGGTCAATAAAATATACTACCAGATAGATAACAACCTCAGCTACAAAACGACACCAAATTTGACCGCAAACTAAGCTGAATTTTAGACAAACTTTTGGATTTTCCAAAGCCACACATCAGAAAAATTATCATAAAGATTTCAGCATAAAATCCATACAAAATTGGGATCATTCGCCAACTTCCAATGCTAAAAAACCGTGAACTTTCTTATACTATCAACGCCCACATTGAACTTTCGAAAATTAGCTCAACATTCTTCGTCTCCCTCATCTTCTCCTTGCCATCTAAAACACCAACCAAAAAAATGAAACGACGTACCTGCCACGAAGGTGTGGGCTGAGCCCATGGAGAACGTGCAGCGGAAGCTCCCCATGCGCTTCCTTGGCCGGGTGAGGTTTGCCATGGGCTGGGTGCAGCGCCGTATCTTGACCGAGGTGGAGCCATACCTAAAATTGACTCCAACTACAAAATCACGTCTTTTTCCGGGAAAAAATCGATGAATATTCTCACGACTCGACCCTTTCTAATGGAAAAAAGTGAGGTGTTCGCGCGGAAATAGCCATTTTCGCAAGAAAAACCACATAAGACACAATGCCAACGAGTTTCTTGGCATTCAATGTTTTCGTGGTGGGACGCAAAAATCGTTCTGTGTGTTTTTGAAAAACAATGTAATGTTGTTGAAAATGGGTTTATTAGATGGGAAATCGTCTAACAAATACATACATGCTGAAAATATTTTTATACGGCGTCTGGCGCGGGAGCTTCGGCCGCTGGAATCCCGGGAATTGGAGCGTCGGTGGGACTGGCCGTAACCAGCGACGAAAGCACCGTGCCCGCTCGGATTTGACAGTCGCAATAAGTTGCTGATGCAATATTCACAGTCGTCAGGGTTCCACTGTCATTTCGGACAACTCCAACCGTCCTTGTCCCGGTCGAACAGGTGGCATAGCCTAAAACAAGGTGATTTATCTCAATTTTTTTCAATTTTCCCCCTAAAACAAGCGTCTACATACCAGCCAGACACTCCGTGTCCGTTCCATGACAAACCAATTCGTTCAGGTATCGCGGAAGATAATTTTTCGGCAGTTCTCGCCAAGCCCAACATTGAGTGCAGAGAGTGAGCAGCTCGCCGTTACTGCCATCCGGCGAGGAGCCCTTGTTCACGCAAGACAAGTAGTACCTAGTGCCAATCAAGTCCTCGGCTTGTCTTTTATGCCGTAGCAACGCTTTTAGAGCCTTCTCTTCACTTGAATCGAGGCTTTTGTCCTTTAACTGAAATCGAGATTTTTTGAAATTACAGTAATCCAGAGGAATAAAAATCTCTCTAATAAATCCCTGCCAACGCTCTTGAAACTCACTTTTTCAAATTTACCGACGACTTTTTGCCATTTTTCACCAACTTTATTCTTAATTTTATCTTCCCAATCCTCCTCCGAACTCGACGAACTTGACCCGTCGATTTCGTCGTATTCAAAGGTGTCCGAGTTGGGCCGAGTGAACCGATATCGCTCACAGGTCTCGTTGATAAAGTTGTTTTGAACCAGCGACGCCGCGCCCTTGATTAGACCGACTTTTTTCAACTTGTTCGCCAGATGCTGCCAGCAGGCCCGGTCCTTTTCTGGCTGAAAAAATAGGTGTTTTTCAACTGCGAGTCCGCTTGATTACAATTAAGAATAGTGAAAAGCTAGTCTGTGATACTGAAACTCATTGAAAACGTTGAAAAATCTAGCCAAATCTTATAAAACACGGCGAAATCGTAGATCCGACTAACAAAGGACCGCAAATGACATTTTTTGCCGAATTTCGGCCCCAAAAGTTTCATGCCTATTTCTACCATAGAAGGTAATGTTTCCACAAAAAATCAATTTTTTCCGTACGAAACTAGCAAAGTTATGGCCAAAAAAGGGTTTTTCTCTCTGACCGCTCTCCGCGTTTCGCGTACTTTCTCGGAGGCAAAGATCGTTCAATATCTCGGCTGTTCGTGCAAATCGCAGGCTAAAACTTTCAGGGATTGATATTTAGTCTATGTCCGGCATATGTGCAAAATTTAAAGAAAGTCGGAGCGTCGCACTTGGAGTATTTGCCTTGTAAGGTATGGCCAAGGCGTCACCAAAAATTTGGTCGCAGTTTTTCGACCATCTTTTCAAAATTTGGCTGCCATTTTTTGGATTTGGCCGTATTTTCGCATTTTCCATCGATTTCGATATCACTACGTCACTTCACCATACTCTCTATACCAAAATATTCGTAATGACACCCTAGAAAACGCTCAAAAACACTTTCAAGTCCTACCGTTCTGCGCTGCTCCTGCTGCAGCGGCGGTTTCTTTTCGTCGAGGAGAAGCAAATCCTCGAACGATTTCATCGCCTCCTCCAGGGTTTCGGCTTGAAATTTGTTGTCGTAATGGACAATGGCCGGCGGCGTTATGGGGCAGTCGCATTGCAGTTGTTGTGAGGTGTCGTTTTTCGGTTGGAAAAAGGACAAAAACGGGATATTCAAGGGATTTGTGGGAGAAAAATGGGAAAAAGATAGGAAAATGAGGAGAACTCGGGGAATCATCGCATATCAGAGTAATGCAGAAGGTCAGAAGGGCTGGAACGAGTTTCCAACAACTCCACAAAGGCTTGAAAATTTATGCAAATCCGAGGGAACAGCAGTGACTCACTCGGTTTGCAACGTGTTTACTCGGTTTGATCTTTAAAACGGAGTGGATTTAATACTGTGCTATTCCGTTCTTGGCACAATTTACATGATTATTTTGACTCACTTGTACTCCACTCTGAGCCTTAATCCAAGCTTAGGCTAAGCCTAGACTAACAAGGAAAATACGCCGAGAGTGCAACGCTCACAAGGGAGTGCACTTTTTGTGTGGAAATCGGTTTTTGAACATATTTTTTTTAAACGATAATAGTTTATGTCCAAAACAAAAGATGGTGATTCATCGTGATGTAAGGTGAGACGATCCAAGAGTTAGATGAATAAGTGGGAGCGAGATGCCCTACCTTTGCCCTACCCTGTGGGCTGCTTGACTAGACTGTCGGTGGATCTTTGCTTCAGAATACTGAAGCCGCAACGTAGCGCAAGGATAGCTTGCAGTCTAATACAATACCCACGTAGAATATTCTGTACCTTTATGAGCTCGAATAACACAACAACAATAGTATACTATGACAATAATATCTCGAGATTAATACCGATCGATCGAAGCCGATGGGGACGTCCTGGATTGGTCGACTGGCTGGGCTTATATAGGGCACTGGCTGGGCGGGACTTGGACGTTCTGGAATGCTGATGATGGTACCATTTGATGAGGTGTCGAAGATGGAGCTGCGGACGTCGTTGACAAGGGCCAAGATATCCTGGACAGAAGCTTAATCAGGCTAGATCTGGATGTCCAAGTCTTGTCCTAAGGGACTAGAACATTCTTGTGACTCATACTTTACAACGGACATGCGTCATAGGCCAAAGGTCGCCCTAGGCGTAAACATGTGGGCGGGGAGAGATCATATGACTGCGTGAGTCATCAAGGATCAGCATAATCATCCTGAGTTAGCACGGAGTCCGCAGTCGTTGCGTTTACTAGATCGGAGAACCTCCGATCTAACCGAAGTTACTTTGGAGCGCGCTGCCGTCATTGCCGCCCGGAGGCTCGGAAGAGCCGTCCGAAGAGCCGCCGGACGCGTACTCCTCGTGGACGTAGCCCCCACCGCCGCCACCGCTCGATCCTCCGCCGCTGTATACACCCATGTGAGCGTTGTTGTCTCCCATGGTGTTGTTCTTGGTTCTTGGGGCCATCAGCGAAAAAAAGTGGTCCCGCTTGATTGCGACTCAGAATTGATCGAGCAGGACTCAATATTATCTGCATAGAGAGAAATCTTTACCAAAAAGATGGTTCTTGAGGGCGGAGATATGTATACTGACTTTTAACTTGGGCAAAAAATGAGTGTCAAAGACAGTTAGGGTCAATAAAAAATGAATCGAAACGACACGTAGGGCAGGTGAATCCGCCAAAAAAGGTTGTAATAAGTTAGCCAATAAAAAAGCTAAATTTTTACAAAACATTATTTTAGGTAATCAAATTTTAGAAAAGAGCATTTTACCCGAAACAGGCTTTAAAAGTCCCGGCAACAACCCGCGTCCCGACTTTTCGGGTCAACAAAAAATGGATCGAGCGGGGCGTAGGCCAGGTGAATCCACCAAAAAGCTTGTAGGAAGCTCCAAGCGTCGAGCAGTCGAGTAGGACCTTTGCCAAAGAAACCACTTCACCCGACATCGCCCAAAAAACCACCGGTCGTCAAAAAAATCACGGAGAAAATGATTTATTCGGAATCTTCTTCAAATATCTTATTTTTCCATGGGGTTAAAAGACACTGAGCAGCACGTCAATCCAGCGCATTTCCTGAACCGTTTCGAAACTTCGTACCGTTTTCATTGATAGACGAAATGTCGCAAAACTATCGGCACTTTTTCTCGCCCGAAATATTTGCTCTTTCTCGAAAAGGAAGAAGAAAGATAAGAGAATGCGTTTTATCGGATAGTGACATTTCGTTTTGAACGAATCGCCAAAAAGGGGCGGGAAATTTTTATTTCTATTTTGGTTTGGCGTGAGCAGCCGTTTTTTCCTCACTTTTCCAATTTTATGGTCAAACCCGGTTGTTGACTTCACGATGATCGCACTGCTCGTTTGCATTCTAAACGCCGAATGGACGAAATATGGAATTAGACCCACCGAAGTTGAGCTACATTTGTACGACGTCACTGGCAACAATTTACAATTCACCCGCGCAACCATCAAACGAGACGGCTCGATGTCTGCCAGAAAGTGAGTTGGGGAGGTAAAGGGAGAAGATTCTGTCAGAGAAACTCAATTGAAAATCATTGCAAAAATTTTCCAATTTTCACGTTGATCTCTTTGTAAAGGAAAGCGCGCGCTCTTCAAAGCGCGTTTTTTTTTGCTTATTGGGATGTATTTTGGGGCATTTTGATGCCATCCTGGATTGCGATTTTTTTGAAAATTTAGTTTCCAAACCCGTAAAAATCGGGCTTCAAAAAGTATTTAGTTGTGCTGCCTTTTTAAAACATGTGAATTTTATTTTTATACTTCAATCGAAATTTTTTTTGTTTTTTCAGAAGGACGAAGATGACTCTAATGTACCGGATCTAGAGCCCGACGAGCACTTCCAGATTGACGAAAATTTGAATGAAGCCATAGAGATTGGCTCGGAAGTCGAGATGGTCGTGGACGACCATGGCAACGTGGTCCGGCCTCCTCGGCCTCCCGGATCGCTCAGGGGCTCGGGGGCAAATTTCTTATAAATAAAATTTTATACCGATTCAATTCAATTTATTCACAATAATCACATGTAAAATTATGGAGTGTGTTAGTCCGGATTCCATTGTCTGGTCAGGATATGGTCTCTCCATCTCAGGCCATGGTGCTTTCGAAAATCGTCAGTCCATCTGAGCCTGGGCCGTCCAAGTCTTCGTTTGTAGGGCGGCGCACGTCAAACTGACAAGCTAAAACAGTCCGGTGTATGGATTGGTAATTTGCCAAAAAAGACGCGAAAAAACGTTTGTCGAGGAAGAAATGGGGAATTTGGACAGAGGGAAAAACATCTTTTGGCCATAACTTTGCTTGTTTCGTGCGGAAAAATTGATTTTTTGTGGAAACATTACCCTCTATGGTAGAAATTGGCATGCAAATTTTCGTGCCGAAATTCGGCAAAAAGTGTCAAATTTTTGCCGATTTTCGCTCTAAAAATCTTGGTTGTTTCTGCAAAGCGCGGGCTAGATGTCACGCATGTCTTAAAAAAATTGTTCTAAATTTGTGCCGAGTCTCATCAAAATCCGAGCGTCGCACTTGGGGTACCCTCTTGTTATATATAATAGTGTGTCTACGTGTAGTAAAATAATCTTTTTTTTCCCTGCTTCTCCAACAAAAAATCTCATGTAATTATCCATAATGGGTATTCCAATGACTCTAAATTTAATTAATTTCCTATCAAATCGATAGAAAATATCGGAAATAGCATAAATTTCCTCTAAAATTTCCCAAATTCTGATGAATTTCTTTGTAAAATACGCCTTAGCTTTTTTCCTTTCGTCATGCCGGTGTACGGCCGAAACTTTACTGCAGAAACAAGAGCTGATGGAGAAGATGATGAACAGCACTGCGGATCCGTGCAAAGACTTTTTTGAGTACGCCGCAGGGCAGGCGGACGAGGTGTATGTCCCAACGACAATGTATGATGACATTCGAAGCTTGCTCATGGATCTTTCGTTGGCTTATCAGGTGGGAAATAACGTGATTGATGTAGTTCTCGTATTTTACCTTCAAACTGTTCATATTTTAGATGAAAAATTTGCGTATTTTTACCCAAAAATATTTGCGTAATGTTCAAAAAATTTGTATAATTTCAAAAAAAATTGCGTATTAGCCGTCTGTCGGAAAAATATTGAACAGTCGCAACAAAAATCGCATCGCTGCTGAGAAAATGAATTGTGTCACGATAAAATCAAATTTCTTTTCAATTTAGCGACGCGATCGGCGACATTGCGCTCATTATTTTCCCGACAGAATGATATCAAGAAACTTGCATCCAAAAAATTTCAGAGTCTCCAAGAGTTTGCGTAATCTCTCGGAAATTTGTGGCACGCTCAGAAATTCGCAAGTACCAAAAACTCGGAACATGTGCAAAAATTTGCATTGTGACCAAAAATTTGCATAAGGCCCAAAAATTTGCATAATAACAAAAAATTTTCACAATGACCATAAATTTTGCATAATGCCCCAAAATTTGTATCACGCCCAAAAATTTGTATCACGACCAAAAATTTGCATAATGCCCAAAACTTTGCGCCATGTCCAAAATTTGCATAATCCCCCCAAAAATCCGCATAATTCAGATAGAATCGATCCAAAAGATCCGAAAAGTCTACACCGACTGTCTAGTCAAGCCCCAATACGAAGACCCCACATCAATCGAGACGTGGGTCATGAAAGCCGTCAACAAATTCCCGGACATTCAATTCCCAATCGACGAAAAGGCCCCGATCATGACCAATTTCACTGCCTACATCGCTCTGGTCCCTGTGGATACAACAAACTTTACTGTCATGATGCCGGATATCTTAACCGAAAGTCCGGATTTGGTAGGGAAAATTTGTTTTTCAACTGGCTTATAAAAATTTGAATCAGTGCAGCCAAAGAATTTTTTGCACTGTGCAATGAAAAATCTAAATTTTTATTTTTCACAGTGCAAAGGAAAAAATTTTTTTTGCACTGTGCAATACAAAAATGTTTCTTTTTCTTTCGCACAGTGCAACGAACAAAAAATTTGTACAATGCAGTCAGAAAAATTTTATTTATTTTTTTACACTACGTAAGCAGCAAAAAAAAATTTTTAATTTTTGCACTGTGCATACTAAGAATTTTTTCAGTTATGCACTGTGCAAAGCAAAATTTTTTCTTCTTGTTGTGCACAGTGCAATAAAATTTTTTTTTTTTAATTTTTGCACTGTGCAATGCAAAATTTTTCGATTTTTGTTGTGCACAGTGCAATACAATTTTTTTTTAATTTTTGCACTGTGCAAAGAAAAAATTTTTTTGCACTGTGCAATACAAAAATTTTTCGATTTTTGCACTGTGCAATAAAAGATTTCTTTTTTTATTTTGCACTGTGCAATACATTTTTTTTTATATTTTTGAACTGTGCAATATAAAAATTTTTCGATTTTTGCACTGTGCAATACAAAATTTTTTCGATTTTTGCACTGTGCAATACAAAATTTTTTCGATTTTTGAACTGTGCAAATCAAACAAAAGTTTTCAGATTTTCCGTCGAGCCCAGCTGGTGAACGCATTATTCCAAAACTTGATGCATCGCCGCACCTATAAATACCGTAGTTGCGAGCAGTTCATGGATGAAACGTATCCATTATACATCCAAAAACTGGCTTTGGACCGGGCAAAACGAAGATTATCGAATTTTCAAAATATGCAAATTCAGTTTTTCACCTATGCGAATATCTTGATGGAAGAAGTCGAAAACTCCATACGATATAGCAACACCAGAAGCGACCTCGTCAAGGATTATATGATCAATTTATTGAGAAAAAATACTTTTGGATTTTTGGATTTTCCAATTTTCGAAAATTCGAATTTTATAAAATACACGGCGGATTTGAACGTCGAAAACCCACTGAACGGAAGGAATTGGAATAATTTTAGACCCTTGTTGAAGTTCAATGGGGATCATGGCGGGAGTTATTTGCAATTTCCTTGGCTGAAAACTGTAAGTCTTTTTGCACTGTGCAGTAAAAAAAAGATTTTTTATTTTTGCACGGTGCAGTCAAGAAAAATACTTTTTATTCTCGCACGGTGCAGTCAGAAAAAAAAAATTTTATTTTTGCACGGTGCAGTTTAAAAAAATTATTTTTGCACTGTGCAGTAAAAAAAGATTTTTTATTTTTGCACAGTGCAGTCAAAACAAATTTTTATTTTTGCACAGTGCAGTCAAAAAAAATTGATTTTTTGCACAGTGCAGTCTACATTTCTTTTATTTTTGCACGGTGCAGCTAAAAAAATTGTATTTTTGCACAGTGCAGTCTACATTTTTTTTTATTTTTGCACAGTGAGGTCAAAAAATTATTTTTTGCACGGTGCAGTTAAAAAAATTGTATTTTTGCACAGTGCAGTCTACTTTTTTTTGTATTTTTGCACTGTCCAGTCAAAAAAAATTGATTTTTTGCAACGTGCAGTCAAAAAAAAATTATTTTTTGCACGGTGCAGTTAAAAAAATTTTTTTATTTTTTCACAGTGCGGTAAAAAAAAATATTTTTTGCACGGTGCAGTTAAAAATTTTTTTTTATTTTTGCACAGTGCGGTCAAAAAAAAATTTTTTTGCACGGTGCAGTTAAAATTTTTTTTTATTTTTGCACAGTGCGGTCAAAAAAATCCTTTTTATTTTTGCACAGTGCAGTCAAACACAAAAAAAAAATTTTTTGCACAATGCAGCTAACAGCAGAGTTCAAATCATTAATTTTTTCCAGGACGACGCCCAACATTCCCGCTTGACAAATGGAAATTTCTTTACTTGGGGATATTTCGAATACCCGAAATACGACTCCGCTTGGTCGCCAGTCATGCATTTTTCAAGTTTAGCGTTTGTCATGGCCCATGAACTGGGCCACAATTTTGGTGGGCTTTTTTGAATTTTTCAAAACCGACAAAGAACTAATCTGCACTGTGCGAGAAAAATAAAAATGCAATTGCACAGTGCAATTAGACCAAATCAGGCGGGATTTCATTTTATGCGGTGAAAATGGCCTGAAAATTATCATGGCGATCTTTTTTTTCAGCTATCCAAATTTCTGCGCCAAGTTTTTGACCTGAAAAATTTTCGCACAGTGCAGTCAAAAAACTTTTTCGCACGGTGCAAAACCTCGATTTTTGAAATTTCGGGGACTTTCGTATAGCAGTTACTCTTCATTAATAAATGCTGAACCCAAATGCACTCATTTTACCTAAGGTTATGAACTTTTCAGAGCTTCTCAACGTGACTAGCCCAGAGCATGAAGCCACTACGGAGTGCATTATTCATTTCTACTCAAAGCAATGCGATCCCAAACGGCCTAGATGCCTCATGTCGGCTAAAACTTATTTTGAAGACTTTCCCGATCAATTAGGTGAGTTGTGATATTTTATACGACAGGACATGTTTCATCGTATAACACGTCATCTAAAATGTCGGTTTTTACGACCCGTATTTTAAGCTACTGTTAAAATTTCGTTCTTCTAAAAAATGATAATTACGCGATTATGGGTGACATTTTATACGACGAAACATGTTTGATCGTATAAAATGTCAAAAGAGCCATTGCCATCAAAAGAAGTTGGTATTCTACATTGCTGCCCTCTGTTAAGTCAATATTTTATCAAAATTTATAAAAATTACCATTTTTCCAAAAAGTGACATTTTATACGACGAAACATGTTTAATCGTATAAAATGTACGCGAGCTAGTACCATCGTTCATTAATTCGTATTTTACATTGCTGCCCTCTGTTAAGTCAAAATTTTGTTAAAATTTATGAAAGTTGCTCTTTTTCCACAAGGTGACATTTTATACGCTGAAAAAAATTTTTTTTTGCTTTCCGCTCCTCTTCGCAAAAAACGTTACTACCATAACTTCGAGTGTCTAAACATTCTACAAAAACATTTTCGGGCATTCGCTGGGCCTATTCCGCCTACCGTCGCTACTCCTTATCGCGGCCGTTGGAGCCCCGGCCACGCGGCCGAAACTTGGACAAATTCAACGACGACCAGCTCTTCTTCCTCAATTTGGCGCAAAATATGGCCAGCTTCCCTGGGTGGGACGACTACTCCTTCAACAACAACCATTCGCCGAATTCCGTGCGAATTTGGGGCTCTATGGCCAATTTTCCGGCGTTCGGGAGTGCTTTCAGCTGCCCCGTGGGGAGCAATTACAACCCAAGACTAAAATGCCCCATCTTTAATATGCCTACTAAGCCAGACTTCAATTTGAGCAGCAGAAATATCAGTTTGGCGTAGAATAAATAAAATAAATTAAAAAAAAATTTTTAATTTAGGTTTTTTTGAGGGAAAATTGAGATTTTTTCGATTTTTTTTTATTAAATTACATTTATTGTTAATTAAATTTCAGTCAGAATCACTTGAGCTGCTTGAGGTTTCCTTTTTGCGCTTTTTGGAGTGCTTTTTCTTCTCCTTTTTCGATTTTTTCTTTCGTTTTTCGTCTTCCGATTCTGACGAGGAACTGGATGATGATGAAGAATGTCGGCGTTTCCTCTTTTTCTTGGCTTTTTCCTTCTTCCTCAGTTTTTTCAGCTTCTTCTGGAGCTTTTTTACGGAGATTTTTCGAAGTTTTTTGTCTGAAAAATAGCAATTTTAGCTACTGAAAAAATCGCTATTTTTGACAAAAAAAAGTTGAAATAGTCTTTGATAATAATAGAAGACTCTCTATTTCTCAATTTCCAATTCCAATCCTACCATAAAATGATCAGTTTTCCATCAAAATCATTAAAATATTACCCATGACCTCAAGTTGGTCATGGATAATATAAATGACAAATACGCAAAGATCATCTGCTTTTCATACATTCTGGCTGCGTACTAAACAACTATAGTCTATATTATGTCCTATTCAATATAAAACTGCATAAAAAATCAAAGACTTCCTATCAAAACCATCAAAATATTACCCATGACCTCAAGTTGATCATAGATAATATAAATGACAAATACTCAAAGATCATCTGCTTTTCATACATTCTGGCTGCGTACATAACAACTATAGTCTATATTCTGTCCTATTCAACATAAAACTGCATAAAAAATCAAAGACTTCCTATCAAAACCATCAAAATATTACCCATGACCTCTATCTGACCATGGGTAATAAAATGGCAATTATTTGAAATAAAAAGCTCTCCGACACTCCGACACCCACTTCTCATAGAATCGTAGTCTACATTCTATCAATTGCAATTCAAGAAACCAATAAATACCCCCAAAATTCAGTAAAAATCATCAAAACGTTATCCATGACCTACCTTCTTTCTTGAGTGGAGTTTCATCTTCCGATGACTCCGAGGAGGTAGAAGATACATCCACAGCAGTCTTTTTGACTCCATCAATTTCAATTGGCAAATTATTCCGGCATTGATAGGGCAAATGGCCGGCAAATCCGCATTTGGAGCAGGCTCCACTAACCGCCTGTTGTGTAATTGGCCTCCCCATGGCATCTGAAGGGATAAATAAAACATTTTTTGAATGTTTTTTGGTTTAACTTTAGTCACTAGTACTCTCCTTTCAACAAGATAAGCCAAATTCATCATAGCGACATTTTATACGACAAAACATTTTTCATCGTATAAAATGTCACTTTATGATAAATCGCTCAAAATCGCCCCAGAACTTTTTTTGGTTTAATTTTAGTCACTTGTACTCTCCTTACAACAGGATAAGCCAAATTTATCATATCGACATTTTATACGACAAAACAAGTTAATCGTATAAAATGTCACTTTATGCTAAATCGCTCAAAATAGCCCAAGAACTTTTTTGGTTTAATTTTAGTCACTAGTACTCTTCTTTCAACAAGATAAGCCAGATTCATCATAGAGACATTTTATACGACAAAACATTTTTCATCGTATAAAATGTCACTTTATGCTAAATCGCTCAAAATAGCCCAAGAACTTTTTTGGTTTAATTTTAGTCACTAGTACTCTCCTTTCAACAAGATAAGCCAAATTCATCATAGCGACATTTTATACGCCGAAACATGTTTAATCGTATAAAATGTTACTTTATGATAATTAGCCCCAGAACCTTATGGACCAAGTGCCATATACGTATTTTACCAAATAAAAACAGTTGTTCCTATCAAAATCCAAGATATTTCCACATTTTTTTCAATTATATTACACTTGCTTACCCACAAAAGTTGATGGATTTGTTAGAGTTGATGGAGCTTCACTTCCAGCTCCAGGGATCCTTCTGTTAGCCCCGAGGGGCTCAAAATTCGCCATGATATGAGATTCTGAAAAAAAAATTGTTAAATTTCGCGGGGAAATTATATTGTACTAGGCCCGAAACAACAAAGTTATCAAAAAAACCTCACAAAAAATTTAAATAAAATCTTCAAAACGGCTTTTTTTAAGTAGTATACTGTATATTCAACAAGTTTTTAGTGCAAATCGTCATCAAATTGAATATTATTTATCACTTTTCAATATTTATTCGCAAAAAAGAAAAACAAAACCTAAAACTGGTGAATTAAAACGAAAACAATATAATCGCATAGCTCTAGCGTTATGCGCAAAAAACTCTTGACCGAAATTTCTTTATCAAACAGAAGAACTGGGCAAAATTGACTAGTATAATATAATGTGGCAATAGGAATATTCTGTTTTACAATAATATTTGGGAGACCTCGCGCTAATCAGAAGGTAGAGCAAGTCAAGAGGGTCATATAGGGGGAAATCTGAGGAAAAATACCTAAAATTTGGACCTAAATATATTAATTTAGACAAAGACCTACCTAAAGTTATATAATGATCTATACCATCAATTCGCCTATTGCAATCGGCTAAATTCTATTATTGATAGACCTATTAGACTATATTCTTCAAATCCAAAGTAAATACTGTTTCATTTTTAGACAAAATTTGAGATTTTTGATCAAAACAATTTTTGTCTGCTCAAAAATAAAAAAATTGCAAATAAATTTCGAAAATCAAAGTTCTAATTGTTTTTACAACCCTAGCTATGTAGTCAAAGATCTAATACTGGATAATCTCATCAAATTACATTTCAATTTTAGCTATAAATGACCAAAAAATCGATAAATTCCCAAAAATTTTATATAAATTTAGACCTTTTCCCATAACTTAAATTTCAGACCCCTAAACTAATATTTGATCCCCTCCAGACTTCTTCTCCTTCCTTATGAGCTGCCAGAAGTGCTTCCCAGACTTGACAGACAATTGTATTGCTCCAGGAACAGCGATGGGAACCAGTAATGTACAGTGTCAGAGGCTTGATTATCCACCCACGCCTTCTCCATTTGAACCAATCGTTCGAGGATGCGTTTCGCTCGTTCTGGCTCCCATCGCAGGCTGTCTACACACAGCTCCACCGAGACATGGGCTTGGTTTTCTTCGGCTAGTTGAAGTACCCGAGTGTCGTCCATGCTAAGTTCGCCGGGGACGGATTGGATGAGAAAACGGCCAGAACCCAACGGAATCAGCTCAAAACCATGTCCAAGGACCTTCAGCTTCTTCACGGCGCGGATAATGTCATCCCTGAAAAAAAAAATTTTTCAATATTCAAAAAAAAATAATATTTGGATCATCAAAAAATATATGAAAATGGCTAACATGCACTCCACACTTCACAAAACTCACTGTGAGATCGGTTCCTTCCTTGTTTTCGAGCGGGATCTGAGCAATCGGTTCCGCAGATCATCAATTGTAATGATACCCCCATTCAAGTGGCTGGTCGCCATGCAAACCTCGACCACTTGAACCGCCAACTCGTAATAGAAATCGCCGACGCCAAGTTTCTCGGCCCAGAATCCTTTGCTAGCTGAAATCAACAAAAATTTTGATTTTTTTAGGTAACAAAATAAAATTTTTGCTCACAATAATAATTCAGCTCTTCCAGATGTCTCTAAAATTTGAAAAAAGAACGAAAAGAAAGCCACTTACATGCCAAAGGATCCACACCAACTGTAGTACACATTTCTTGAAAATGCCGACGGAATTGTGAGTTCTTGTGGATGTCATCTCGGTGTTTTATCGCAAACTCCTCCAATTTCTTGGTAAATGCCTCTAGTTGCTGTGAGAATCGTTCGAGTTGGTCGCTGGCAAGCTCATCACCTTTCGTATTGTACTTTGCCTAGAATTTTTTTAGGATAAAAAATGATTTTTTAAAAATTTTGGATCAGTTTATGGTCATAAATAAGATTGGGATGCTCTAGCATTAAAAATAGGCGAAGCGACAAGAAATTAACTCTAAAAGCACCGGGGAGATGTCAACCTTCTTGCATAAAAATATCAAGATTATGCCATCAAGAACTCGCAGGGAATAACAACTTTTGAAACACCTTGTTTTAGACACTAAATAAACTCAATCCCTCCCAAAGCACTGCTTAAGATCGGAATCTTTGTGTAAAATACGTTTCCAATTACCCGTGAGCACTTGTTCCACCTAAATACAAAAAAAATCACAAACTTTACTCACCTGAACATCTTGTTTCTTCTGAATTGCCCCAATCCCCACTCCTCTGCGCCGCGAAGCCATAAGTTTGGAGCGATTTGAGGACGGCCTTAAAGTCTAAACAAAGTTTTTACGGCCGTTCTCACGCCCTGCGGCTTTATAAAGCGGAGTTATTGGATTTCCGTCCCGTGAAGAATAAGAAAAACTTTCCAAAACGAAGTGTCACGAAAATTAACGGGAAGTTGCGAAGTGTCACGGATTTATTGGAAATATTCTTTCGCCAGAAGTTATTTCGCAAGACATTTTTTAGCTTGATTTTGAGTGAAATACATGGTTTAGAAGGTCTGTTTGTGGACTAAATGGAAAATCCGAGCACTTCGGAATATCGAGGAGGTGAATTCAATGTTCATCTTGATCGAACGGCCCGGAAGAAGCGAGGAAAGCCAAAAAATGATCTTCTGAATGTAATTCGACGCCAAGGAGGTGGCAGAAAGGCCTTCAAGGATCTAAAGTGAGTTTTTACGTTATTTATTTCGAGTTTTAGGTATTTTATCAGCAAAAATTGATGGTTTTTATATTCGTCATGATCAACATCAATATTTTTAGGTACGATGAGCTCAAACCGATGTATGAACTGTGGTGCGGGTATTTTAAGTCAGTATTAGAGGAAGTTCGAGAAGATCTCGATCAGAGACTGTTGAAACTGGACTTTCACGGATCAATTTTGATGGTTTCAACGGCAGATAACCCATCAATGGTAAATCAACGTTTTGTCTGTCTTAATTTGAATTTTCTTTAGATTGGATTAAATGGAATCGTCGTTTATGAATCGAAGAAGACATTTCAGCTTATAACACGGAAGAATAAACTTATTGGTAAGAGTTTTGCGGATTTTTTGTTGTTCTTTAGATACGGCCGTATACGGGGCAAAAAGAACTGACAAGGGAAGTACCCCAAGTGCGACGCTCAGATTTTCTTTAAATTTTGCACACACGTCGGGTATGGACTACGTATCAATTCCTGAAAGTTTTAGCTCGCGCTTTGCAAGCGCCGCCGAGATATTGAACGATCTTTGCCGCCGAGAGAGCATGCTAAGCGCGGAGATCGGTCAGGGAGAAAAACACTTTTTGGCCATAACTTCGCTAGTTTCGTACGGGAAAAATTCATTTTTTGTGGAAGCATTACCCATTACAATAGAAATACGCATGAAACTTTTCGTGTCGAAATTCGGTAAAAAGTCTCAAATTTTCGCCAACTTTGGATCTAAAAATCTCGGTTGTTTCTGCAAAGCGCGAGCTAAGATTCTCGCATATATCTTAGAAAAAGTTATTCTAAATTTGTGCCAAGTTTCATCGAAATCTGAGCGTCGCACTTGGGGTACTTCCCCTGTGAGTTATGTGGAAGTGAGGATATTATGGGGTCATGATCTTTGAATATCTAGGAATAATATCTGTCTAATAACTCCTCTGAAAGTTTCATTCCAATACCTTGAAGGGTTCTTGAGAACCAGCCGATTTTCTACATTATCCATGACACTTGATAACTTTTTTCTTTCAGTGATCCCAAAACAAGGTACAACGTTTCAGTTTGTCTTCCAGAAGAAAGTATACACGATATTTGGTGATGCCATTCAACAGCAACCATATCTTCGAGGGAAACGGGTCAAACATCGGGCAACTTTACCATTCCTTTTAAAATAATATTTTTTGTTATTTTCTTGTTGAATTTGTAGTAAATTGAAGTTGTTTATGGTGAATTAAGATTTTATTTGATTCTGTAGTCAAATTACGGATGAAATACTACTTTTGCATCAAAATTTTGACGATTTTTTATAAAAATTATATTGTTTTAGGTCCATTCTCGAAAAATGGCCGATACTCTGGCGAAAGCTCAAGAAGATGCGATGTTATGCAGTAAAGTGAGTATTGGCTTTTGTTATTTTTCTATTTTTAGGTCAAAAAGTTCATGTACCTCTATTACGAAGCGTTGGACACGAGGAAAGAGAAGATCCCATATCTCTACACCAGCGACAACCCTCAACTCATCTGGAATGGCCATAATGTCCAAGGAATTGACAATATCAGCCGATTTGTCAACGAATTGCCAGTTACGAGACATACGTAAGGCTAAAATAATATAAAAATTTTTAAAAAAGTCTCCGAAATTGCATCATTTTTACAAAGTTTATCAACAAATGACCCCCGAAATAAATAGTCGATCAATTTTTATCAAAAAGAATTTTTTTATTTTATCATTTTTTCAGCTTCTTCTCCATTGACCCCCAACCTTTGAAGACGGCCGGCCCGGATTGGGCAATGGTGTCGGTGATGGGCGAGGTCTCAATCGGCGGCCTTCAACAGGCATTCACACATGTTTTCGTCCTCAACACCGAGTCCAACACCTTCCACATCAAAAGCGACCAGTACCGATTCATCGACTAGACGGGATTTTTTGAATATTTTAATGGTTTTTATTAAGTTATTTTTGATTTTCTCAATGTTCAATGGTTATTTACGAGTTTTTCATTGTTTTTTAGTTAATGAAATTCATCGACGAGTTTTATTTTCATGAAAAATTCAACGATGATTTTTTTGTTGTTAATAGCCTTTAACGTATGCTAAAATACCCCGATTTTTCTATCAATTATGGGGATTCTTAGTGTAAAAAAAAATTGAAATACAGTGGCGGAGCTGATCCAGTAGCGAAAAACGTACCATTTTACATCCGGGAAGTATAAAAAATGTAGCAAAATACCTCCGTCTCCAAGCGAAAAAACTCCGATTTCACAAGGAAAATACTTTTATGTGGCTCCTACTTTTAGACGAGACGTATCTCAAAAAAATACGCAAAATCACGCTGATAAAGAATATGTAAAAATTAGCTGACCAATTTTGGGTTTTCGGGGTAAAAAATCAATTGCAAGTTGACTTAAAGCGATGGGCATTTCACCCCCAAAACCCAAAATTGGGCAGCTAATTTTTACATATTCTTTATCAGCATAATTTTGCGTATTTTTTGAGATACGTCTCGTCTAAAAGTATGAGTCCCATAAAAGTATTTTCCTTGTGAAATCGGAGTTTTTTTTTCACTTCGAGAGGGAGGCATTTTGCTACATTTTTTGACACTTCCCGAATGCAAAATGGTACGTTTTTTGCCATTGGATCAGACCCTTCACTGTTTCTCAATGTTTTTTACACTAAAAATCACTATAATTGATAGAAAAATCGGGCTATTTTAGCCAACTTTTACTATTCTCATTTATAAAATACGATGTTTGTGAAATAAATAACCTCAAACGTGTTTGCAAATACGTTGATTGTTTTTAGAAGCGCAGTTTCGTTATTTTTGAAATACTTTTATTTCGAGTTTTTTGCGATTTTAACTTTGTTGTAGATGGCCACCGAATTCGATGGATTTACCTTTGAAGCCGTGAATTTCGACAAAAACAAACATGATTGGGCCGATATGAGCAAAATCGAGTTAAAGTTTGCCACGTTGAAGTATGATCCGGCTAAGAAAACGCTACAAGTAAGGTGATGTTGCAGTATGTTGATAAGCTAAAATTTGAGTTGGCAGCAGGGTAAGATACGGCATTTTGGGATATTTGTGCCCTATAAAGCCTAATTTAGCTGTATTTTCTTAAATTTAAGAGCTGTTGGCTTCAAAAACATTGATTTTTATATTACACTTGAGGTCGAGGTTTGAAATCTCTGGAAATTTATGGTAAAATACGAGCGTCCTTTGTAACCTAGCCTCTCTATGATCTTAGAAGAGTATTCAGGCCGATTTGGAGTTAATTTGACGTTTTACTTAACTTGATCAAGGCCTTGACATTACACATGCCATCAAGTGTAAAAAAGTGAAGTTTTCTAAAGTTCTGTCGTAGTTTACAATGAAAAATTTTAATCATAGACCATGATTTACCTTCTGTAACCAATGGAACTCTCAGCTAAATCAATTTTTATATTATTTTCCACTTGATGTTGGCTTAGCTGTCAAGTGTAATATCAGCTCAAAACGGTTTCACAAAATACCTCTTGCAGGTCCTAGATCAACTTAAACTCCCCACAGAGCAATCCTACATCGATGTGAACAATGTTCAAGACGCTTTTTCCGTGATTCGCAACATGAATGTGCGCGGAGCCCCTTTAATTGCGACGGTAGCCCTTCTTGGGCTGGCTGTGGACCTCGAACACAACCCAGAATCCAAACGAAAACCGGTCCTAGAGTACATTAGAGAATCTTGCGAATATTTAAAGACCTCGAGGCCTACGGCAGTTAACTTGACCAACGAAATTTTGCGGCTTTTTGAATTTTTGGGCCAGATCAAGGGCGAAAGTGAAGAAGAAATTCGAAAAAAGTGAGGGAAAATTTTAATAAAATGAATCGCAAAATTATTTTAAGGGTCCAAGACCGCTCTTTCGCCCATTACCAAGCCGAACGAGAGGAAAACGATCTGCTTTTGAGAGAATCGACCATCTGTGTGGAGCACAATGTCCCAGCTGGGGTCGACAAATTGAATGTGATTACTATCTGCAATACAGGAGCGTTGGCTACATCGTCCTTTGGAACTGCTTTAGGTCCGTGAGAAGAATTTTGGGAGAAAAACAAGGGATGTTTGAAGAATTTTTGGTCTAGTGTAATATAATGATGACCGAAAAATACGTCGAATTTGAGAATTTTAGACCTAGACTGGCAGAATACAATTGTTTCTGCTTTGTGGAATTGTTTTTGGCCAGAGTGGAGTCCGAAATTTGGGATTTCTCGCAATTTTTTTGTCTAGTACAAGGTCAGGTCAAAGCAATGGAATTTGAAAAAAAATCGGGGTCAATTTTGAGCTTTAAGGCTTTCAAAAGGCACAGTTTACAATGTAGTACTGCCAAATCAAATTTATAAAAACTTCTTGGAATCAAAATTTTCTTCGATGACTTTTTTACCGGAGTTGGACGACTGGGGAAAAAGACGATTGGGGAAACCGAAAAGTATTATTTTTCTTCGATGCAAGTGTCGAAATTAGGATAATCGAGGGTGCTGATTTCGTAAATGACATTCATTTTTTTGATCTTTACTTTTTTCCTTAAATAGTACTGTAAAGTAGTAATTTTTTGAATTTTTCTCACAAATATTCGATTTGGGGGGTTTCTATAGTGCTGATTTCGAAAATCTTATTCATTTTTTCTGATTTGAAAGCAGCATCATCGAAAACTCCCAAATCGAGTATTCATGAGAAAAATTCAAAAAATTACTATTTTACAGTACTACTTAAGGAAAAAAGTAACTATCATAAAAATGCATGTCATTTTCGAAATCAGCAACCTCGATTATCCAAATTCCGACCCTTGCATCGAAGAAAAATAAAACCTTTCGGTTTCCCCAATCGTCTCTTTCCCAATCGTCCAACTCCGGTAAAAAAGTCATCGAAGAAAATCTGGATTCCATGAAATTTTTATAAATTTGATTTTGCAGTACCACTTCGTAAACTGTGCCTTTTGAAAGCCTTAAAACTCAAAATTGACCCCGATTTTTTCCCAAAAATCCATTGCTTTGACCTGACCTTGTATTAGGCAAAAGAAATGTCAAAGCTAATGAATTAGGACCTGTACTATATAAAAATTGAAGTTTAGTCTTCAAACTCTCCTTTTATTACCTTTAAAAATCCAAAATCATCAAATTTTAGGAGCCATCAAAGCCCTAAACGACCGAAATCACCTTGAAAAGGCGTACTGTCTCGAGACACGCCCCTATCTTCAAGGATCTCGTCTGACAGCCTTCGAACTCTCGGCTCAACACATTCCTCACACCCTGATCAGCGATAATATGGCCGCTTATTTGATGAAAACCCGCCCCATTCACGCCATTTTGGTTGGGGCCGATCAAATCGCCGCCAACGGCGATACGGCCAACAAAATCGGGACGTATCAACTGGCGGTGACGGCGAAATATCACAAAGTCCCGTTTTATGTGGTAGCGCCCACTTCTTCGATCAATCTGAGGATCGGGTCGGGCGCCGACATTAAAGTAGAGGAAAGGCCGGCCGACGAGTTAAAAATCATCAACGGAAAGCACATTGCCCCGTTGGATACGCCGGTTTGGAATCCGGCATTCGATGTGACACCTAATGAGCTGATTTCGGCGATCCTCACGGAGAAGGGAAATGTTTTACCAAGGGATGTGCCCACCTTATTTTAGGTATTTATCAACATCTCCAAACTTGTCTAATTTGTCAAATTTTTACAAAAAAAGACTATAAATGTTATAGAAAATGGTTGTAAGTAGCAATAAAAATTTTTAAACGTTACAAACCTTTGGAAAGTTAGAGCTGAACACCTGAGATCATGGATAAGATAAAGTCATGAAAATGGATGAACTAAGTGATGGCTAGATTGCAGTGATAGACAAAAGGCGGTGTGGATTAATCCTCGGGCTCCGGAGGAAATTGTTTTTCGGCTTCTTCGACTGCAAATTTAGGTCATGTTAGACTAGGTGAAATAATGAATATAGGTATAAAACCGAAACAAATCTGACTTGAAAACATCTTAAAAACTCTTAAGCAGTATTCAAAAGCTATCTGCAGAAAAATGAACTTGAATTCACTGGATTTTTAAGCAAAAATTTGATATTATCCTTGATCTAGTAGCAGCAATGCCGAAAACCCCAAATTTTCGTCGAAACCCAGTAAAATTGTCTCTCAAAAACTAATCCACCTTGTAAAATGAGGATTTTTCTACCTCTGTGATGTCGAATTTACTAACAAACTTCCATCTTCCGATCTAAAAATCGAAACAAAAATTCCATCAAAACCTTACCCTGTTTTGCATAAATCTTTGGATTCTTCTCCGCCAAAACCTGTTTGATCGCTTTCAACCGCCGAAATACAGACTCCAGATCCGCCTTGGCCTGCTGTATTGTCTGTGTGGCTTGCGTGAATTGCTTTTTGACCTCTTCCAGGCGTTTTTCAGTCAATTGACGACATGTCAGCAGCATTTCGTTCGTCTTTTCGAATCGTTCAAGGCTAAAATAAGGTGAACAAAGTCAAATGTGAGATAGGAAGAGTGGCTTAAAGCTAAAAACGTCTAAAACCCGCGATTTTTGATCAAATTTTCATCTACAACATCAACCTGATGTGATGCTCCTGGAAAATCGCTGAAACCCGTGGAATTTGCAGTCGCCGGGGTAAAAATGAACCTATAAGGAAACAGCAAAGCCACCTGCAGCTAATGAGCCACATTTACAATACATTTCACTTTAATTTTCACGTGCAACATCAAAATCTCCGTAAGCCCCACTAAATTTATATTATCCTTCACAAATTCGGCCCGAATTCTCCTAAAAACGCAAAAATAAAAACCCAACAAACGTACGATTTCTTCTGGACATTGATAACCTCCATTATCGCCTCTTCATCCACCTGCGTCATCAAAGATTCGACAAAATTCTCTTCTTTGAAGGAGTCAACTGATTCTGTTGATGATCCCTTCGCTTTTTCCAACGATGGCCCGGGTTTTGCAGTCATTTTTGAGCGGAATTTGAGCTAGTCGTCGAGTTGAGGGAATTTTTCAGCTTTTCCGAAAGAAAATAAAAATAATTTTCCAATGCGCCAAGTCTTCCGCTGATTTGGGTCATCTCTTTCTTCCCAGGCGAAACCAATAAAATACGACGAATAGAGCCAAAGTAAGATGCGGATGATGCTTCATGAGTTCGAAAAATCAAATCTTGACAAAATCTTGATATCATAACCTCATAAAAATGTTCGTATTAACCTCTAATTTATGAAAATTCAACAAAAATTACAATGAATAAATAAAATAATCAGTACTCAAAACTTCGATTGAATTTCTTCTCACAAAAGGTTTTGAGTTGTAAAGAGCGTTTCTTGAGTGTCGCTGAAGCATGATCACTGTCGGAAATGTTGGCAAATAACATGGGGATCACCGTTTTCAAAAAATTATCACCAGTGAAGAGATCTTCGAAGAAATCGTTTTGGATCAGCTTGATTTGGAAGTAAAATAGGACAATAAACTCTTCAAAGAGCTCGGGAAACTTGGGAATGTCCTTGGAACAGTCGGCTAGTAGGTGAAGTAGGCGTTTCCATTGATCAAGACCAACGTATGACTGTAAAATACGAGTTAATACAAAAAATTTGTGATTTTTACAAGGCCTACCTAATTAAGGGACGATTGAGGAAACCGAAAAGTATTATTTTTCTTCGATGCAAGTGTCGAAATTAGGATAATCGAGGGTGCTGATTTCGAAAATTACATTCATTTTTTTGATAGTTACTTCTTTCCTTAAGTAGTACTGTAAAATAGTAATTTTTTGAATTTTTTTTCATGAATACTCTTTTACTCGATTTGGGGTTTTCGATGGTGGTGCTTTCAAATCAGAAAAAGTGAATATGATTTTTGAAATCAGCACCATCGAAGACCCCTAAATCCAGTATTTATGGAAAAATAATCAAAAATTACTACTTTACAGTACTACTTAAAGAAAAAAGTAATTATCAAAAAAAATGAATGTAATTTTCGAAATCAGCACCCTCGATTATCCTAATTTCAACACTTTCATCGAAGAAAAATAATACTTTTCGGTTTCCCCAATCGTCCAACTCCGAATAACTAAATTTCGACTTGTTACAGTAACCCGCGGCTTCCAAAATAAAGTGTAACCTCTTCTTTCTTGTATATTCTACTTATCCTAACCTTTTACACATCTAAAAACTCTTAAACGTTCTTCAAAATTCCCCAATATTCACCATGACCCACCTGGCCAATCAAGAAGATCACATAGGCATACTGCACTTCTCCCAGCAATTCTTTGTAGCCCACTTTCTCCAGGACCCTCTCTAGTCGGGTTTTCTTCGTAGTTTGGCCAGCAACATTCTAGAAATCGAACAAAACCATCAAGAATTATATTACACTACCCACCTCGGGAAGTTCGGTGAAAAATATCCGTCCACCGGGCTTGTAATCGAACACCGGTAAGCCTGCTTCGTCTTTGAATCTAAGCCTCGTTGGATGATCCTTATTTACCGTTGAGATGCCTTCCGACGTCCCCTAAAATGATATAATTTATATCAGGTCAGGTGAGGTCAAAGATTCCTAAAATTGACAAAAAAATATGCATAGACAACAAATTCTCACCTGTTTCTTCTCCTCGGCTTGTTCTTTTGTCTCAAACTCGAGTTGCTCACTAATTTTTCCCAACTTATTCGCCGGTCGCAGCCTTTCAAAGACCTCTTTGCTAATGTGAGAAGTGATCGATTGCCATTCCTTATATTGCGGATAGGGATACACAGCCAGATGGTCGTCATAATTCTTCATTATCTGCTGGGCTTGAGCCTTCTTGGAGTCGGAGACATCCTGAAAATAAAGCTATATTATCCATGACCAAAAACAATATTTTTTTAAAAAATTTTTGATAATTGTGCAAAAACACCCAGTGAAAATAGGAAAAACGAACATAAAATAATAAATAAAGGCATATTCTCCAAAACAAATCAGATTTTTCACCCACCTCTGGCCAGAAATCGCTGAAAAGTGAGTCCTCGAAATCCTCGTTAGCCGTATTCCACTTGGGCGCGTAGACCGTCCCAAAACCGACCCAAATGAAGAAAGAAATGGTTGGAGCTTCCTTGTACTTCACCGTAATGTAGTGTAGACCAGGCGGAATCATTTTAAATCCCATAAACTTCTCGGTTGGAGTGAAATTTCGATAATCTATCCCGATTGTAATATCTTTCTTTGGAAGATTGGGAAATACCTGGAATTTTGAGATTTTTTGGGGCAAAATTCAAAAGAATATGGGTGAAGGAAGGTCTGGTAAGCTTTTCAGATAGTTCTGGGAACCCTTTCAAAGGTTTTTAGACGTCATAGTTGAACGGGTATCTATTTTTAGCCAAAAACGCTGCCATACCCAAATTTTTTGTCTAAATCAAGTAGATTTAAAGTCAAAATCAAAGAAGAAGTTCTTAAAGTGCTTCTAAAACTATTAGGTTGAAAATTAAAAGGCATTTGAAGGCATTGCGCCCTTATACTTCATCAACCCTTCAGTTTTTTCATAAAATTTCCGATTACATCGAACCCCTTGTCAATATCGGGTCTAAACTAACTCCTTATCCATCCTGTCAACTCCCTAAAGATCAAAAACACAAAAATAAAAGTAAAAACGCACTATAAATCCTCCGTTATTGTAGATTTCATTGGCCAGCTCTGGATGGATCCCATTCTGAATCAGTTCGTTTTCCTTGGCCACGAAATGACTTGGCATCATGTAGGTGGTGGAATTCTCGTCCGAAGACACGATTCTAGCCATGTTGAAGTTATTTATCAAGCAATTTCACAATTTTTTTGACTCAAAAAAAATTCTGGAAAAAATTATTTTTTCTCTGGCATTCCGTTTCAACTTTTGTGCCAAATTGCGGGAAATTTGAAAATTGGACATTCGAAATTTGATGAATTTGAATTTGGATGAGAAAGTTGTCGTCTTGGAGTATGCGATTTTTCAAATTTCCAAATTTCCACTTTCATTTTCTCTCTCGTCTCTTCGCGGCCAGTGTTCTCTCAAGTTTGAGGTGCCAAAATGGCCGCACCTTCTTCCCAGTTCGTCGCCGAGCAAGAATTCCCCAACCTGCCCAACTACGCAGCCTATTGTCCGGAGAAACTGGGCAACTTCGACACGAAAACGGCCAAATCCGGCTCCAAAACGCGGCTTCCAGCGAATGTGGCGGATTTCCTGCGAAACAACCAAGTCAAGAGGATTACGGTGGAGGATATTTTCGCGCTGGCTTCGATTCCCGGCTTCAAGGAGAGTTTGAGGCAGTATAAAGTGGAGAAGAAGAACCGACGACTCAATTACAAGCAGATGGTCGAGTTGGAGACCGGAAGGGAAAAGGTGCGATAATTCGAAAAATTTCGCAAAAATTTTGAGCAAACAGCCTAAAACTTCCCAAAACATCCCTAAGCGACATTTTCGATCAAAAATCGGGCAAAAAATCGAGATTTTTTGTCATTTTTTGATTGGAAATTACGCACAGTGCAAACATCCGAAATTTGCACTGTGCAGTCCATTCTGAAGTCCTCGCCCTTCCCAGAAATTCGCGACTAAATTAAACGCGACAAGTTCTTTGTCAAAGATTTGTCGCAGGTTTTGCCAAATGCCGCTCAGGACTGCACTGTGCAGTTGAAATCAGAAAAAAATTGGATTGCACTGTGCAGTTTAAATATGATGAAAACAGGACTGCACTGTGCAGTCCAAAATAGGTGAAAATAGGACTGCACTGTGCAGTTGAAATTGGACGAAATCAGGATGCACTGTGCAGGTGAAAAAAGAAAAAAAGGACTGCACTGTGCAGTCGAAATTAGGTGAAAATAGGACTGCACTGTGCAGTTGAAATCTGATGAAATCAGGACCGCACTGTGCAGTCCAAAATAGGTGAAAATAGGACTGCACTGTGCAGTTGAAAAAAGAAAAAATCGGACTGCACTGTGCAGTCGAAATTAGGTGAAAATAGGACTGCACTGTGCAATTGAAAATCTAACAAAATTACGATTGCACTGTGCGGTTCAAATTTTTTTGTTGAAATTTCAAATTTCAGACCCTGCCATTGGTCTCCCCTCGTTCCAACTCCCAAAAGAGCCTTCAAGAAACCCAACTGAGCCTCAGCTCGCCTCGTTCCGAGCCGAAAACTCCGGATCAATACGCGGAATTGGATCAAAGCCAGGAAAATCAGAGTCCCAACTTTGAGGAGATGAGTCCAGCCGAATATTTGGAGAAGTTGGCGGTCCAAACCGCCATGGAGGCGCAGAGTTTGGTGTCGGTTCACACTGGAGAGGCCAAGAGTTCGACCAGTTTGACCACGGCCAGAGATTCGGAGAGCTGGGAGAACCTGAAGACGGCTCTGTTGAAGGCGGATACTTTTGGAGGAGAGTTGGTAAGAGCCATTTCAGTGGGCTAGAGTAAAATTTTGTTGATATCCAACGAAAAAATTTTTTTTTAAATCACCTTATTTTAGGCAAATTTTTGAGATTTCTAATATTATTTTGAAATCTGAACGTAGCATTTTTTCTATAGATGTTAAAAGCCATATTCTACCATACCATTTTTCAATTCGCCGCTTTCGAAATTTTAAAAATCGAAAATTCGCTAAAAATGACCTTATTTTAGGTAAAAATTGATTCTAAATTTTATACAGCTTCTTAAATTTCAGGAAGGTCTCAGTCATAGTCCTGCAGAAGTACTCAGCAACGATACGAATGATGTGGCTGAGGGAATGGACAATATTTTTGGTCAACAGCCAACCAGTTTGTCAGTTGAGGCCACCTCGGCCAGATATCGCAAAATTTAGAGATTTTTTGTGGAAAAAATAAACTTATTACTGCTTAGACTGGCCATTAATCTTATTTCAGACCTTTCCAGGCTATCAAATATAACAAGGAAGGTTTTTTAAAAAATAAGAAATTTTCGTATAAAATGTCACCTTTTTACAAGAAAAGTACTTCTATGGGGTATGGAGTTACAGGTCGAGAGATATATCAAAAGAATCGCAAAATTTTTCTGGTTCAGAATATGTAAAAATTAGCTGCACAATTTTGGTTTGTAAGGACGAAAAAATCCTCAGAAATTTTCTCGCAACACCAGGCAAATGCCTTTTTGACCAAGTTTTTACCAATTCAAAAGCTTTAGTTTTGAGCTAAAGTAAACCCTGACATCTTGAAAAGCCTTAGAATATATCACATTTGATTAATACTACAATATCTTAAGGCTTGTCAAGATGCCAGTGTTTCAAAGCAAAACTTTTGAATCGGTAAAAACTTGGTCAAAAAGGCAGTTGCATTGCGTTGCGAGAAAAGTTCTGAGGATTTTTTCGTCCTTACAAACCAAAATTGTGCAGCTAATTTTTACATATTCTGAATCAGAAAAATTTTGCGCTTTTTTTTTGATATATCTCTCGACCTGTAACTCCATACCCCATAGAAGTACTTTCCTTGTAAAAAAGGTGACATTTTATACGAAAATTCCATATTTTAACAAGGAAAGTACTTTTATGGGGGCTCCTACTTTTTGACGGGACATATCTCAAAAAATCAAAAATGTGCTGATCAAGGATATATAAATCTTAGCTGCCCATTTTAGATTTTTAGGGGTGAAAACTCAATCGGAAGTTGACTTAAAGTCCTATATGAACCCCTTTTTGCTTAATTTTTTCACAGGGTTACAATTTTTATTTTGGCTTAAAATGGTGTTTATTGAGTTTCTAACTCAGCCACACCGCTCTCTTCCGAAGGAAGAGACCGGCTAAGCTTTTTATCGTTTCGAATACCTGCGCCTTTTGTAGGGAAATTAAGCCAGTTTTTGGGCATTTTCACCCCTAAAAGCCCAAAATGGGCAGCTAAGATTTATATATCCTTGATCAGCACATTTTTTCTGCTTTTTTGAGATATGTCCCGTCAAAAAGTAGGAGCCCCCATAAAAGTACTTTCCTTGTAAAAAAAAATCACCTCAAAAATTTTCAATAAATATCGTTTATTGTTGGAAAAACTCCGATCACAGCTGTTATTGGCGGCATAAAAAGTTCACTTTCACTATCAAACGTATTCTTAAAACTCTTATATTCTCTTAGAGTATACCGGTAAAATTCCAAAAAACTGCAAAATCGACCGGTAAATTACCACTGAGTGTCCCAATCATCGTCACTATCGCCTTTAGAGGTCTCTGTTTCTTGGATCGCAAATTTATTTTGAGCAGGTTTCGCTGTCGCTGCGCTTTTTTCTTGTTTTTTCTCTGCAAAATCCAATTTTTTCGAGGAATTTCCTTGAATTCCCGTGTTTTTCTCAATCTTATTCAATTTTTGTCCCCCCAAAGTCTTGTTTGGCTGGTCTAGACTAAAATCTTTGAGGTCATCGTCCAATCCCCATCCATTTTCGTCTTCGAAAAGGTCTTTTTTCTCCACTTTTTTCAGGATCAGCGGTTTTTTGGCGGGCTTTGGTTGGGCTGCGCTGAGGTGCGCTAGGCTCGGCAACTTGCGAGTCTGCTCCGGGGAAGAGGTCGTCGAATTTCTCGAGGATGGGGGCTTCGATGAGGCGTCCACAAACGCCGGGGACACTGATCTTGGAGGCGTTGGCTGGGCCGATTCCGGCTGATTTCCGGGCGGGCTTTGGCCCGGCTGGCCCGGTGCTGGCTGCTGAGGTACGGCGCCCTTGTAGAATTTCCCAGACAGTGCTTTTAATGCCCACCCGGCCCACTAAAATCGCAAAAATTTAAAATTATCTCACATTTTCATGTCTCAAGTAATATTACCCTCCAAAAAAGGTAAATCTCACCTTATCCGAGCTTAACAATGAGCCCTTTCCGCCGCTCTTGACCTGTGCTTCCAGTTCTGGAATCAATTCGGGATTTTCACTGGCCTTTTCGAGCTTCTCGAGGAAATTTTTTAAGGCTTTGAAGGCTTGGTCTCTGACCTAAAATAAAAAAATTAGTTAAAATACATTCAGTATCAAATTTATGAAGCTTTTCTTATAAATTTTGGAGATAAGGTTCAATTTAGGGACAAAAGGGATTATTTTTGATAAATTTTTGATGTTGTATTAGATGAAATTTTAATTTTTTTACAAGGAAAGTATGTCTACGGGTATGGAGTTACAATCGAGACATAAATCAAAAAAATCGAAACTTTTTTCTAATTCAAAAAGATTAGCTGCCTGGTTTTGGTTTGTAAGGGCAAAAAATCCTCCGAACTTTTCTCGCAACACCACGCAAATGCCTTCTCGACCAAGTTTTTACCAATTCAAAAGTTTTGTTTTGAGCTAAAGTAAACACTGACATCTTGACAAGCCTTAAAATTTCAAATTTGATCAATACTACACCTTAATTAGTAGTTCCAATGTAAAAAAGGGCATTTATTATGGTGTAGTATTAATCAAATTTGACGTTTTAAGGGTTGTCAAGATGCCAGGGTTTACTTTAGCTCAAAACAAAGCGTTTGAATTGGTAAAAACTTGGTAAAGAAGGCATTTGCGTGGTGTTGCGAGAAAAGTTCTGAGGGTTTTTCGCCCTTACAAACAAAAATTGGGCAGCTAGTTTTTACGTATTCTGAATCAGAAAAAATTTGCGATTTTTTTTGATATATATCCCTACCTGCAACTCCATACCTCATAGAGGTACTTTCCTTGTGAAAAAAAAATTTTTTAATTTCATCTAGTACAACATCAAAAATTTAACAAAAAAAACTTGTTTTGCCCTTAAATTGCACCTTATCTCCCTTCTTCATCTCTAATAGGCATTCCTCCTTACCTACCGTCCCATTTCACCTCAATATTCCACTTTTCATCTACTACAATACAATTTTTCAATTTTTCCCTACTACAATCTCCAAAACCCTCTTGCCTGTTTGTCCGGGTCCACCGTGAGCGGTGACAAGGCCGGCATCACTTTGCCGGCCACTTCCGCCAAACTATAGAACTGTTGCGTGGCGGAGAGGGCCAAAACTCCGGCCATTCTGGCTGGTGGGAAGGGGTCCTTCAGGGCTCTGGTGAATGCGTTAATCAAAATTCTTTGACGATGCGATGGGTCCAAATAGCAGCCAATCTTGCCCAAGCATATCGTGGTGTTCGTTCGGATCGAGGGTTGGTCGTCGGAGCCCTGCAGACGCGCCAAATACTTCATGAGGTCCACGTTCAGGTTGTTGTAGTTCAACTTCTCGGCGAAAACAACAATCGCTTTCACGGTGCTCTCTCTGACCGTCGGGTTTGTGTCCATGAAGCCGGTGATGAGGTTGCTGAAAAGTGGAAATTATCGAAAAATAAAAAAAGCGAAAAAATTTCGGAAAATCGAAAAAAAATCAAATTAAAAATCCCAAAATTTTATGACAACAAGTGTAAAATCGTATTTTGTGCCCTAAGGAATGTAAAAATTAAATTTCCGGGTGCTAAAATACCAATCTCAAAAAAAATTTTTTTTGAAAACTTTCCAAAAAAATTCAAAAAAACCTCAAAAATCCATGTCAACCCCCTAAATAAACATCTCCAAACTTTTTAAGCTCATTTTCAACCCTCAACTACCACTTCTTTCCCCTTACCTATAAATCTTATCATTGACAACTTGTTGGCTTAGATGTGGTGCGAATTCATCGATTTTCTCCAACAACCGAACCCTCGTGCTTCGATCCGGAGAGCTAAACAGCTTCACTAGAGACGGCACTATCCTCGTCTGATACTCATTCTCGTCCAATAAGCGGCCTAATTTGAACATTGGAACCAAAATGTGAGACCCCGCATCACCGTATTCGTAGGTCTGGAAATCGAAATTTTAGATGTCCAAGTGGCAAAAAAGTTTAGAAAGATTCTTCGAAAATGCTCTTTCACATCGTAACCGACCTAAAAACACAAACAACCAAAGTCGCTTACATGTATTAATTTGGGCAACAATTTATACTTGGCGATGTCATCCGGGAAGAGCCCCAAATTATCCTTCAAATTCATAAAGAATGCGGATTTTTCCGCTGAATCCTTCAGCTGGAACTCTTCTAGGAACAATAAGGTGTCAACAAATTTGTTCTTCATGAAGCCACCGTTAGCTCTGGATTCTGGAATTTGAAAAATTTAAATTCCCAATATTCGAGCTAAAACAAGGTAAAATCTCTCCGAAAACACATATAAAATCATCTTCAAAATGCTATCTGAGCACTTACCACTTAGCAAATCGCCTGCGGCAAAGACCTTTCCTTTCGAATCAAGTCTTTTGAAAAGTCCTTGAAGTCGCCTTGGAATCTTGGTTAAGGTCTTGTTTTGAGGTGGAGATTGATCGAATCCATTGAAAACTTGCCATATCACGTCGGCCAGACCATTTAGATCAGCTTTTGGCGAGCTACAATATACAAATTTACATTGCAAAAAGTGAATTTCTCGAATTTCCACTTTATTCATACCTAAATACAGAAAAAATAAAAATAAAAGTTGTTACCTTATCGTATCTGCCCTCTGGAACCCACTCAACTTCCAGTCACCACTTTCCGTCACATAAATCGAATCTTCGATGTTGTTTTGACTGATCTTGGCTTCGTTGTGCAGGAATTTCAATGTACTCAAGATCTGATATAAGCCCCAGGAAACAATCAATTCTTTCTTGGCATCATCAAGATCTTTATCCTCAAAATATGTCCGGAGTGGAACACAAGGCTCGGTGATCAAGTAGAAAGAGTTTTCAGCCTGAAAATTTTGATTTTTTTAGAATTTATAAGGTCTTTTTATATTACACTATACGTGTGAAAAAAATGGAAACAGTGAAAAAATCAGATGCAAATACGACTTCTGCTTGTCAAAAAAACCAAAAAGACTTCATGAGTCAGCTCCCGCGAAATTTTTAACTCTCTGGTTTGCTCAAAACCCCTCCCAAACATCGAACCTAAACTCATCAACAATAAGAAATTTCTCACCTCAAGACTGTCCAAAAATGTCAACACGTTTGGATGTCTGATAGTCTTAAGCTTCTGAGTTTGCACCCTCAGACTTTGAACATCGCTTTGAGTCCAAAAACACGTGGCTTTAACGTTGGGATCGGCCTGAAATTAATTTATTAGAAAATTCATCCATCAAATCAAAAGAAGACCTAAAAATGAACGAATAAAATCAAAACACTTACCTTTCTAAAACTGTGACCCATTCGTATCCCATCTTTCTGTGCAAAGAAGTCATTCGGTAGCTCGAATGGGAAGTTAGACTTGGGATCTCGGGAGAAGAACGAGCTGAGAACCGAGGTCATGGGTAATATTGGGAACGGGCGAGAAAAGTGTGGATGTGAGGTGGCAGTGGTAACGGGAATAGAAGTGAAAGCAGCCGAACAAGGAAGGAGAAGACCGGATTCTGCGATTTTGCTGCGAAAAAGCGGAGTGTCACAAAATTATTGGATTTTTCGACGAAATGTCACAAAATTATTGGAAATTTGTAAAATACGGCGAATCTTCTGTTTAACGGCTTCAAATTGTCTCAGAGACCCCAAATCAACGATTTGATTCATAAAATTTTTTGAAAATCTTCATTTAGCATCATATTTTTCAAAATTTTTAAAATGAGATAACAAAAACTATCAATGAATCGTTCAATTACAACCTAACTACGTTTATTCTCTCAAACAAACATTAACAGATCAATTAGAGACTGATTTATCATCCAAAATATATGAAACCATCTAAAATAATATTCTTTTCATCTATTTATCCCTTGATGAACTTGACGCCCTTGGCGACGTTCTTCGCGAGCTCTGGCACCGACGCGTCGATGAGTTGTTGTTCGTAGGCGGAGACTTGACCAACACCGAGGATCTTCTCCACTCCCTTTGGGCCGAGTTCCAATGGGGTCGAGAAGTATTCCGCTCCCTTGACGGCATCCGACTTCACATAGGCGCATTCCACAACCTTTTCGCCGCGAAGGCCCTTGATCAGGGAGTTGACGAAACGAGCTCCGGCGTAGGCCATGGAGAGGGTGGCAGAGCCCTGAAAACGGGATCTTATTTACCATCTCGCCGAAAAATTATATTGCACTAGGCAAGACCGAGGATCACCTTCCTAAACCAATAACAAAAATAAATCTCAAATCAACCTACAGTTCCAGCCTTAGCCTTGACGACCTCAGTTCCGGCCTCTTGAATTCTCTCAGTCAACGCCTTGATCTCTTCGTCGCTGAATTTGGCAGCTGGCTTGACTTGGCTGAGCAGTGGGATAATAGTGATCCCGGCGTGACCTCCGACAACTGGGACGACTGTGGAGTTCACATCAAGGTTCTTCTTCTCCGCAACAAAGGTCTGGGCCCGAACAACATCAAGGGTGGTGACTCCGAAGATTCGGCGAGGATCGTAGACGTTGTTGTTCTTGTAGACCTCGGAGACGATGGGGACGGTGGAGTTGACCGGGTTCGTGATGATGGCGATGAAGGCCTGTGGGGCGGCCTTGGCGGCGGCTTCGGCCAAATCGCGGACAATGCCGGCGTTGGTGTTGAAGAGGTCGTCTCTGGTCATTCCCGGTTTTCGGGGGACTCCGGCTGGGATGACAATGATGTCAGCTCCCTGAAAATAACTTTGTTACTTTCTGTGGCAACAGTCAGAGCCATAATCTTAAAGATTTAAAATTTAAGACCAGTATTTTCTCTTCTTCTTCTGGTTCCTAAAAATCAATCCAAAAACAAAAATCTCTCACCTCCAAAGCTCTGTGTAGTTCCTGAGGTCCAGTGTGAGCGGTGACTTGAGCGGGCGAGTCGATGTGCGAAAGATCGGCGGCGACTCCGGGGGTGTTCACCACATCATACAAGGAGAGCTGAGCGACAGCGCGGTTGTTCTTCAACAGCAGACCCAATGGCTGGCCAATACCGCCGCTGGCGCCGAGGAGAGCGACTTTCGGGGCGGATGAGGAGTATCGGACTCCAGCGATGGCTCTAGAGCAGCCGAGCAACATCTTGTTGGACATGGCCATTTTTGGTGTTTGCGGGATGAAAAACCTGAAGTAGGAGGAATACTTTAGTAAAGGAGTGTAAAAACAGGCCGAAATAAACATCTGTGAACTCGAGAATAACTTTATTCCCGATTTCAAGTAAGAAATTATATTACACTAGACATCAGGTAGTGAACATCTCATATTCCCAATGTATTTCCCATTTTTCTGCACCAAAATTGATATAGAATCAAAGATTATGGCTTTAAAAAATTATTTACACGCAAAAACCCCATTATAAAACTAAAAAAACAACCTAAAACAACACAAATTATCCATTCCAAAAAAATTCTCCAAATTTTCATCCATAAACAACTTTAAAATAGCCGAAAATGAGGAGAACGTCCCGTTTCAACGTTCCCTTCAACTCAAAATGCCCCACAAACAAGAGAATCACAAAAAGAAACGAGAGAGCGGGCCGAACGAAGAGGCCGGCAGAGAAAAGGGCGGCCATCCGGCACAAAAACGAATTTCCCCTTTCAAACAACGTGCAAATCACAAGCAGAGTGCTTCAAGACGTTCTTTGAGGCGGTTCGTTGGGTTCCCCATGCGAATTCAATGCCTTATCAGGCGATTTGGGCTGGTTAAGGTCAATGGAAAAAAGGAAGGGAAGCATGGATAATATAATTAGAAATTTCGATGAAAAACGTAGTAAACAGGTAAATTTTGAGCTGAACAGCTTGAAAATGAGATTTAAAACTGAATTTTGTGGGTTGCGCAGCAATTTGAAGAGCTTTCATATTACTTCAGAGCCGATATTGCACTAGACGTCAATTGTAATATTTGAATATCAAACCAAGAAAAAAGCTAAGTAAATTTGGCATAAATAATGAGAAGAGACCATAAGCTTTCATTTGAACCGCATTTCGCTGAACCGCCCTTTACAATTTGTTTTTCGCAGCAAAAAATTGGAGTACCTAAAACCTGGTCAAAAAAAATAAATAAAAACAAAATTACTAAGTAATAGGAGCTGTCAAAAACCCTCATTCTCCATCAGAAAACGTTTTCCCACTATTTCCCGCGGTATGCAGCACCTTCCACCTCTTTTCCGCCGTTTAAGACTATGTTTTTGCTCTCCGACTATCAAAATAATACCTAAAATAATAAAAACATGGGGAAATTTGGGCAAAATGGAAAACCATCGATTGATAACACTCTTATAAACAGCTGGAAGGCAGTACGAACAACAAAAAGTGCATGAAAAACAGCCTACAAGAAAACAAAAAATTCCGTGACACTTCGTCCAATTTCCGACAAATTCTGTGGCATTTCGTTCTTTTCTGTATAAAATGACGGTAAATGATGGGGATTGGGTCAAACAAGGTGGAAAAGACACAGAGAGATCTTGCTATTGATTTTACCATGGCCAAAGGGCCGGGATTTCTGTTTTTGGCATCTCCGGGCCCCCGAAACATTATTTTAGGTCATCAAATTTTAGGTCATCAAATTTTACTCGAAAAAACTCTAAAACTCCCGCCAACAATCTTCAGATGGTCTGTTGAAGATTGAACACTGTTATTTGCGTACAGCGCACCCAGTACACCGTATATTTGAACGAGTCTAGCGCCCAAATTGTAGTGTCATGTAGTGCCCTCTGAAATCTCGGTACGAGTGTAACCACAGGAGAATTTTTGGAATTGGAAAACAAACAGAGTCCTTCAGTCCATTTGGACGTGTTATCGTCAAGATTTTTCGCATTTTCTGTTCAAATTACGGTAATTTTCACGAAGTATTTGTAATTGTTGGGCGTTCAAAAACACCCAAATTTGGGTGTTTTTGAACGTGCTGGTTGGGTGGATAGGGTGGTGTTAGATCTGTAATCTGTAATTTGCGACTAGGATAGGGGGTTTTCTTACTTTCTAAGAGGAAAAAATTAATTTTCGTTCAAAATTCTTGATTTTTTTAACAGGAGAAGTGCTCCAAGTGTGACGCTCAAATTTTGATGAAACTTGGCACAAATTTAGAATAATTTTTTCTAAAATATATGCGAGAATTCTGGCTCGCGCTTTGCAGAAACAACCGAGATTTTTACACCGAAAGTCGGTGAAAATGTGACACTTTTTCTCCGAATTTTGGCACGAAAAGTTTCATGCCTATTTCTACCATAGAGTTTAATATTTCCACAAAAAATCAATTTTTTCCGCACAAAATTGGCAAAGTTATAGCCAAAAGCTGCTTTTCTCTCTGACCGTCTCCGCCTTTAGCGTACTCTCTCGGCGGCAAAAATCGTTGAATATCTCGGCGGCGCTTGCAAAGCGTGAGCTAAAACTTTCAGGAATTGGTATTTAGTTCATGCCCAACATGTGTGCAAAATTTGAAGAAAATCTGAGCATCCCATTTTCGGGGTACATCCGTTGTAAAACAATATCAAAAGGTGGTCAAAATGTCTTCTAACCGCTTTGTAGCTGCCTTTAAAACAATCAAAGTTAATTTTCAGCCCATTTAACGCTATAATGAACGGCCCTTCGGCTTCAAATCCCTATGCTTGGGAGGAAAATCGGCAAAAATCGACAGCTCCAGCCAATGATGAATATTTCTTTTGGTTGTCAGTCAGCAAAATGATGCATGAAGCCATCTTCGCGACCGGTGGGCTATTATTGGCCCTTTTACTGTACTTGGTATTGACAAAAGCCAAGAAATCGATGAAAAATTACAAACAAATGCTGTTGGTGTGCTGTTTGGCCGACATTCAATATCTTATTATATCCCATTTTGTGCAGTTGGTAGGTAATCTAAGAATGATTTAGACTCTTTGGAACATGTTATTTTCTAGTCTTTTTGCGGTTTTGACTGCAAAGAATTATTCATGTCATATTATTCATGATGATTTTATGGGAAGTACTCCAAGTGCGACGCTCAGATTTTCTTTAAATTTTGCACACAAGTCGGGCATGGACTAAGTATCAATTCCCGAAAGTTTTAGCTCGCGCTTTCCCGGGGCCGCCGAGATATCGAACGATCTTTGCCGCCGAGAGAGCACGCTAAACGTGGAGAGCGGTCAGAGAGTAAACACCTTTTTGGCCATAACTTTGGCAGTTTTGTGCGGAACATTTTGATTTTTTGTAGAAACATTATCCTTTCCGGTTGAAATAGGCATGAAACTTTTCGTGCCGAAATTCGGCAAAAAGTCCTAAATTTTCGCCAACTTTCGATCTAAAAATGTCGGTTGTTTCTGCAAAGCGCGAGCTAGGGTTCTCGCATATATCTTAGAAAAAATTATTCTAAATTTGTGCCAAGTTTCATCAAAATCTGAGCGTCGCACTTGGAGCATTTCCCCTGTTAGATCATCAAGACCCAACAAAGCGTGGAGCTCTGCGTCATGGGCGGTATGGCCCGAAATTTCAGCTACAATGGCCAAGTCGTGGTGATGGCGGTGTATGCCGCGGCATTTGGAATTACAATGACGTCATTGCCAGTCAATTACTATTATCGCTTCCTGTGCGCGGCGGGGTAGGAAAAATCACGTCCCGACTTTTCGGGTCGACACAAAATTTTCAGAAATCCCCCGTCCAGCAAAAAAGCGTTTTTCATGTATATGATCGGCTATGTGGCGGTTGTTCCATTAGCCGCGTTGGCATGGCTCTCCTTTCAGTACGGTGGAATTGGCCGGCCTGGCTTCAATTTTGGCTCTTTATGGTTCAAAACGTCTCCGTTGCCCAAGATTTTAATCGTTGACTTTGTAAGTTTGAACAAAAAAAATAAAAGAAAAAAAATTAAATTCAAAAAAAAATAAAAAAAATATTAAATCCAAATAAAAAACCAAAAAAAAATTTAAAAAAAAATTAAAATTTTAAAAAAATAAATAAAAAAATCAAATAAAAATAAAATAAAAATTCAAGAAATAAAAAATTTTTTTAGAGAAGCCCTTTCACCAAGGTGATGTTAACATATCTCGCAAATTGTGTGGCCGGTTGCTATCTTCTCTCCCTCTACTGGGCCCGAAGAACCGTCAAATTAATGGGACTACATGGACAGAGTATGGTTATGTCGAAGATACACCGACAAGTCGCATTGGCTTTGCTGGCACAGGTAAACGATCTTTTTTTTCAACTTTTGAACTGCACAGTGCGAGATTTTAAGATTATTTTTTGCACTGTGCAAAAATCTAAAAACGTTTTGTCTGCACAGTGCGATGAGTTTATAAATTTTTTTGGATTGCACGGTGCAAAATAGAAATTATTTCGACTTCACTGTGCAAAATCAAACAAATTTTGTCGCGCACAGTGCAAATTGAAAAAAACCGTTTTGTTTGCACTGTGCGGCCACAAATTTTTTTCATCGCACAGTGCAAAAATTGAAAAAAAAAAATTCACTGCGCAAAGACCGAACGTTTTCTTTTCACCGCACAGTGGAAAATTTAAAAATTTAAAAAATTTGCACTGTGCGATCACAATATTTTTTCATCGCACCGTGCAAAATCGTTGTGAGTAAAGCCGATTTTTTCCGCACTGTGCGAAATTGAAAAAACCGTTTTGACTGCACTGTGCGACCACAATTTTTTTTTGTTGCACTGTGCAAAATTGAAAAAAAAAATAGTTTTGGCACCGTGCAAAATTAAAATTTTCTGCCAGCTTGTAATTTCAGGCAATTCTGCCAATTTTCGTCTCCGTCGGCCCGAATGCTGTCCTCATTTCGGCCATTGTCTTCGAAATGGATCCGGGTGTGTTGGCCATGATGATGTTCAATTTCATTGCGCTGATACCATTACTAAACTCACTGTCGACAATCTTGATTTTTCGAGCATTCCGACAAACGCTAACCCAAGCACTTCAACGAGTCGCGAAGGAAATTTCATCGGTAATTTGAAAATTCGAATACAGGGTGTGCCAATTTTGTGGCCCGATTTTAATCGGCTATAACTTCTTTAATTTTGGGCCAAATTTTAAAATTCTTTTTTTCCCTGAATCCTCAGACATCCCCATTTTGTTTAATGCCAAATATGATATACACAGGTAAGTTGAACATAAGTAATCGGCTGTTATGTTTGGTTTCATTTTTTGACTGTATTTTCGGTCATCTTCGCGGTCTTTTCGGCCGAAAAAATGGTACAGTGAGGGACCTGATCCAATGGCAAAAAACGTGTCATTTTAGGGACCAAAATGACTCCAAACCCTTCCCTTCTCTAAGCTCAAAAACTCCGCTTTGAAAATCGCGCTCTTTCCTTCAAGGCGGGCTCTTCAAAGCGGGGTTTTTTAGCTTAGAGAAGGGAAGGATTTGGAGACATTTTGGTCCCTTCCGGGATGCAAGATGAGACGTTTTTTGCCATTGGATCCGGTCCTTCACTGTACCATTTTTTCGGCCGAAAAGACCGCGAAAACGACCGAAAATACAGTCAAAAAATGAAACCAAACATAACAGCCGATTACTGTATGTTCAACTTACCCTTTTATATCATATTTGGTATTAAACAAAATGGGGATGTCTGAGGATTCAGGGAAAAAAAGAATTTTAAAATTTGGCCCAAAATTAAAGAAGTTATAGCCGATTAAAATCGGGCCGTGAAATTGGTACACCCTGTATTTTTAAACATAAAAATTTTTAGGAAAATAAATAGATTCAGATTTTGACGACTTGAAGAAATTTTAACCGAATTTTTAATCGGTTAAAGGTCGGAATTTCAAAAAAAAACAAAAATTTTTTTGATTTTCAATTTCAAAAATTTATTGAAAGATTACTGTACAAAGCTACGAAAAAATTCAAAAAAATCAAAAAAAAATCTCCAAAATTTACAACCCTTAATAGTTGGGGATTCCAGCGCCGGGGGCGTTATTCATATCAAAGTCGGATTGATAGGAAGATGGGATCGAGTCGTTTAAGTAGTCATGACTTGGAATTAAAATATTCCTCGATGGGCTTGGATTTAGGCCTGGCAGTGAAGCCACTGAGGAAATTTTGGCTAGACGGGACCGTTGGTCCGCCTCTTCGAGTTCTTCGAGGTTAAAAAGTTGCTTGAATTCTCTAATGTAGGAGTCGAATTGGTCATCAGGGGCTAAAATTCGAAAAATTTTTCTCTTGAAACTGCTTGAAAATGTAAAAAAAAAACGAAATATATTGTTTTTAAAATACGCCTAGACCATTTCATTATAAAAATTTTCAAGTTTGACCAAAAAATTATGTTATCCATGACATCAAAAAATATCGAAATTTTGGTAAAATACGCCATTTAACCCTGTTTTGAATTAAAATTCAGAGCACAAAACATTTCTCCTTTCTAAAAATACTCAAATTTCCATTAAAAACCTCCAATTCGAAAAAAATTATATTCTCCATGACATCTGATAAAATCGTCCAAATTTTTTTTGGAAAAATAAGTATAATCCTCTAAAAAAATCTCGAATCTATTCAAACAAACTATTTCCAAACTTTTCTCCATTCGAATTGCCACATTTCCGACAAAAATTCTCATAAAATTATCTTATTCACCAGCAGATATAAGAAAAAGTCAAAAATATTTTTTTAAAATACGCCCTTACATGTTTTTTGCCGACTAACTGATCAAAAATCTCAATTCCATTACAAAAATAGTTAAATTCCCATTAAAAACCTTCAACTCGAAAAAAATTATCTTCTCCATGACATCTGACAAAACTGCTCAAAACTTGTCACAAATCCCTCCGTAAACCGCAAATCCATATAAAATATTATCACAGATGGCTTCTTCTTTCCCAAACTACTCAAATCTCCGGGGAAAACATCAAAAATTCGGATGAAATTACCTTATCCATGACATCAACCCGCCCAATCCCAAAACCCTTCAAAACTCACAACTCCCATCCAGCCAGCCCAACTTCCGGACATCACGGAGATGCGTGAAGACCATGTATTTCAGTTTTCGATCGTTGCTCTTCCAGGCCTCTTCCAGCAGCCGCAAACTCAACGTTTTGTCGATGGGGGTGCCTCTCAGCATTCGCAGCGCGTCGATGATTTCCCCGCGATTGATGTAAAATTCAGCGACCTGCTCTCGGTTATTGGGTTTTCGCTTGAGCATGTCCAAGGCGAGCTGGCCGAATTCCGGCTTCTCCTTGGACAAGGTGATCAATTCGAAGGCCAAAAATTTGGAGTCATCCACGACCGAATATTGAAGACACTGCTTCAATTTCTCCATTTCGTTCGCATCCACCATGGTTCTGATGAGGAGCTCGGCAAGATAGTGCTGTTCCAGCGGGATTTCCGCCTTCTGGAATACGGTAACTTCGATTTTTAGGGGGAAATTCGAAAATCTTGGGAAAATTTTGAGCTTTTTTGAAAATTTTGTATTTTAAAACAAAAATAAAGCAAGAAAATGACATCCAAAATGTTCACCATAGAAAGCATATATTTCAAAATACCAATTCGACCTAAAGTATACCATTTCACTACCAAAAATATATAAAAAATGTAATTTTCTTAACTTTTTTTGAAAATTTTGAAGTTTCACCACTTTAAACTTAAAACATCCCTTCAAAAACTCTCGCAGCATGTTTTCTACAATATCATCCCAAATTTAAAATTCATTGCCTACGGTTATCCAGCAATTCAACTTCTGAAAACACCAAATTTTCTCAAAATTATCGGATTTTCCAAAAAATTTCGAAAATTTTGCTTAAAAACATAAAATCTGCCTAAGGCAGTTGTCGCAAAACCCCTCTGTTCTCACCTTTACCGCAGCGTAAAACTCCAGGGCGATTGCTGACAAAAATTTTCGATCCATTTTGGGTTCCTCCTTCAATGGGACCAAGACGGACCGAACAACTTGGTTGTAATCCACTTTTAGGGGCTCAAATGGCTCCGCATTCAGCTTGACTTTGGAGGACATCTCTGTAAATTCACTTATCACTCATAAAAACCTAATTTTCAGTTGTTTAAAATACGAAAAAATAGGCCAAGAAAAATTTTTCAAGAAATTAATTCTATGGTGTATATAACGGTAAATTTTGGCAGAACCCCGTTTTTAATCACGCTGAAATTGATGATTATGAGTAGACACTGCTGCGTAATGATTTTTTATGCACTAATTACTTGTCGGCTATCAAAAATTTCCTTTTATTTGGGATGATTTTTGAAATTTTTTGCTCTCAAGCAAACTACTTCTATGGGGTATGGAGTTACAGGTCGAGACATGTATCAAAAAAATCGCAAAATTTTTCTGATTCAGAATATGTAAAAATTAGCTGCCCAATTTTGGTTTGCAAGGGCGAAAAAATCCTCAGAACTTTTCTCGCAACACCACGCAAATGCCCCTTTTTTACATTGGAACTACAAATTATAGTGGGGGATCTGATCCAGTGGCAAAAAACGTACCATTTTGCATCCGGGAAGTATCAAAAAATGTGGCAAAATGCCTCCTTCTCCAAGTGAAAAAACTTCGTTTTGAAGGGCGACTTCAAATTTCTCTCACAAAAAGAGCGGACGCGCTTTTGAAATCGGAGTCTTTCACTTGGAAATGGAGGTATTTTGCCATATTTTTGATACTTCCGGGACGCAAAATGGTACGTTTTTTGCCATTGGATCAAATCCGCCACTGTAATTAGTAGTTCCAGTATAAAAAAGGGCATTTGCGTGGTGTTGCAAGAAAAGTTCTGATGGTCTTTTCGCCCTTACAAACTAAAATTGGGCAGCTAATTTTTACATATTCTGAATCAGAAAGATTTTGCGATTTTTTTGATACATGTCTCGACCTGTAACTCCATACCCCACAGAAGTGGTTTGCTTAAGAGCAAAAAATTTTAAAAATCATCCCAAAAAAAAGAAAATTTTTGATATCCAATAACTAATTCTCACATAAAAAATCATTACACAGAAGTGTCTACTCATAATCATCAATTTCAGCGTGGTCAAAAACGAGGTTTTGCCAAAATTTACCTTTATTATTGTTGTTGAGAGCCACAGTTGGCTCCTCGAGAATCCGGGTGAAGATCTCGGCCGATTGTCGAATACTGAGTTCCTTGTTCAGCAAGAGCCTTCGTAGTGTTTTCAGGAAGAATTCTTCCGAATTTTTTCGGTTCATTATAAAGTCTAGGAGCATCATCTAAAAAATTGTGTATTAACATAGGTTGTTGATGATAAAATGCAAATATCTCAAACAATTACTCTCGGATTCTCTCCAAATTTGGTCTGCATATTCTGTATAGACCATAAATCAAATCGTAAAAATTTTGGCTTAAAATTTTTAGGTACGGTTGAGAATTCAACATTTTTTGCATGAGAGACCATGCAAAATGAGGTCAGAAAAATGTTGTTTTAAAGATATCTCTCTTGATTTCGCTTGATAAAAATTGAATTTTTGTACAAATATTGTGCCTTACATACAGAATAATCCATCATTTTTTCAAACCCAAAATCGAAAAAAAATTTTAATTTCAAAATTTTAAAAATTTTAAAAAATTTCAAAATTTCGATCCAAAAATTCCAAAAATTTCTGGAAAGCACAAGCCAAAAATCTCACAGCTTCCTTCAAAAATTCCAGTCTAAAATTTGGCCAAATTTCATCAAAATCTACAAGAAAAAAGTCCGGAAAATCCTTCTCACATTGTCCTGGATTTCCTCGGCCGTTCCTTCCAAGTCGATTTTGATCGTCGAAAATATTCCCAGCCTCACATCGGCGATCAAGTTCGGCGGGAATGTGACCCATGCCGGATGATATGTGTTCAAGCTGCTGAAGGCTTCTTTTATCCGGTCGTGGAGTCTTATTGTGGTCACTGCGACCGGTGCTCTTTCCACCAGCGTTTTTTGCAGCCCAATGTCGAAGATCAAACTCTTTGAGGTGTGTTTGTGATGCACGACCACCAAATTGTCAATGGTGTGGATTCCGACTGGGCCATCTGAATAGAAACCGCCTAAGGGTAAATTTTGAAAAAAAAATTAAAATTGCACTGTGCAAAATGAGCTTTCTTTGTTTTGCACCGTGCAAAAATAATTTGCTTCGCACAGTGCAGAGTCAAAACAATTGTAACGCACGGTGCGAAGTCAAGAAAAAATGGAGTGCACCGTGCAAAATCAAAAAACAGTCTGCTGCACTGTGCAGACCAGAAAAAAATTGATTGCACCGTGCAAAAAATACTCCTTTGTCGCACAGTGCAAAGCCAAAAATTTTCTTTTGTCGCACAGTGCAAAATCAAAAAAGATTGTACTGCACAGTGCAGACCAGAAAAAAATTTATTGCACCGTGCAAAAAAACCCTTTTGTCGCACAGTGCAAAATCAAAAAAAAATCTACTGCACTGTGCAGACCAAAAAAAAAAATGATTGCACCGTGCAAAAAAACCCTTTTGTCGCACAGTGCAAAATCAAAATACAGTCTACTTCACTGTGCAGACCAAAAAAAAATGATTGCACCGTGCAAAAAATACTCCTTTGTTGCACAGTGCAAAGCCAAATTTTTTTTTTGTCGCATTGTGCAAAATAAAAAACTGCACAGTGCAGACCAGAAAAACTTTGATTGCACCGTGCAAAAAATCGCTTCTATCGCACTGTGCACAATAAAAAAGATATACTGCACTGTGCAAAACAAAAAAAATGCAGCGCAAAAAAAGTTGATTGCGCAGTGCAAAGTCAAAAAAAAAATCGAGTGCAACGTGCAAAACCCCCAAAAAATAGACTGCACAGTACAGACCGGAAGAAAAAATGATTGCACTGTGCAAAAAAATCTCTTTCGTTGGTTGCACTGTGCACAATAAAAAAAATATTGCACCGTGCAAAAAAAATCCTTTTTGTCGCACAGTGCAAAACCCCACACAAATCTATTGCACTGTGCAAAATAAAAACAAGTCTACTGCACTGTGCAAAACCACAAAAAATAAACCGCACAGTGCAGACCAGAAAACCGATTGCACCGTGCAAAAAAATCTCCTTTGTCGCACAGTGCAAAATTAAAAAAATATCGAGTGCACAGTGCAAAATAAAAAAAGTCTACTGCACTGTGCAAAAACACAAAAAAATTTTTCACAAAAATCGTTTCGCACAGTGCAAAGTCAAAAAACTTTTATCGCACAGTGCGAAATCACAAAAAAATGGAGTGCACTGTGCAAAACTCCAAAAAAATAGACTGCACAGTGCAAAAAAATCTCTTTCGTCGCACAGTGCAAAAAAAATCAACTGCACGGTGCAAAAAACCTGTTTTGTCGCGCTGTGCAAAACAAAAGAATAAACTGCACAGTGCAGGATAAAATAAAAACCTACTGCACAGTGCAAACTAAAAAATTCTCATGCACAGTGCAAAAACAATCTCTTTCGTCGCACAGTGCAAAATAAAAAAAGTCTACTGCACTGTGCAAAACCAAAAAAAAATTTTTTTCACAAAAATCGTAAAATCAAATTTCAATTACCTTGCAAGTTCAATAACAAACTAAACGCCAATTTCGGAGGGCTTTCTGGGCTCATCAAGAACAAATTGAGCCTTTCGATTTGATGTTCCTTTGGTCCGAATTTCAGCACCATTATATACAATCGTCCATACAGCGAGGCGATCGCTACATCACGGTCCAATAAGCGCGGCTTCCATCGGGAACATCCGAAATCGACTTCGAATCGTTGAAGTTTGTGGATGAATCCATTTTGGATGACAAATGGATTCAAAACTGCCGCTGTGACGCCGCTGGCGCATATCAAAAGGTCGGATTGGGGCTGAAATTCCAGAAAAATTAATTTTTAAAAATCTTGAGTAATTTGACCAAAAAAAATTTGAATTTTTCGGAGAAAAAATATATTATTTTAGATGTAAAATTGATAAAAATTACTAAAAACACGGATCTCAAAAGAAGACCAATGCTTTTCTAATCACTCAAAAAAGCATACAGATTCTTTTCGATATCAAATACCATCCAAAATTTCAGTTTAACATACCTAAATCTCGCTTTTTTAGCTAAAATAAGGTCCAAAATCCAAATTTCCCCAAAAAAATTTTTGGAATCTCCTCAAACTTACATGAAATACGAACCAATTAGGCCGAAAGCTAATCGCTTTCACAAATTTGACCGTTTTTCGTTTCGAATTGAACTGATACAACTCGATTCCGCAGTCCGTGATGTAGACAATCTGTTTGTCCGCCACCCACTGAGCGCCCATAATTTTGGTCGATTCGGGTCGGCAGTTCTGTTTATAGTCCGGGTAGACGTCATTTGTCTTGTCTTCGAGGAAAACAAAGTCCTAAAATTCAAAAATTTTTTAAAATTTCAAAAAATTTCAAATTTCAAAATGCTCGGATTTGGATGAAATTTGGCATAGATAAAGAGGGATGTTCTATAAGACATGTGTAAAAATTTCAGATCGGGTTGAGGACAATGAACTGAGATATAAGGGTTTCAAATTCAAAAAATCCCATTTTTCGTCTGAATTCCGATAAAAAGCAGCGAAAACAAAACCAAATTTTTCAGAGGGATTCTCAGAAATTGCAGAACGTAAATGCAGAAAAAATAGTATAATAAAATCCAAAAAATTTTTTAAATTTTAAAAAATCTCAAATTTTCAAAATGCTCGGATTTGGATGAAATTTGGCATAGATGAAGAGGGATGTTCTACAAGACATGTGTAAAAATTTCAGATCGGGTTGGGGACAATGAACTGACAAGGGAATGGTCTGAACTTCCCCCAGCGTTAAGGAAAGTGACTAGTACAGGTGGATAGAGTAGGTCGACTTTGGTAGAAAAAGGCATTTTCCAGCTGCAAAATAAGCACGGCCGACGAGAAAAATCGACCGAAAGTTCCGAAAAAATTTCCTCTTTCTCTTCCCTCGGAAAAGAAGAGGTGCCTCCAGTGGTTCGGTTGGCCGAGTGGATAGAGCGTCCGCTCGATATTCTTTTGGGGGTTGGTTCGATTCCGGGGCAGCGCGAGTGGCTATGATAAGGCTTTGGTGACGAAGGTAAACTCTTGTGGACCAAAAAAATTATTTTGCAATTTTTTACGCCTTCTAGAGATTGTAAAACACATAATAATAAAGGATTTCCATCTAAATTTTGCCATTTTTCTATAAGATTCCAGAAAGGTGCCAGTCATACTCCAATAATCTAGTCATGGACTGTCTGTTTTCCGAACACTCTAGTGGACGTTTGTCAAAACCGCCGATATGATCAAGATGTGCTCCAGTTTGCTCCTTATTGGAGTATGATTGGGAACGTTCTGGAATCTTCCAGAAAAAAATCGCCGGAATTTACATGAAAATCCTTTATTATTATGTGTTTTACAATCTCTAGAAGGCGTAAAAAATTGCAAAATAATTTTTACCTTCGTCACCAAAGCCTTATCATAGCCACTCGCGCTGCCCCGGAATCGAACCAACCCCCAAAAGAATATCGAGCGGACGCTCTATCCACTCGGCCAACCGAACCACTGGAAGCACCTCTTCTTTTCCGAGGGAAGAGAAAGAGGAAATTTTTTCGGAACTTTCGGTCGATTTTTCTCGTCGGCCGTGCTTATTTTGCAGCTGGAAAATGCCTTTTTCTACCAAAGTCGACCTGCTCTATCCACCTGTACTAGTCATTTTCCCGAACGTTGGGGGAAGTTCAGACCATTCCCTTGTGAGATATAAGGGTTTTAAATTCAAAAAATCCCATTTTTCGTCTGAATTCCGATAAAACTTGGCGATAAACAAAATAAATTTCTTCTGAGGGATTTCAAAAATTTCAGAATGTAAATCCACTATAATTATTGAAAAATTCAAAAAATTTTAAAATTTTGAAAAAATCTCAAATTTTGAAAATACTCGGATTTGGATGAAATTTGGGCATAGATGAAGAGGGAAAGCCTTTAAGACACATGTAAAAATTTCAGGTCCCGTTGAGGACAATGAACTGAGATATAAGGGTTTTAAGTTCAAAAAATCCCATTTTTCGTCTGAAACTCCAATAAAAAGCGGCGATAAACCAATCAAATTTTTCTAAATGCTTTCCAGAAATTTCAGAACGTAAATCCACTACAAATACAAAAAAAATCAAAAAATTTTACAGTAATGTAAACTCACACAGCTGTTCTCCTTCCTCTGAGCGCAGCAAATCATGCCATCGGTCGAAAAGTTGAGAGTATTTATTTTCCCTCCATCGCGAATCCGAAATGACGGCCAAACTGGTGCATCCAACCCTTTGGCCGTCACTCCCATGGCACCATTCCCGCGCACTGTGCAGATCTAAAAAAATGTGATTGCACTGTGCAAAAGGAAACTTTTTTGGACTGCACTGTGCAAAATTATAAGTCATCGCGATTGCACTGTGCAAAAAAATTCTTTTGGACTGCACAGTGCAAAACGAAAAATCATCGCGACTGCACAGTGCAAAATTAAAATTCATCGCGATTGCACTGTGCAAAATGAAAAGTCATCGCAATTGCACTGTGCAAAATTAAAATTCATCGCGATTGCACCGTGCAAAGTTAAACCGCATCGCGACTGCACTGTGCAAAATGAAAAGCCATCGCGGTTGCACTGTGCAAAATTAAAAGTCATCGCAATTGCACCGTGCAAAACAAATTCTTTTGGACTGCACTGTGCAAAACGAAAAATTCTTTTGGACTGCACAGTGCAAAATGGAAAGTCATCGCAGATGCACTGTGCAAAATTAAAAGTCATCGCGATTGCACTGTGCAAAACGAAACGTCATCGCGACTGCACTGTGCAAAATTAAAACTCATCGCGATTGCACTGTGCAAAATTGACTTTCTTGCACTGTGCAAAATGAAGCCATTGCAATCGCACGGTGCAGACCAACTTTTCTGCACTGCGCAAAACACAATTTTTTTCAAACTCACTTTTCGATTTACATTATCAAAGAAGATGTCCGAAAGCTGGGAATCCACTTCAAACTCGACAAACTCCTCGCCAAGAGAGAGCATTTCAATATTACTTTAGACAAGTACAAGGTCAAATTTGATGGAATTTCGATAAAGCTTTGTAATTTATCCGTTCTCCATGCAATGTGGACTGTTAGACAGTAAAATAAGTTGCTGAAAATGCAAGAAACATCTTTTTAAAATTGAAAACACAGGAAAACAGCGATTTATGAACAAAAAAGTAAAAATTGATATTCAAAAACTCGGTAATATTCCATAAATTTTCACTCAAAAATCCTTAATAAGACTTCAATACAAGTTTTCCAACCTTTGATTAGTATTAAATTGACATTAACAATTACTTTGATCAAAAAATATTACACTAGACCCCCTCTCTTAAAATCAAGTTTTCGACTTTATTTCCAATAACAAAATAAGATAAAATCCTCAATAGAGATCCGTGTGACTTCTCAGTGGGGTTTTCCATTGACTTTTGGCGCCTTTTCCTTGAAGAAACTTTCCTTATCGAACGGTTCAAGTCCATGGTCCTTGGCCCATTGAACGAGAGGGCGTTTCATGGCATAGGCATCTTCTCCGTCGGCGTAATACTTTGATTCTACATCCATGATGTCGAATTTCAAAACATCACTAAAACACGACAGATTTTAGATGAAAAACTGGAGAAAATTATATTGCACTTGACCTAAAATTCGAAAAAACTAATTCAAAATAAACTCTTACCGGTACAAATGCAAAGCTGCTCGGTTGGTGACACGAACATGAAGAGATACATAGCGAGCGCCATACATTTCCACCATCATTCGAGCCGTTTGATCCATGAGAAGCCGGGCCACTCCTAGTCGACGGTACTCTCTTCTGACTGCAAGTGAAGTGATATGTCCATGAGGTTCGTCTTCGGAGTCCTCTTCCATCTTTGCCAGCACGTAGCCAACAATCTCACCCTAAAAATGGGGGATGTTATACTAGGCGCTGATGGGGCAACAAACTTTGAATAAAAATAAATCAAAGCAAAGATGTTCTGGGTGGAAACAGGCCGCATCTTACACAAAAAAACTTCCTCCACCTAATCAATGCAAAAATTCGAAGATTTTTTGTTTAATCTCCGTTCAAATTTATCAACTATGTTATACTAGATCTAAAACCCAAAATGATTCAATTTAGCAGTCTTTTAAACAAGTTATCAGCTGAATTCTGGTATCAACAACTCCGTGCTATCTTCATCTCTAAATTTCAACACAAAAACAAATCAAAAACTTACATTATGGTTCTCAGCGACGAAAGACAAGGGCCATGAAAGAGCGTGGTAAAGATAATACTTGAGTTGGTAATTCTCGGGCAAACAAAGCAAATTACAATGTTGAGTCTTCACTAAATCCTCCACGGTAGCCCTTCGTATGTTCATCTTAGGGACAGCCTGAAAATTTTGGGATTTATATTATACATGGTATCGGAAGAAAAAAAGAGATAAAATACGAGGGAAATAAAAAAATTACAAGAAGTCTTGAACGCAAAATGAAAGATGAGTAAATTGAGCAAGTGTAAAACACGTTCTAAACAGCAGAAAATCTTCTATAGCCCTTCAAAGAAAGGAAAATTTACGCCAACAGGAGACCTTCAAAAAACAAGTTCGAACAAGTCGACCGATCAAAAAAATCCAATGAAAAATATGAACAAATCAGCTTCTCGTGTTGACTTCTAAAATTCTTGGCCAATTTTGGATAAAAAATAAAAAAAAATCTCGCATGGGGCATATAATTTTATCCCACCACGAAATCCCTGAAGAATCAAACAGGATGCCAGGAAGTCGAGAAATATTTTCTTTTTGCGCAAAATATTTTGTAGAGCTTGGAGTGGAATTGTTCACCGTTTTTCTGGCCAAACATGGAGGAAAATGAGGAGAGTTTGAATAGAAAGGTAAGTCTCAACATCTACTACAATATATCCTTTCTTGGAGCATATATAAGTATAAACTTTTTAATATTTTTGTATTTTTAGATCGGCGAGCTTATAAAGTTGGCCAGAACAAAGCCAAAAGATGAAACTGAAAGAAGTCGTGTGTCCTATCTTCAAGAAGCCGAAGGGACCATTTTCTCGGAATCTGAGCTCTCGTTGTTGGACAATTTCCTCGATGAAATGCTCGAATTCCTCTCCGAACGGTCTGGTAGCGAGCTGAACAAATTCACGTTGAGCTTCATTGAGAAAGCAATGTAAGTTTTTGAATTATTTTTGTTTTTTGATTTTAGAGGTGTCATGGGGAAGATTTTGATATTAGACATGGTTCCACTGAGTGGCTTGAGTGGAAATTGGTCTTAAATTGTAACTAAAGTCTTACTACAAATGCTACAAGCAATGAGAAACTCTGGTTTTGATTGTTCTGCCTTTAAATTGTAACTTTCTAAATACTACACCTCTCTAGTATAATATCCAAATTTATTTCAGCAACAAAGACCCAGATGTTCTGAAAAAAGCCATACAGAATCTCACCTTTATTCTCGATGAAAACACCCCATATAACCCGCAAATTCAAAAGAGAGCCATCGCAACTTGCACAAATATTTATCCCAATATCCTCAAATGGGCTTACGAGCGAAAAAACGACCCAGAAGCCACGAAATCATGGCAGTTGTTTGCCAAACTAAAAGCCAGGGTGTTGTCCTTCCTCGACTCACCCAATGAAGGCTTCCGAGTCTACAGTGTGAAGTTTATGGAGAGCGTCATCTTGACTCAAAGTTGTCGCTCCGATTTTAGCGTGGTCCGAGTAAGTTTGCATTTTTTTGAGGGGAATTGTATGTTTAGGAAGGCGATTCACGCTTTGATTTGACTGGCATCAGCCTGATTGACCATCGGTTCATCTCTCAACGTCAAATGGAGAGCGAAATGAACCATGCGTTCACCAGACTGATCGATGAACTCAGCTCCTCTTCTATCACTTCTCAGACGTTGTTGGCGATCTTACAAGTGCTTTGCAATATTGCCAAACAACGGCCGGAAAGAATGACTCAGGTTGGTTGACTTTTTTTTATTTGGATTTGAGATTTTAGAACACTTTCGGAGATGGTATAGGGCGCAGGTCGCCGAAATGGGAAGGCCGTGAAATATGGCAAAGAGAGTAACATAAAGACCAATTTGATTACTGGCGAAGTCTTATGTGAAAATTTGAGAGGATTTTGAAAAATTTTGGGTTTTCAAAGTCCCGGGCGCAACTAGCCAGAAGAAAATTGAAAAAAAATTACAAAATTTACCAATTTCTTTAGGTTTGACGTAAATGTAGGCATTAAATTGGAGTATTTTAGGTCATCAGCTCCCTCGAATCCCTCCATATCAATCTCCCGCCAACCTTGGCCACTCATCAAGTCAAATCCTTGAGAAAAGAACTCCGTTACCACATGCTGAAGATGCTCAGACACCCCGTCAATTTCTCCCATCATCCTCGATTACAGCACCTCCTCACTGAGCTGGGGTCCTCGCAATCCGAAATTGAACGGAATATGCCCGCAAGGCAAGAAGTTGCGGCCGTCGTACAAAAAAGAAGCGCTTTGGCCAGAGCGGCCGCTGGCGCTGCCCATCAACCGGGTCCCTCAACATCCAAAGAGGGTCCAAAGAGACCTGGAGAGGGCAGTGGACCAGAGGATTCGAAGAAATTCAAGGTGAGGAGGGTTGAATTTGAAAAAATGAAGATTTTTGTTAAAAAAGTTGATTTTTTTGGAATTTTTGTGAGTTACAGTAATCCAGGCGGGCAGAGACAGATTTTTTTGGCATGATGATTTACTAGAGAGCAGTGGGGTTCTGCTACAGCGATTTTTATAGATTTTTGAAAACCTTCGGATATTACTCTAGACAAAAAATTTCGAAAATTTTGAGAAAAAGTGTGTTTTAGAGGTTGGAAAAGGCTTGAAAATGCAAAAGAAAATTTTGAGAAGACATTTGGAACCGTTTGAAATAATTTTTAGCCACTTGCCGGTATTACTTTAGACAAAAATTTGGAATTTTTGTAAAAAAAAATTAATTTTTTGTTGAATTCAAGTAAAAATCCTAATAATTTTGAATTTCAGCTGAATGACGAGGACTATTTGGACGAAGGAACGGCGGAAATCCTGCGCTCGGCCGACGGAAAACAGGATTTGGCCGATGCCAGCCAGAAAGCCATCGACATCACCACCGATTTTGTGAATGATCGACTCTCCCTGAATGTGGTTGTAAAGCTGGTATCAATATCTCTGTTCACCCTGCCCGACGAAATGCCTCCGGCCTTCCAAGCCACCTTTACCCGAATCGATAATGCCGGAACAGAGGAGCAGAAAAGACATTTGGCCAGAATCATTGCAATGCAGTTGACCAGGGAAGGAATTGGACCCGGAATTGAACACTTGAGAGAGCAGCAACAGCGACAGTATTTGGGTGAGGGATTTTTTATGATTTTTTTATATTTTTAGGATTTTTTTTGAAATTCCAAAAAATTGTTTTTAAAAATGTCATACTGTGATTTTTGGGTCAAAAACATAAATTTAAAGACTATTACTGAATTTTTAAACCTCTGAAATTGAAAAAAATCCAATTTTTTAAATAATGATGTAAATTTTTATTTTTTTTTCAGCCCGTCAAGCAGCCCGCCTTGAAGGCGCTGTTATCCCACCAACCCCTGGAAGAGAGAACGAAAAGGAAAAACCAACCACCTCAAGGGATGGAGGATTCGCCAGACCAGCGGTGAGATTTTTTTTTGTTTTTTTTTTTTTTTGAATTTTCGGATTTTTTTTTGAAAAAATCAAAGAAAATTGCAATTTGGCCTCAAAAATGTTATCCTGTCCTTTACTTCCCCACTTTTCACAGCCTATTCCAACAAAAAAATTTACTGCACGGTGCAGCCGATTTTTTCAACTATTTTCCCCCATTGCACTGTGCAAAATTTTTTTAGTGCACCGTGCAGCCGATTTTTTAAACTATTTTCCCCATTGCACTGTGCAATTTTTTTTTACTGCACCGTGCAGTCAATTTTTAACACTATTTTTTCCATTGCACCGTGCAAAAATTTTTACTGCACTGTGCAGCCGATTTTTTCAACTATTTTTCCCCCATTGCACTGGGCAAAATTTTTTTAGTGCACTGTGCAGCCGATTTTTTCAACTATTTTCCCAATTGCACTGTGCAAAATTTTTTAGTGCACTGTGCAGCCGATTTTTTCAACTATTTTCCCCATTGCACTGTGCAAAATTTTTTTACTGCACTGTGCAGCGGATTTTTTCAACTATTTTTCCCCATTGCACTGTGCAAGCATTTTTTGCTGCGTCGTCCAAAATTTTTTTGACATTCTTGCAAAAAGTTGTCCGCGGGTTCGTAGAGGAGTACAACAAGTAACACACCGCACTCCTGGATAGTCCACACGATCATCTGCCAACCCTCTGCACTCCCATTTTCATCGACTGAAAGCGGGGAATCAACTAGTCGGCACGAGAATTCGAACCCTCCATGGTCCGAGTAAAAGAGTGAACGCATTCCCACTCGGCCACGTGAACACGGGTCCCTCTTGTTTTGAAAAAGAGGTTTTGGCGGGAAAAAGGAAGCGATCTTTTTGTCGCACAGTGCGAATGGAAGGAGAAGTGATTGCACAGTGCAGAGGGAAGGTTTGAAGATTGCACGGTGCAATGGGGAGAATAGTGGAGAAAATTGACTGCACGGTGCAGAAAAAAAATTTTGCACGGTGCAATGGGGAAAATAGTGGAAAAATTTTTTTGCACGGTGCAATGTGGAAAATAGTGGAAAAAATTGACTGCACGGTGCAGTAAAAAATTTTATGCACAGTGCAATGGGGAAAATAGTGGAAAAAGTCGGCTGCACTGTGCAGAAATTTTTTTTTGTATGAAAAGGTAGTGAGTGCAGAGTGGGGAAGTAAAGGAGTAAAAAGTTTTAGGGTTGAACTGCTGTTTTTTGAGAGATTTTGTATTATTTTGACACTTGCGGTTGATTTAAAAAAAATTTTTTTGCTTGTTTTTGAAATTTTTTTTTGTATTTTAGCCGCCAAAGAAGACTCGAATCGCGGAATGGAACATCTTCAAGAACACCAAAGAGCTTTTACTTCCACAAGCCGAAAGTTTGTCGCTGATGGCCTTCCAAAGGATCATGGAAAACGAACGCCGCGCCAATCAAGGAGGCGCTTTCCTAGCGCAACATCAACTTCTCACCCGTCTGGCTACCCGTTACTTGTCAAAAACTCATGAACAATTCACAGAACTCTTGATTGAATACATAATTGCGGATCAAAAAAATCGCGCGGAATTGGCGCTATTGTGGCTGAATGAACTATTTATTCAATATGGAGGATATTCGGTAGTCCTGACGGCGAAGGGAGAGCCGGACGCCAAGGAAAAGTATATTCGATATGATACTGCACTGTGCTCGATTTTGGGACTGCTCTTTAACAGGAAGGATAACAAGGAAACGTAGGTGGTTTTGAGGAAATTGGGACGAGAAATTAATTATTTTTGGATGAGAGGGATTTGTGCAAAATTTGGGGACGATTGGAGCAGCGAGAAATGAAATTTTTATATTCACCATGACGGTTTTGGTGAAATTATTTGATTTTTGATAGCTTTAGACTTTTATTGGAACGAATATAGCATAGAAATGGTATTTAGAAGATTTTAGGATTATGTGAATTAAAAAAATCGGAAATTTTTATATTAACCATGATAAAAAATTGTTTAATTTTGAAAATTTCTCGCTTTTTTTGAGTCGGGGAATGAAATTTTCTTTTGTAAGAAACTGAGTTTTATTCGTTATTACATTGTGGAATACTGTAACAAATAATTTTTTCAAAAAATTTTCAGTTTATTCCATCGAATCCTCCTTGAAGTCCCATTGGTGACACCGGCAGCTCTGACATGGCTCAAAAAATCCTGTCTGGACCCGATTTACGGCGCCTTTGGAATGACCACGCTAAGGGAAATGATTTTAACCCGGCCGAGGCAAAGGCCCGAACTTTTGAAATTGTTCTTGTCCTTTTCATACTACGAACCCGTGATTTCTACGGAAAGAAGCGGTCAAGTCGTGTATGATGCAAGGGATAATGTGAGTTTTGGATGGGATTTTTGGGAGATTTACGAGAAAAAACGATTTTTTTTGACAAGGATATGACAATTTTAAGCAAAACTTTAGTATTTTTCAAGACTAGTACATAAAATATTGTGCATATTGGGACAAAACAGACCCAATTAACTAATAATTACCATTTTTCCGTATTTTACCGGTCAAAGTTTCAAAAAATTGAATTTTTCTCACAAGGAAAGTACTTTTATTGGATATGGAGTCACCGGTCGAGAAATATATCAAAAAAATTGCAAAAATTTTCTGGTTCAGAATATGTTAAAGTTGGCTGCCCAATTTTGGTTTGTAAGGGCGAAAAAACCATATGAACTTCTCTCGCAACACCACGCAAAATCCCTTTTTGACCAAGTTTTTACCAATTGAAAAGCTTCTTTTTTGAGCTAAAGTAAATCCTGGAATCATTTGACAGCCCTTAAAAGATCAAATTTGATTAAAACGACATCTTAATTAGTAGTTCCAATATAAAAAAGGGGCGTTTATTAATTTTTTTACATTGGAACTACTAATTAAGGTGTAGTATTAATCAAATTTTGATATTTCAAGGCTTATCAAGATGCCAGGGTTTACTTTAGCTCAAAACAAAACATTTGATTTGGTAAAAACTTGGTCAAGAAGGCATTTGCGTGGTGTTGCGAGAAAAGTTCTGATGGGTTTTTCGCCCTCACAAACCAAAATTGGGCAGCCAACTTTCACGTATTCTGAATCAGAAAAATTTTGCGATTCTTTTGATATATTTCTCGACCGGTAACTTCATACCCAAGAGAAGTACTTTCCTTGTGAGAAAAATTCAATTTTTTGAAACTTTGACCGGTTCAATACGAAAAGAATGGTAATTATTGGTTAAATTGGGTCTTTTTTGTTCCAGTAGACGCCTTATTTTATCATTTAGTCTTGAAAAATACTAAAATCATACTTAAAATTATATTATACTTACCTAATTTCCAAAATTTTTAGTGTGTGAACACCGCCAAAGAGCTGTACATGGTCGACTATATCCGCGATGACCTCCGTGATGCTGTCGTTGAGATGAGCTATCAATTGACGCTTCCGTTTGCCCCCAAAGACCTCATAATTCAAGTGCGCCGACTGTCGGCCGAGGAAATCGAAGAGTTGCGCGACGAAACCCCATGGGAAGAGGAGCTGGTGAAAGCTGCAATCCACTTGTTAGTCGCTCTCCTACCCTCCGACGACTCGCTTCTGATTCATTTGGCTCAAATTACGGCCAAATCCACAAAAGATGCCCAACGGACGATCTTCAATTGCATTGTTCAAGCGATTAAAGCCATTGATATGCACTCAAAGGAGTTGCTGAAGACGATCGAGGAATGCCCCGTGGGCGCGGAGGTCCTCATTGCGAGAATTGTCAATTTGCTGACGGAAAGAAGTAGGTTTGGAAACTTGGGCAGGGCGCAGCTCGCGCAGGAAAAATCGGGAATGAATGGTTGGAAATGGGATTTTTTTGAGTTGAATGAGGTTGCTGAGAGGCAATAGAACGTTACGAAAAATTTTTGAATAATTTTGCGTGGTTTGTCTGGGCGCAGCTCGCGGAAAAAAATTAAGATTTTTGGAAAAAATGAAGTTTTATGATGAAATAGGAGCTTTAGGAGCCAGCAGAAATAATCAAAAATATTTTTTAATCACTTTGAGCCATTGAAAATATTTAGGCAGGGCGCAGCTTGCGATTATGATAAAAAAATTTTTTTGCGGAATTTAACTTGTTAGACATAATTAATTGGACTTTTTATGACTAGAAACGTGTCTCATTAATTTTTTCGATTTTTTATTTCTCTGGGCGCAGCCGGCCGAGCTCAAATCTCATCTAATCCATGTTTTTTTTCAGACGCCCCAACCCAAGAGCTGGTGGAGAAAGTCAAAGCATTGCATAAACAGAGAAATACGGACATACGATCTCTTCTCCCGATCATGACTGGCTTTGAAAAGCAAGAATTACTCGAATTGATACCTAAATTCGTGATGAACGCCACTTTCCAAAAGTCGGTACCGATATTCTTCAAAAAATTGCTGTTTGGAAGGCATATTCAAACCCACGAACCGTTATTGAGTCCTGTGGAATTGCTACTGCAACTGCATCATTGTGAACCAAAAGGAATGATCGAAATGGGTCATCTTGTTCATAGTAAGTGGGATTGGTGATAATAATGGATTTTTATTTGTGAGACGTAGTTTTTTTGGGGCATAACTGAAGCCTGTCGAGGCTGTGGCCGTAATTTTAGAGCTTTTATGGGCGAAAAAAGTTGTTTTTGAGGTCTGCACGGTGCAGAAATTTAACTTTTGGTTATTGCACTGCGACTGAAAGGGATGAGAGTTTGCATTTACTATGTAAAGTCGTCTATTGCAAGCCGTTTTTAATGGCGTAAAAAGTTTTTAAATCTTTTGCGTTCTGCACTGTGCAGCGAGATTTGTTTTTCAACTGCACTGTGCAGATGAAAATTTTTTTTGCTATTGCACGGTGCGAGGGAGGTTTTGGAGAAAATTTTGGACGTGTGAGAAAAACTAGGGGCATTTGAATTGCTAGGAGCAGAAATTATAAAAATTTTTCTTCTTTCGGCCATAGAATTTGACATTTTTTGATTTTCTGCACGGTGCAGTCAATTTTTTGAATATTTGCACTGTGCAGACGAAAAGTTTTTTGTAATTGCACAGTGCGAAGGAGGTTTTGGAGAAAATTTTGAACTGTATGAGAAAAATTAGGCGTATTTGAATTGCCAAGAGCGGAAATTATAAAATTTTTCTTGTATTGGCCATATGAAATTGAGTATTCTAGATTTTCTGCACTGTGCAGATGAAAATTTTTTTGTAATTGCACGGTGCGAAGGAGGTTTTGGAGAAAATTTTGGACTGTGTGAGAAAAATTAGGCGTATTAGAATTGCCAAGAGCGGAAATTATAAAATTTTTCGAGTATTGGCCATTGAAATTGAGATTTTTTGATTTTCTGCACGGTGCGGTCACTTTTTTGGAATATTTCGACTTTCGATGGGCCTAAAGGATGTTTTAATTATACATTTTGTTTTTCAGACACCGACTTGCTGATTGTCGACCGGTCTGGCCTTTTCAACCTCGGCAAAGAAGTTGTGGCCCAGGCCTTGGAGGTCCTCCTAAATGAATATCCCTTCTCAAAACTCCTATTCCACTCACTTCAGAAGATTTACGACAGATATCCATCACTCAAAGGCTTCATTATTAAAATGCTGACCAACGTCGCCGAACGCTACGACAAGGACGAGGACCTGCAGAGATTGGTCGCCAAACTACAACAAGGTCAACGAGACCCATTGGCGGTTCAGAATTAGATCGGTTCTTGATTTTTTTGATCTTCAACGGCTTATGCAGCAAATTGGAATGTCATTTAGGCAAAAGAAAAAATAATTTATATTATTTTAGAAAATAAAAATAATTTTTTTTTTTTTGTTTTTCTTTGATGGATATTTTGTATAAAACACGATTTTATAAGAGTATATTTGAATAAAATTTCGAAAAAGTTGTTTTAGTTTCATTTTGAAAGTGGTTTTTATGTTATACTTGACATTTTATACCTAAATTTGAGAAAAATTTTAATCTGATTGCTGAAACTCAAAGAAACTTGAAGGATTTGGTGGTGGAATTGTTCTCTGACAACTGTTGAATGGATTATCAAGTCGTTTTTGTCAAGAAATCGCCAAATTTCATTTGAAAAATTCGATTTTCTACTGAAACCATCGATTTTATCGCTAAAATAAGGTGAAATCCCTCGGAAATGCTGAAAAATCGACATGGATCCACTTCGAGTAGTAAGTAATGGAATATTTAGTCTCTAAAATTCTCTCTAGAGCTGCCACAGACCCCGGACGAGGACGGGGTTTTCGACCTGGAGCCCAGTTTCGTCTCGCATGGAGTGATAGATGGTGCAATAACTTGTGTCCTGGCCGTGGACTCGCCCTATAATCGCGACGATCAGAGTGATGAGACCTTGTTGTTGGCTGGCACGTACAACGGGGACATTTATCTGTACGATTTGATCACCAAAAAATATTGTGGAGCCATTTATAGTAAGTGTAATATCAAGGTGGAATATCTCGAAATTTGTTTAGAAAATCTCGCGAAAAAGTCGGAGAAACGGAAGCATGAGACGGCGGAGGACCGAGGAAGTTGGATTCTGGATGAGGAGGGGATCGGTAAGCAAGTTTGGAATTGGCGAGCTGCGCCCTGGCTTGAGTTTGATTTTAGCTAAATATGGCTGAAAATTGGGTTCCAGTCGACTTTAGTAACCATATAGGATTTGTAAAATACGTCTACTTAATTTTGAAATCTTGTTTTTCAATTTTTTTTAAAATGGCAAACTGCGCCCGAGCCAAATGTTTATTTCTCGCGCGAAAATTTTTAGTTCTTGCGCCATTGAGTCAAAACTGATGTCAAGTTTAAGGAAAGCTTCTAAAATAGCGTAAATTAAAATTTTCAGCCCATATGGTTTATTTTGGTATCTTGTTTTTCGATTTTTTTGGATGGCAGACTGCGCCCGAGCTAAATCTTTAGTTGTTGCGCCATTGATTCAAAACCGATGTCAACTTGAAGAAATGCGTCTAAAATACGATTTTCAGTGCTCACCCGACAAGAAGGCGGGATAATCCAGATGGGATCCCTGTCCACGACCACAATTTGGGTCCAATTCCGCGGCGGCTCGCTGGCCCTGTTCGCGTGGGACTTGGCCGTCGAAAACAAGGAGCCCCGCCTGAACCTGCAAAAGCGCATCCCCTTCAACCACGCGGGCTTCTGCAAGGCGGTCTACGTGCACGAGAAATTCATCCTGCCCGACACAATGCCGGGCGCAGCCAGCGGCTTCAGCGTGCTCGACGAACGCTGCAACAAAAAGATGTACGAGCTGAGCGAAGACTTGTTGCGCCGCGACTGTCAGATTCGCAAGGCCGAAATCGACAAATTGCGACCCTTTTCGGGCGCTTTGATGTACATTAAACCCTACAATATCAACACACCCGACCATTATTTTGTCGGCTTCGAAGACGCGAGCCTCATTTTGTTCGACGCCTTCGACTCCACAATTGTGGATTGGGTGGGTTTTTTGAGCACTGGCTGCGATTTTGTGCAGTTTTGAGCAATTTTTAGCCAAAATTATATTAATTTAGACAAAAAAATTCTGTTTTGAGCCGAATTTTGGTGAAATTTGGAATGAAATTTTATTGTAGTAGTATGATAAGAAGGCCTGATGAGATTTTAAGACTATTTATGAAAATTTTTTTTAATTAAAATCTGAATTTTTAAAATTTTTCTGCAAAAAAGTACTGAAAAATTATGATTTTTTTCAAAAAAATAGCAATTTTTTTTGAGTTCGTTTTTTACTAAATTCCATCGAAAAATCGGTCAAAATCCGATAATTTTTTTTAAAAAATCAACGAAAAAATAGCCCCTTCTCCCGCCAAAAAGCCCCTTTCGAACCGAGAGAGTTTCGAAGAGAGCGAGCAGCCGTGGTTTCATGGTGTAGCGGTTAGCACTCAGGACTCTGAATCCTGCGACCCGAGTTCGAATCTCGGTGAGACCTAGTGACTTTTTTGCCTATTTTTTGATGGAATTGAAGAGAAAGTGATAGTAAATTGTTATTTTTGGTATATCAGTAGAGCAAATAGTTGTGCTAGGTTATGTTTTGAGGTAAAATACGGGCTTTTAATTGGGTTTTTTCGCAATTTTAGTGATTTTTTGTGGTTTTTGCCGTAAATTGTTGATTTTTTTACATTTCAGTGGGATTTTTGGCTTGAAATTTTTTTCAATGGATTTTGAGGCTGTTTTTATATGCCACATGATATTTCAGACCAAAAAAATCAAAAAAATCGAAAAAATTTTTTGATGTCAAGGGTAATATAATATGTTGTAGTATCAATACTACATTCCCGACCAGACCACTGGCCTTATTGCAGTGGCATCTCGAAGCCTTTTGAATTCGGATGACATGGAAGCCCATCAATTTTTGGTCGTCTTGCCAAATATGGTTTACCTCCTTTATTTCGACCCCAGAGAACACAGATTTGTATTCAATATGAAGGTGAAGGAGTGGAAAGGGTGAGCGAAATTTTTTTTTGCGAAAAAATTACTTGGTTTTTACGAAAAATAAAAAAAAAATTTTTTGCACAGTGCGAAATTTTTTTTTAATTTTGCAAAGTGCAGAGCTAAAATGCGAAGGCTCTTTCTTGTAATTTTAATCCCTCTATGATGACGATTTTTATGTCGCAAAATCATGACGTCACTTTTTTTGTACGCTGCGAAAGAAATGGAAATTTATTTTTTGCACGGTGCACTCAAAAGGAAATTGTTTGTTGCACAGTGCAATGGAAGAAAAAACAAAATCTTTTTTTATCGTTGAAAGAGAATTGAATACTCTTCCTTTTGCGATAATTACAGTCATTCTGTCTGTTGTACGCACTGTGCAGTAATCGAAAATTTATTTTTTGCACTGTGCAGACGCCAAAATTCGGTTTATCGCACTGTGCGAGAGCGGAAACTTTTTTCAATAGATAATATAGCTGATATACGATTTTTCGACCGGTCGATATTTTTCCAGGCATGAAATTGAGGTTTTTTGCAAGTTTTCGAAAAAAAAATTTTTTTTTCAAAAATTTTTTGTTTCGTATTTTAGCGATCTCCATTGCATGGCGGTGACCTTTGGGCCCGAAGCGCATCGAAAACGCCCCGCCCGCCTCACCGAGCCCTGTCGTTTCGCCATGGCCTTCAACTGGGGCCGGCTCGAGATCTTTTCGCTGGCCTTTGACACCACTCAAAACGACTTCCAAATCACCCACATCTACACGGCGAATGTGGGCAAAGAAGGCGTGCTGGACCTGAATTGGAGCCTCCGAAGCCAGACCCTGGTCGCATGTTGTGTGGAGACCAAAGAGGGCAAGGAAACCCGCAACAAATTGGGCAAATTGTACTACTACGAGAAGGCACCACTACCGAAAAAGAAGAAGATCAAGTATTGAGGGGGAATTTATCGATTTTTATTTGTTTTACAGTCATTTTTAGGTTTTTGAAATTTTTTAAATTTTAAATTTTTTAAAAAATTCCAAAAAAATCGGGAAAAAAGTCTTTTTAATCGTATTTTTATCCATTTCTAGTTTTTATTTTTTGAAATTTCACCGATTTTTTTCAAATTTTTTTTTGATTTTTCCAAAAATACCAAAAAATCCTGCCATTTTTTCGAAATTTTCCGGCAAGTTTGACCTCTAAAATTGTTGATTATGATATTTCCTCATTTTTTACTTAATTCGCTTATCGTTATTAATAAAATATTCAATAAAATTGATTAAAATTTGAAATTTTTTTATTTTTTTTTTATTTTTTCAAAATTTTTTTGGTATTTTGATGGGGTTTATTTTAATTTTGGAGGCCTGAAATTTATTGTATAAACCTTACTGGATGTTTTTTTCCATTGTGCATCAATTCTGACGTTATAATAGGCACTTTTACTTTGGACATGTTTCATCGTATAAGATGTCACTTTTCGAAATTTTGACTTAAAATGTGGTAAAATTGTATCAGAAAGGCTTGATCACTTATAATATGGAGTTTAAACGAATTTTAGAAATAAAAAATTAATTTTTTTCTCACCTTTTTTTCGACTTTCACCAAAAAATCGACCGAATCAGCCCAAAATAACGTGTTTACGCCTTCGGGCATAGTCACATTGTCTTCCGCCATCGTTAAGCACTCCCAAAACGAATGTTTATGAGCGTTCGAAGCGGATACTTGGGGATGAATCACAAATAAACAGCTTTGTTCCGGCTCTCTTGTCAAGTATAGTATAAAAAGAGGGGATTTGCGGTCTCAAGCGTATTCCATGACTATGACGATGAGACTACATGAAGTTTTGAGTATTGTGACAGTGATTCTGGCGATTGTGAATGGTCAGGGGAACAGTGTGATCGATGGGAAGTAAGTGAAAAATTGATGACATAGCTGCGGGAGAATTGAAATTTCGGGGTGAAAAAAGGCCGACACATGAATTTTAATGGTACCATATAACAAAAAGAGGGTTCTTCTTTCCATTGCAACATCAATTTCATCAAAATTTTTAGTGTTTCATCAAGAATTTATCGTTTTTACCTTATTTTAGGTCAGATTTTGAAAAAATTGAAGATTTACAGGAAAAAAGCAATCCGATTTATGTTTCTACAGTGATTTTAGAAAGCATATAGCAGATACGTTAAATTTCAGGCCATTTTCTATTGACTTTTAAAGGTTTTCATCAAAAATTTGCCAATTTTGACCTAAAATAAGGTCAAAATTGAAAGACGACAAAAAAATTCTCGCAGTAAACACTTGAAAAGCCCGGTAAATTGTAAAATACGACTACTTCAATGTTGTCATTTTAATTTCTTTCAGTAAATGCGACATCAACATCAAGAAAGTTGGAGTAAATCCGAGTCGGACCTCCCTGTTGGTGTTGGACAACCAAAATCAAGTGTTTCAGTTTGATTTAGCCTCTCGAAAATTAGTTTCCAAGCAACAGTTAGACTTGGTCTTCCCCAATGCTCCGAGAAATGTGAGTTTTTTGCCGAAAATGGGGGAAAGCGACATTTTATACGATGAAAAGTGTTTTGATGACTAAAAATGGCTAATTTTGGATGAAAATAGATGAATTTCTGATCGTCTTAGCAAGTATGCGAACTTTTATCCTTTGTTTTTAGCACAGTCAAGCGATCTTTTGGCTCAGCGACATTTTATACGATCAAAAGTGTTTTGATGACTAAAAGTTAGAAGCAAATAGACAACTTTCTAATCGAATTAAAAGGCATACGGACGTTCCTACGGTATTATTTTATCGGAAAATACGATTTATAGAGCGACATTTTATACGATCAAAAACTTTTGATGTCTAAGGAATTCTAAAATAAGGTCGAAACATATGAATTCTGTAATATCGTATATTGAAAATGTAATCCAAAGCACAGTCATGCCTTAAAAATTATATTACAGTCATCAATTTGTTATTTTATACCCAAAAATCAAGTTTTTCACCAAAAAATTCCAAAAATCCCGTTTTTTGTTGAAAAACGGCTAAAACTAGCTTTTAGAAGGTAGCTTCTGTCTGAAAAAAGTTATCAAATTGAGCGTAGAGGCTGGCTCTACCATCCAAAAGTTATCATAAGCTTTGTTGCATCGACTAAGTTTATAAAGAAATCGATTTTCCCCGAAAAACTTGAAAAAATCCTGTTTTATCACGAAATTTTCAAAAATTTTCAATTTTTCAGGTCGATTTGATCGTCTCAAATCAAAATACCCTCTCTCTACTTGACTCACGAACCTTCTATTCCTATTCTCAAGCCGAAACTGGGCTGTACTCGGCTTCGGGGACCAGCAATCTCCATTCCCGTGTGGTTTTCTACCCGGATTCGGCGATTATTTTGAATTCCGATGATGTCATCTTGATCAATGTGAGTGAAAGTTTTTTAAACTCGATTATGCTCTATTTCAAATATTTTGACACCAATTTAACTATTTTTTCCCGTAAATTTTAGCGAATTTTTACGACGATTTTAGGGCGGTGTCTACGCACATTACAATTTGGCGGAAAACTCGCCAAAAATCCTGCGAAATCGCGACATCGAGTATCCCCATTTGCCTGAAGGTAATTTCACTGCCTTACCATTCGATGATCAACCGGATCAACGCGACTTGTTCGTATTTTACGGGCAAAAAATGGCCGAATACAATTTGAACGAGAAGTTGAGGAAAAATGAACGAAACTTTGAGGAAATTTTCAGTTGCTGAAGGAAAAATATGATTGGAAATGTTGTAAATACCATGACAATTATATCAATAAAAGTTTTAATTGGCATTTTACACATGAATTTCAAAAAAAAAATAAAAAAAAAATTTTTTTTAATTCCATATTTTTTTGCTGAAAACATCAAGCAAATGTAAAAAAATTAGTAAAAAATCCTCTACTGGTCTAATAACCTTAGAATTAATTAGCAGAATTTACATTCCACCTCGTATTTTACAAAAAAAAATGCGATTCCGACAATTTCAAAAATCCCCAATTACTACTGTAATTTTTAAACAAATTTTTTGAAACTTAGCTGGTTTATTAACAATGCCCTGACTACCATTCCTCGAAATTTTCAGCTTTCTAGCTGCTACGGTCTGTGAGATATTCACCTTCAACTTTTATAGGTGAATATCTCAAAAGTGGGCGGGGCCAAAAAATATCGCGGTCATTTTTATTCGAATTTGTTTGAAATTCGGCCTATCCATCACCAATGCCATGTAAAGCATTTGCTGAAAGTTTTAAGCGACCGGCTGCAACGGCCCTTGAGATATTCACCTTCAAATTCTAGCAATCAAAAGTGGGCGGAGCCAAAAAATATCACTTTCATTTTTATTCGAATTTTTTTGAAATTCGGCCTATCCATCACCAATGCCATGTAAAGCATTTGCTGAAAGTTTTAAGCGACCGGCTGCAACGGCCCTTAAGATATTCACCTTCAAATTCTAGTCATCACAAGTGGGCGGAGCGAAAAAATACCCCCCTCATTCTTATTCAAATTTTTTGAAACTCAGCTAGTTTATTACCAATGCTCTGACTATTAATCCTCGAAATTTTCAGCATCCTAGCTGCAATGGCCTTCGAGATATTCACCTTCAAATTTTAGTCATCACAAGTGGGCGGAGTCAAAATCTTTTGGGTAAAATCGTCAAAAAACCGCCTCAATTCTTTTTTAAATCCCATTTTCCACGATAACTTTCATTTATGGACACATAATGAGAGAGAAAACAGGGGAAACAAACAAAAAAAAAATCTATTACAACATCAGATATTACACATTCTTTTTGGTGTCGAGAGCATCTGGATTCAGATCGTAGGCCTGCATCATGAAGTGGATATAACGGAGTTCTGGCTTGGTGAGGCCTTGGAGTTCAAGGATGAGGTTGACAAAGAATCGTGGGTCTGAAAAAAAACGTTTCAAAAATGGGGTCTGACATCATGTACAATATAAAAAAACTCAAAAATTCCAAGAAAAAAAAATCTCAAATAAATCTATACTAAAATCATAGGTCAAAAATCGGCTATTTAATCGATTTTTCGGAGAAAAAATCAAAAAAAATATTCAAATATCAAGTATAATATCAAAAAAAAAATGTCCAAAAATCACAAAAAAAAAAAACGCTGAAATAATTCTAAATCAAAAATGATATGCTCTAAACAGTGGCACAGCCCATTTTCAGTCTGAAAACTTAATTTTTCTCGAAAAAATTTTTGAAAATTTCCAAAAATTATACCAAGTATAACATAAAAAAGCACCAAAATTGTGTTAAAAAATCGGTAAACAATCCAAAAACAAAAACATACACGTTCTAAGTCCTAGGAAACCAATTTTCATTTTAAAAATCAAAAAATTTTTTTTTTCAAAAAATTTCAAAAAAATCTCAAACTCGCCAACTCACTTGTTTTTAATTCCTCTTCATGCCGAATCAAAGTTTGAGGTAATTGAAAGACGTAGATATGACCATTGTGCATTGGGCCGTCCACCGCCGACGGCAAATCGCAAATACCCGTTTCGGTGGATAAGCTAAAATACGACCATTTTTTACGGAAAATCGACCAAAACCAAGGTCCAAAAAGGCCAAAACTCACATTGGATTGGAATAAATCACTTCCAGAACTTTGTTTTTGCTATTGAGCAATGCAATTCGCTGGGTTACAATGCTGTCCGCAGCGCCATCCAAGATTTGATGTGGGTAGGAGAAGGGGATGAAGATTAGGACCTGAAACCGGGAGAATTAGTAAAAACAAAACATTTCAGAGCTTCAAAAGTAAACTAAATATTCTAAAAATGCCCAAAAATCATCAAAATCCTTCGTATCAACAAAAAATTCAAAAAACTTCAAAAGGTATCCAAACTTCAAACCCCACAAAATACATCATAAAAACCACCCAGAGTCTTTCTAAACCCTCTAATCCACAAAAAAATCAAAAACCTCAAAAGGGATCCAAAAACCTCAAAAGGGATCCAAAACCCTCAAAAGGTATCCAAACTTCAAAACGTCTTAGAATACCGCCAAAACCGCTTAGAAACTTTCACACCCCTTTAAACCATCAAGAAACTTCAAAAGTGATCCAAAAACCTCAAAAGTGATCCATCTCCGAACCGCATAAAATACCTCAAAAACCCACCCAGAGATCTCCAACCTCCCCTAAACCAGCAAAAAGTTCAAAATTCTCAAAAGTGATCCCACCTCCAAACCGCATAAATGCCTCATAAAGCCACCCAGAAGGCTTCAAAACCCTCTAAATCAAGAAAAAATTCAAAATTCCCAAAAGTTATCCAAAAACCTCAAAAGGCATCCAAAAACCTCAAAAAGTATCCAGACTTCAAAACTCTTAAAATACCTCATAAAACCACCCACAGACTTTCAAAACCCCCTAAATTAACAAAAAAATCGAAATCCCCAAAGTTACCCAAAAACCTCAAAAGGTATCCAAAAAACCTCAAAAGGTATCCAAACTTCAAAACGTCTTAAAATACCTCCAAAACCACCCAGGGACTTCTCAACCCCCTCTAAACCACCACAAACCCTCCAAAACCGTCCAAAAACCCCTTAAAGCCCCCCCCAATTCTCACCGGATTTTTCATTCCTTGCAATTTTTTCATCTCCAAGTCGATACTTCTCAGGGTCTGAGTTTTGGCGTCATCGATGAACGCGTGCTCCTGGTTTCTGGTCAAGGGGAACACATGAAGTGAGGAGATCTGACTTCCGGGCTTCAGTGTGATCGAGTCGTGGGTGGCTTGGGAGACGTATTCGCGGAACTTTTTTTCCAGCGTTTCGATGCGGCGGGAATGCCAGGTCTTGACGTAGGGGATGTCAAAACTGATCTTGGGCTCGAAAAACCCAAAGTCCTCGGGGTTGTAGGATGTGCGGTTGAGGTCAGCGCCGTAGATGGAGAGCTCGTTCAGCTGAATTTGAACAATTTTTAGCGTAAAATTTTTTTTGATTTCTGAGATTTTTTAGACAAAGTTGAAGAAAAATAGGTAGCAGGAGGCTGGATCATGCCTGTTTATGGGGTCTTGTTGTGATTCTAGAGGTCAAATTATAATTGGGATGAAAATTTTGCACTTTTTTGGAGGTTGATTTTTTTCATTTTTTAAAATTTTTTTATGGAAAAATCATGGATAACATAGTCTAATAATCTTATTTTCGAAAAAAAAATATTTTTCGGAAAAATTTCAAAATTAAAAATCTCAACGGAAATATCAACAATAATTAAGAAAATAATTCTGTTGAGATTTTTAACATTCAATTTTTCCGAAATCTTTTTTTTTTTTTTTTTTTGAAAATAAGCTTATTAGACTATATTATCCATGATTTTTTCCATAAAAAATTTTTAAAAAATGAAAAAAATCGACCTCCAAAAAAGTGCAAAATTTTCATCCCAGGTATAATTTGAGCTCTAAAATCACAACAAGATCCCATAAACAGGCATGATCTAGCCTCCTGCTATCCATTTTTCTTCAATTTCTCTAAAAATTTCAGAAAATAAAAAAAAATTTTTCAACTTCCGTACCACTTGATAATTATCACTTTTGAGTGCTTCATATGCCGGGGTTCGGCCTCTGCTGCTTCTGGCATTGGGATCAGCGCCCAATTCGAGTAGAGTGTGGACCAAGCAGGGCTGTCTGTTCTTGGCGGCCATGTACAAAGCAGTTCGATTTTCCTCATGATCTCTGAGATAGAGAAGATTTTGGAGGCTCTTGGGATCGCAATAATCGCCGATAAGAGCGGTCAATCTGAAAAGAAGACAGTAAACTCCCTAATAATGATATTTTCAGGACAAACCAACCAATACTCACTTGCAGAATCCATGATCTCTCGCTTGACACGGAACCTTGCTCATGGTTAACATGGAAAAGGCCGAGCGTTTCAGATCCGAATCGTATGTCAAGTTCGCGATCCTCGGAATAATATATTCCATCATCTGGCGCTCATTCTTGTCGTTGTACAAGTCGGGTCGCGCGCTCCTCAACGGCATCATCAGGCAACGACAGAGGCTGACGAAACGGATGTAATCTCCGTTAAGCAACAGGCCACCGATCATATTGGACCAGAAAACGTTGGCGTCATGGTCGGCCTGAAAGATTTTAAACGTGAACCTGCATGTGAAGAAACTTTAGATATTATCCATGACTTCACCTAAAATCAGAAGAAAAAATAATAAAAACCAACTCACCAAGAATGAATTCATATTCTGCAAGGCTGTGATTTCGTCATTCAACAATGTGTTATAAGCCAAACGCCGTTCGTCTCTAAAAATATGGCAATTTAAATCATACATAACGACTGCTGAAAAAACTGTTGTTTCATAGATATTGACATGTAAAACGACACCCTCAGCTTTAATTCATAGTTAACACGCTCCATGCAAGCTGTACTAGCCAATTTAATTCCTAAACTTTGGTTAATGGAATCTCTGGGATATTGTACTAGGTGAGAAAGAAAAAACAGGCGAGCTAGTCGCAAATTCTAATCGTTCTAATTGGAATTTCGTATTCAAACCCGTAGAATTACCTGGGCTAGCTAAAAATCGCAAAAGAATTAGACATTTTACATAACGAATCTACGAAAACCAATTTTTGTGCTGTACAATAAACACCAATAAAATTTGGAGCTTATGCGATTAAAAGCTAGATTTCAGGCGTAAACTTCGATTGATGGATCGCATCGGTCTCAATAGAGAACTTCACGCTCATTATCAGTCCGATTACCTCGCCTCTGATATTACACTTGACATGCGATCTAAGAATTCAACAACAAAAAACAGAATAAACTTACGACAGAGTAGGCAGACTCTGGACGATTCCGGAGACAGTTGGAAGCTCGACACCCCAGCCCTCGTCCTCAACTGATTCCAAATTCTGACCGTCGGCGGAGGATTGCTCGGATCCACCGGAAGAGGTAACTGGCGCGTCCGAAAGGGAGTCACGTCGCTGCAAAGGGCATCTTTGAACCATTTTCAGCGTGAATAGATTAGACACAACCTCTGGGAGAGTGTGCTCGACCACTCCTCAAAAGGTCGGCGAGAAAACAGATTTTTGGCAAGTGACAGGATTTTAGGACAAACCCTCCAAAAAATGTGTCATAATGACGGCGTTTTTGTAATCAAAATCGTCGGTAAAACGAAATTTTGTTTTACCGTGCTCATTCGGAGCGCTTGGACAGGAAAGTGGTCGAAATTTATTGCCATTTTGAGGTCAAAAAATTGATTTCTTGGAGACACTATCTAGATCAAGTGTAAGGTCAAGAAAACCTCTTATTGTCCTCAAATTTGCAGTTGTTTCGGGTAAAATACGTCTCAGAAGGTTGTATGTATCTCGGCGAGTATTTTCAAGTGAAAACTCAACCAGAATTATTAGATTTAAACATCACAGTACCTATTTCTCTGCCACCATCTAGATCAAATGTAACGTCAGGTAAAGTCCTATTTTCTATCGAAAAATGTTCAGTTTTTAGTGTAAAAAGCAGCTTACGAGCTTCTTCGACTCATTCTGGTTAGAATGAAGCGAAAATTTAGTTGAATTTAGCGTATTTCAACTTCGAATTAGCTGTTTTTCGACGACCTTTCAGGTCAAGTGTAACATAACTTTGATGTCTTATTTCTGCAAAATATGAAGGTTTTGACAGATATAACTGCTTCTATCAGCTAGAGCACACAAAACTGAGTAAATTCAACATAATCCCCTAAGGGAATTTAGACTTTTTCAGTGCAAATTCAATCAATCTTTTTTGCACATTAGTTTTGTTTGAAGAATCCGGTGTTTTCCGGAAATTACACGTCTAAATTTGCAAGGAACTAATCAAAATTGTTGCTTACCTTGCGAAACTTCTCGTCTGGATCTTTTTTCGGGCCTTTCTTCTTCTTTTCTTTGTTTTTCATTACAAGCTTAGACTAGCACCTAAACCAATATAATTTCCAGTCGTGTTGGTGATGAATCGTAAAATTGTATAGAAATCTTGTTCTTCTTGCGTTCGGCTATAAAATGCGACAGAAATATAATAAATTAAAAGATGTTTTCGTTATGGGAAATATGGGTTGGCGTTGTGATTCAAGTGTGGGATGAATAATATAAATTTTGAACTATTTTGATGGGATTTTCGGGGTAGAAAAGCTGTAGTTATTTTTATGACGCCATAGGAGTTGAACGTTACCGTTTTATGGCGAAAAACACCTAAATTTTTAAAATTTTTATCAAGTCCATCAAGTATAATATAAAATTTTCTCTAAAACTCGCTAAGCAATAGTTTTTATGCAAAAATTATGGTGGAAACAATGTCTCCACACCACGTAGATTCCCATAGAACGACAGATTGTAGTTGGGGAAGAAGTTTTCGTTCAATAATTCACATCTTGTACTTGGCCGGGAGTCATATTTTTCGGTGCATTTGAACGCATTCAAGAACTGGTATTGGCATTGAATCTTGATAAAAATGTCATCCTTGATATCTGCAAAGTGTTTTTGTCCTTGTAGTCGGATCAGCTGAGCCAGAGCGACATAAAATAGCTGATCTTGGGACATTTCGCCGATATTCTTGCCGGAAAAGTGTTTTCGACGTGTGAAATTGGCGTTCCACTTTGCATAGGCCGCGAATAGAATCTGATTCACTGAAAATTTCATAGTTTTGAGAGAATTTCAATATTGCACATGACAAAATTTGACGAAAAAAGGTATAAAATCGCGTAAGATAAGGTAAATCTTGGCTGGAAATTCTATCTCGGCCAGATTTCACTATTTTATTACTGTTGAAATCAGAATTTTCACTAAAAATTATACTATACTAGGCATAATAAAGTCGACTTACAAGCCGCTGTAGGGAAAGCAAATGCAAAATTAGGGTACATGACAGCGGGAGTGTAAGTGGAATGATAAAACATGGGCTCGAAAGCTTCGAAATTGAACCCAACATATTGAAAATCACCGTCTTTCATGATGGTGGTGTGCTCCTGCAAAATTAAAATTCAGAGTGCTTGAAAAAAGTCGTTGTCTGTTTTTTAGACTACGATATACAAGAACTCTATTTTTATTGTGTAAAATTCAGTAGAAAAATAATTTTTCTCTGTCCGTCTCCGACAGTGGCGGACCTGATCCGGTGCGAAAAAAACGCGCCATTTTGCATCCGGGAATTCCTCGGAGCGCAATGCGCAGAATTTCTTAAAACTTTGCGGACGCTCCTCTCTATGCACCACTAATAAATCGCTGAAATTTTGAGTGGATGCTTTGCAACGCCAGTTGTGATATTCACCGATCTTCAGAGACTATAGGAAATTACTATGACGGGCCTGATCCAGTGGCAAAAAACATACCATTTTGCATCCGGGAAGTATCAAAAAATGTAGCAAAATACCTCCCTCTCCAAGTTAAAAAACTCCGATTTCAAAAACGCGCCCGCCGTTTTTGTGAGGGAAATTTGAAGGCACCCTTAAAACGGAGTTTTTTCACGTGGAGAGGGAGGCATTTTGCTACATTTTTTAATACTTCCGTGATGCAAAATGGTACGTTTTTTGCCACTGGATCAGGTCCGTCACTGTAATTTGCCATAGTCTCTGAAGATCGGTGAATATCACAACTGGCGTTGCAAAGCATCCACTCAAAATTTCAGCGATTTATTAGTGGTGCATAGAGAGGAGCGTCTGCAAAATTTTAAGAAATTCTGCGCATTGCGCTCCGGGAAATTCCACTTTTATCACATCTGCACAGTGCATTCAAAAATTGCTCGATCTTGCACAATGCACTCGGATTTTTTTGGATGTTTTGAAACTCACATCTAGCCTGGGCGTCCAATAAAAGTTTATGTCCTTGTCGATGTTAAATTGGATAATCGGCTTGAGATTGTTGACATTTCTCGACTTCCACAGCTTCGAAAGTTCGTTTAGATCCGGATTATCGGACAGGGCCAATTGTCCGAAATATTTTTCGAAATTCGAATTCTCAAAAATCGGATGACCAATTGGCTCGAATTTGAGGTAATCTTTCAAGTACTCATACGTCTTATTTTTCGCTTCTTCTGTTATATTCAAGTACCTTGTGGTACTCGAATATTGCTGAACAATCGTGGTTAGGTATTGGAAAAGTTGAGTGTTCATTTTGGCGAAGCCTTCGTGAGCCTCCATTTCGTCAAACAGAAGTTTTTTGTAGTACATCGGAAAGATTTCGAGGGTCATTTCCTCGCAATTTGCAAAAAACCCCGGATTTTTGGGTGATTTGAAGAGGAATAGGAAGTAATCCATAAGTTGTCGACGGGATATCCTCTAAAAATTGGTAAAACTTATATTGTTTCAAGAGGAATTTCGATGTAATTTGGGGGTAAAATACGATGGGTTCTAATTCGTATATCTTTTAACATACAGTGACGGACCTTATCCAGTGGAAAAAACGTTCCATTTTGCATCCGGGAAGTACAGTTAGGGACCGGATCCAATGGCAAAAAACGTCTCATTTTGCATCCCGGAAGGGACCAAAATGTCTCCAAACCCTTCCCTTCTCTAAGCTAAAAAAACCCCGATTTGAAGAGTTCGCCTTGAAGGAAAGGGCGCGCTTTTCAAAGCGGAGTTTTTTAGCTTAGAGAAGGGAATGGTTTGGAGTCATTTTGATCCCTTCCGGGATGCAAAAGGAGACGTTTTATGCCATTGGATCAGGTCCCTCACTATATCAAAAAATGTGGTAAAATACCTCCCTCTTCAAGTGAAAAAACTCCGATTTTTCAAAAGCGCTCCCACTCTTTTTGTGAGAGAAATTTGAAGGCGCCCTTCAAAACGCATTTTTTTAGTTGGAGAAGGAGGCATTTTGCCACATTTTTAATACTTCCCGGATGCAAAATGGTACGTTTTCGCCACTGGATCAGGTCCGTCACTGTATGTTAAAAGCTAAACAAGTTAGAACCCACCGTATTTTACCCCCAAGTTATCTCAAAATTCCTCTTGAAAACTTACATCCTGCGGGAAATAGATCCTCGCATTTTTTTCGCTCCCAAACATCACATCAAATGTGTAGCTCATCATGTTTACACATTGCGTTTTGTCGTTCGCAAAGACGGAATTGCAGGTGTCCGTTTCGCCGAAAGTCACGTTTTCCGGCTTGGGTACTGCAATTTGTCGACCGAAATGTTTCTCGCTCAAAAAATTAGAGCCAAATTTCCACAAAGTGTTGAGGACTTTTTGATAGGCTTCTTTGAAGCCGGTGTTGTCTTCGAATTGATTTCTTGCGATATAATCGATCAGTTGTTGAGTTCGCTGCAATGATTCTTCAGTTGTAGCGCCGGGATAAAACGTGCGGTCGATTTGGAGGATGGATCGGTCGGCCAGACAGTTCGAATATGCCCTACGGACTTTTTGAAGGACTGGCGGCTAAAATGCGGGAATTTGAAGCAGTGTTTGTTTCTGAGGAAACATGGGTGAAAAATTGGGATTAGAATTACCAAAAAACTTTGATTATAACTCATTATGGTAAACACAGTGACGGACCTGACCCAGTGGCAGAAAACGTACCATTTTGAATCCGGGAAGTATCAAAAAATGCAGCAAAATGCTTCCCTCTCCAAGTGAAAAAAGCTCCGTTTTGAAGGGCGCCTTCAAATTTCTCTCACAAAAAGAGCCCTTTGAAAAAGTCGGAGTTTTTTCACTTGGAGAGGGAGGCATTTTGCTACATTTTTTGATACGTCCCGGATGCAAAATGGTACGTTTTGTGCCACTGGATCAGGCTCATCACTGTAGTTGGCTAATCTAAGAGTTGAAATAGCTAAAGTTTTGGCCTAAAAATGTCATGAATGGCTAGTCAGAAGGTTGGATTGGTAGCCAAATCGTCCAAATACAGTGGCGGACCTGATCCAGCGGCAAAGAACGTAACATTTTGCATCCAGGAAGCATCAAAAACGCAGCAAAATGTCTCCATCTCCAAATGAAAAAACTCCGATTTCAAAAAATCACAAAAAGGGTGGGCTTTTGCTTTTGAAACCGGAGTTTTTTCACTTGGAGAGGGAGGTATTTTGATGCATTTTTTTGATACTTCCCGGAAGCAAAATGGCACGTTTTTTGCCACTGGATCAGGTCCGTCACTGTATTTGGGCGATTTGCCTATCAATTCAAACCTTTTGCCCAGCCATTTCTGAGATTTTTAGCCCAGAACTTTAGTCATTTCAACTCATAAAGCAGCCAAATATTTACCGTGATGGATCATAATCAAAGCTTTTGGTGATTCTACTCCAAATTTTTGCCAAGTTCCGTCAAAAACGGACCTCTTGAGCCGCGGGTTGCGCTGATAAAATCCGTTTAGCTCTGTCCGTCCTCCACTTTGCGAAGAAATCGGTTGTAAATCCGTTTGTAGCGAATCTTTCAAAGTCGTCACAGGGCCGAAAATTGGTGTCAATCCCCATTTCCATGAACTCAGATCTCTTTTCAATCCAGTCATCCTAAAATAGGCTGCAAAAATTGTGATTGGTTCGAGTTTTTACCTTATTTTAGGGATAAATCAGCCAAAATTCGAGGAAACTAATAAATAAAAAAATTTATAGCCTCCAACGGCAATTACAATAGTATTTGCCTATTAAAAACCCCATTACTCACTTGAGAATGCGCAAATTCCAATATAAAAATAACAAAGACAGCGAAAAATTTCATCACAGAATCAAAATTTAACAAAAAATGGTAATCATTAACAACATTAAAGCTTCTAAAAGCAATTAGAATGCAGCTCATTTGTTAATTTAATATTTAAACTCCATTTCTTGACATATTTTATATTACACTTGACATGAGATATAAAAATCTTAATTCTTTCGGTATTTTAAAAGTTTTTTCGATGGAAAACTTAACAATTTATCAGAATACAACTCTGTCAACAATATTTACCATATAATTGGGCATCTAATATACAGTTTTGAGGTTTTACAGTCAAATTCCACATCAGATTCGTTGAAATTTAGATGATATGGGAGGAAAATGTCGAGAATTGATCGTTTATTGTCGAGGATCACAACGACTCGATCCTCATTCAATTTGCATCGTAGCCGACCAGCTTCTTTGACTGACTTTTTGGCCTCGTCTTGGACTTGGACCACAATCTCGACGATCCTTCCAGCCACTAGTGTCGCTGTGAATTTCTGGCCAGAAATCGCTGGAGATGGCTCCAAATCTTCCTAAAATCCGAATACAAACTCACAAAAGAGTGACTTACAGCGTCTACACACTTGCTCGAGTGGTCTTCTTTAATCAAACATTCGGCGGGCGATTTCCTGATTCGTTGTTGGCTTATCTCTCCCCAATGTGTATTTTTCCTCAAAGTTTTGTGTGTTTTCACTTCAATTATTAGGTTGTGTTGTCGTTCAATCGAAGAGCACACCACCATGAAGAGAAGTTGTCGATAGAATTCGGATTTGTCCACGTATTTCTTGTAGAAAATACTGTTTACCACAACATCCACCTGAATATTGATATAGGTTAGAAAAGCGCTTATAACTTTTGAAGGAAGGAATCGAACGAGATAAAATTTACAGCAAACCGAGTTTACAGCATTATCTTGCTATGCTTGAAATTTAAAAAGGATTGATCAAGATAACCGGAGCTTACAATCAATTTCCCATCATCTACTACAACATCAAGGAATTTCCTAAAAATCGAAGAAAAAATAAGTCAAACTGATCTCACCTTTCGAGCAGGCTCTCCTTTAAGATCCTTGGTGGCCTCCAGCACCCCAACGCACGTGGGAATATTAATATCATCGGGATTCGTCTCCAATTTCCTCAGCATATCTTCTTCATCCCATTGTCCATCCATCGGCGGCGGAATTTTAGTCGAATGGCAGATATTGACGAATAATTTGGAGGGATGAGGCTCTGATCCGACGTTTCGACACTAAAACAAGAATTCCAAAAAGGTTTTATATTAACTTACCGCTGTTTTGACGACATATCCAGGTTCCGGTGTGATTATCCAATAATCTCTGGCTTCTTCAGCCAATTCTTTCGCTGCGTCTGACGTCTTCATCGTGCAATTCCAGAAAGTTTTCCGAAATTTTGCGAAAAAAATATTTTCACCGACTTATTTTCTGCGTCCCGCAACGAAAATGTTTTGGCATTCCGCAACAAGTCGAAATTCGCAATTTGAAGCTCCGGCGACCGGTCGGTCATTTTCTTACGTTCTACTGGAGTCATGTCGTGTAAAGAAACGAGCAGTCCCAAATCGAAGGCGTCTTCATTGAACCTTCAACCTGTTAAGATCTTCGAGGTTGGCGACTTGTAAGATAACTCGATTTTTTGCAAATTTCTGAGCCAAGATTTACGCAAAAAACCGTTTTTAGAATCTACGGAGATTACAAGGTGACCGAAGTCATGCGAGATAGGATCCCATCAACTCACAACTTCTACAAAGCCAAGGCCAAAAAGCCATTCAAAGATCAAAATGATGTTGAAGTAAGCGGAAAAAGTGCAATTTTCGGATTTAAAAAATTTTTTCGAAGAAAACTAATGTCATTTGAATGACTTTGAAACCATCTTTTCCGCTAAAATTTGAGGAAAAATGGAAGATTTTGAGATTTTTTGTTCTGATGTCTAGTGTAATATAATTCGAATTAGACGGGTTTTTGAAGATTTTCTTCATTTATTTTTTTGTATATGAGATTGATAGAGCATTTGTATCGAGTTTCTACTGCTTTTTGAGCCAAATTCCGACTGCTCAAGTTTTCGTGGTGGGACCCAGAACTTCTTTTGAGCCAGGTTAAAATTCAATTTTACCTTGCCTAAAATGCCTCATTAGGTTCAAAACTACATTATAAATTTTTTTACATATTTTTTTATTTTTACAACGGACATTCTTACTCAAAGTTTAGCTGTTGACCTATTACAATATAATTTCTACAGTATCCCGAGTTGATGTTCAAGACATTCGGCGCTACGACTTTGCCCGAGGTGAACGTGGTCCGCGAATCGCAAATCCATGCGTGGCTGAAGGCGAGCCGCTGTCCGGATGCGTTCTTTCGCATCCTTTGCCCCGCGCCTCTCATCTTCGGCGACGCACAGCGAATGCTGGCCTTCCCCATCTACCATTGCTCGTTGGCGGAGGTCAAGAGGAGAGTGGGCTTCCTGTCACAGAAGACCACCCTCAGATTGGGGTTGGAGATGCTGTCGGCGGTCAAGGAATTGCATGGGTTGGGGATCGTTCATCAGAACCTGAATCCAGGCCATTTCCTGCTCTCACATGCCTTCGAGGTGGACGCCGAACATTTTGGAGTGGTGATCTGTGATCTGGCTGAGGCTAAGTAAGCAATGGATGGATTTGGCGCATGATTTTTTTGATTTTGAAAGGATTGTTATATTAGTCATGGTGAAGATGACAAAAGTCGAAAATTCAATATGTTGTCGTCGATGGATCAGGATGAAATTTAACTTACTTAAATTCCATGCTACTTAGATGATTTGAGCAAAATTTCAGACCGCACTAACCAGAAACAAATGGAATATAGCCGATTAAAGCTAGAAAAGTTCGATTTTTACTGTTTTTGGCTCAATATAACTAATTCTAGTAGGATAAAGTCAAAAATTCTTTTCTATGACCACAAAATCTCTCTTTATAGAGTGTGGATGGTGTTTGAGGAAGAAGTTCCACTCCCGTTTTCGAATCCACAGCCCCCAGTTGACCCACATTTTTGCTCCGTTGACATGATGGATTCCCCTTCAAGCTCTAGAAGAGACGATTTATACTCTTGGTTCTACACAGTGAGTTGTTTTGCAAAGCGTTTTTTACATTTTTTACAAGTGTGACGATTTTTTAGCGAAAAATCAATAGTGACATTTCGTCCAAATTTTAAATTTGTTGTTTGTGGTGCGTGTAGTGGGCGAAATTGGTAAAATACGACATTGCGTGCTCAAGTCGGAACCGTGAGCTTCAAAAAAATCCAAAAAATGTGATTTACATCCAAAAAATCAATAGTGACATTTTGTCAAATTTTGTAATTGCTGTTTAGAGCATGTGTAGTGGGTAGAATGGGTGAAAAATGGAATTGTTTTCTTACATTTGAGACTTGGGTTCAGAAAAAATTAAAAAGTGTAATTGACATTAAAAAAATCAATAGTGACATTTCGTCACATTTTGAATTTGCTGCTTACAGTGTATGTTGTGTGTGGGATGGATAAAATACGGAATTTCTTTACAAAATTCTTAAAATTCGAGCGTGAGTTTGAGAAAAATGAAACTTTCATTCAAAAAATCAATAGTGACATTTCGTCAAATTTCCAAATTGACTCAAAATTGAAATAAAACCAATGCCAAAATTCCGAAAATTGATTCTCAAAGGATTTGTAATCTTTTCAGATGGCCTCCCTCCGCGCCAAACTCCCCTGGGAATGGCTGGAGCCGGACGAGCCGTCGCTGATCCGAATCCGAAAAGTGGACTGGCGCCGTCGCCCGGTCCTGATGGCCTCGAGCTTTTGCTCCGACATTCATCGCCTGATCAGCGACATTTTCGCTTGGATCAACGAGATGGACAGTCGGGGAAAGCCGCGGTATCAACTGTTTGCGCAGAATTTGCATAAAGCACTGTGCATTTTGGAGGGAAAACCCGGCGAAAAGTTTGAGGACTCGCCGATTGGACAAGAGTTTGCCAGACCGGATTGTGTTGACACTCCTTGTAAGGTATGGAATGGCGTTTTGAAGACGGTTTTCAGAGGTTTTGAGGACTTTGAAGGTTTTCGTGGCGGGACCAAACGTTTTGAAAACTGATAAAAATGGGGGTTTCTGCAATTACTTCGTCATTTTAGAGGTGTTATTGCTACGTCTCCAGTCAAAATTCATGAATTTTCTTTGATTTCAGGTTTTCGTGGTGGGACCCAAATTTTCAAAAATTGACAAAAAGTTAATGGATTATATAACTTTAAGCTTCGAGAATCATTTTAGCTCTTTTTCGAGAGATTCCCACTCGGAATCCATTGGTTTTTGCAAATTTCAGGTTTTCGTGGTGGGATCCAAATGTTCGAAAATTTGACAAAAAGTATAGATAATGTAATTTTAAGCTTTGAGGATGATATTACCTCTGTTTTCAGTGATTCCCGCTCGGAATCCATTGGTTTTTGCTATGTTCAGGTTTTCGTGGTGGGACCTAAATTTTCGAAAGTCGACAAAAATATAATGGATAATATAATTTTAAGCTTCGAGAATCATTTTAGCTCTTTTTTTGAGTGATTCCCACTCGGAATCCATTGGTTTTTGCAAATCTCAAGTTTTCGTGGTGGGACCCAAATGTTCGAAAATTTGACAAAAGGTATAGATAACGTAATTTTAAGCTTCGAGAATCATTTTAGCTCTTTTTTTGAGCGATTCCCGCCCAAAATCCATTGGTTTTTGCAAGTTTCAGGTTTTCGTGGTGGGACCTAAATTTTCGAAATTCGACAAAAATATAATGGATAATATAATTTTAAACTTCGAGAACGTAGTGGACGTTTTTGTCCCCACCCCGGTTTTGTCCCCAATACGGTTTTGTCCCCAGGACGTTTTTGTCCCCACTTTTTTCGAGCCTTTTTGTCCCCAGACCGGTTTTGTCCCCAGGACGGTTTTGTCCCCAAGACGTTTTTGTCCCCACTTTTTTATTTTTTTGTCCCCACACCGGTTTTGTCCCCAGGACGTTTTTGTCCCCAAGCTGGATAGTACGATTAAAAATTATGCATTCAGATGTTAATGCTGTTGGTTTGAAGCCCCGCACTTCCCAAAAAATGTGTTTTTAGCACTTGGTACTGTATAGTACAAGGTGGTACTATATAGCACGAGGTAAAAATTAAGCCATAACACGTCAATGCTATGGGGTTGAAGCCCAGTACTTCTCAAAAATGTGTTTTAGCACATGGTACTATATGCACGAATTTGTTTTTGCACAAAATGAACGTCTGATCACTACTGCGTACCAAAACAACGTCATTCACGCGTTAAAGCTTAATTTTTACCTCGTGCTATATAATACCACCTTGAACTATACAGTACCAAGTGCTAAAAACACATTTTTTGAGAAGTGCGGGGCTTCAAACCAACAGCATTAACATCTGAATGCATAATTTTTAATCGTACTATCCAGCTTGGGGACAAAAACGTCCTGGGGACAAAACCGGTGTGGGGACAAAAAAATAAAAAAGGGGGGACAAAAACGTCTTGGGGACAAAACCGTCCTGGGGACAAAACCGGTCTGGGGACAAAAAGGCTCGAAAAAAGTGGGGACAAAAACGTGCTGGGGACAAAACCGTCTTGGGGACAAAACCGGGGTGGGGACAAAACCGGGCCCAATCCTTCGAGAATCATTTTAGCTCTTTTTTTGAGTGATTCCCGCTTGTCCATTGGTTTTTTGCTATTTTCAGGTTTTCGTGGTGGGACCCAAATTTTAGAAAAATGTCAAAAATCTCTCCAAGTCTTTTGACTAGACTAAAATTTACTCAATTTATAGGCTTCGAATCAAGACGAAGAGTACAAAAGCCTGTTCGACGACTACAAATACGACGTGCAATTCATGTTCCGACGGGCGGAAGTTGGACTGCCGCCCGAGGTGAAAGCGAGCCTCGACGAAAAGTACAAGCCTTATGTGTTCTCGGAAGATAATGCGGAGGTGGTGAAGAGCGCTGTGTTGCCGAAACAGCAGCGAAAAGTGAAGGAGAAGGCGGTGAAACAGAAGGAGAAAGAGATCATTGCCAAGGAGAAGCCAAGAGCTCCGACCAATGTGCAGAAACGCTCGGATTCGTCGGAAGTGGTATGCTTTTTGATGTAAAATGGGTAGGAATGAGGTCAAACCTCAAAAAATTTTTCTTTACTTGAAGTTTTTTTGGGATTTCTGGAATTATTTTCATCGACCGGTCGATTTTTTTATTTTGATTTTTGGAAAAAATAATTTTGTGATTTTTTGTAATTTTAGGATTACTGCTTTGGAAATTTAAATTTTTCAAAATTTTATTATCGACCGGTCGATTTTTTATTTTGATTTTTTTAAAATTTTAAGTTTATTTTATCTTTTTTTCGCAATTTTTTGAATATATTTTTTCATGGTTTTATTATCGACCGGTCGATTTTAAAAAAAATTTTTGGGAAAAATAAAAAAATTATTTTGGTGTTTTTTCGCAATTTTTTGATTATTGATATTTTGAATTTTTAATTTTTACAATTTTTCATTATCGACCGGTCGATTTTTAAAAATTCGATTTGTTTTTCTGGACCAAAGTTTTTTTTCAGGAACCAACGAGAGAACGAAAGAAGTATGTGGTGAAACCAGTGATCGATGTGAAGAAGTGGGAAAGAAAGATGGGCAGATCCAGAACCACCGAATGGCTGGTCGGAAATGCGGTTTTGGTGAGGAGAAGAAAGGTAAAACACATCTTTTTCGAAAATTTTGTTTTTTTTTGGGTTACTTTGATTAGAATTTTGCAACATTTTTTCGACTGGTTGATTTCTTTTATTTTCGTTTTTTTTTTTTGAAAATAATTATATTTTTGGAATTTTTGGAATGTTTATTTTTAACTTTTTAAAAAATTTTCGACCGGTCGATTTTTTATTTTTTAATCTTTTGATTTTTTCGACCGGTTGATTTTATAAATTTTTATTTTTAAAAATTTTTCGACCGGTCGATTTTTCATTTTTAAATTTTTTGATTTTTTCGACCGGTCGATTTTTTAACGTTTAATTTTTAAAAAAAATTTTTAACCGGTTGATTTTTAAAATTTTTATTTTTTTTTACTTTTTTTGACCGGTCGATTTTTTAAAGTTAATTTTTTTTTATTTTTTCGACCGGTTGATTTTTCAAATTTTCATTTTTGTGTACTTTTTTGAAAAAAAATCGTAATTCCAGTCCGACGAAGAATCCAAGGAGTCCAAGGAATCGAGGGAATCTAGCAAGGAATCGCATATCAAGCGCAAAAGGAATCATCACGGCAAAAAGAGGCAAAAAAGGGCCAAAAAACCGTCACATAAGGTAAAAATTTTTTTTTTGTTTGAAAAATTTCTGTAATTTTAGATTGCCGACACGCAACATCGCAAGTAAACGCTATCTGGAGGCAAAAATCCATTTTTTATATCGATTGGATGTATTTATTTTGGTATTTGGACAATAAATTATACTGTACATATCAACAATTGTAATATATGTTATTTATATTCGTCGCCATCGTTGTTTTGAGAGGTGTAAAATTAAAAAAATTAAACTTTAAAAAATCGACCGGTCGAAAAAAAATTCCAAAAACCAAAAAATGAAAAATCGACCGGTCGAAAAAAATTCCAAAAACCAAAAAATGAAAAATCGACCGGTCGAAAAAAATTACAAAAACCAAAAAATGAAAAATCGACCGGTCGAAAAAATTCCAGAAACCAAAAAATGAAAAATCGACCGGTCGAAAAAATTCCAAAAATCAAAAATAAAAGATTCTAATCAAAGTAACCCAAAAAAAGCTTGAATTTTTCCATTTGAATTTTTTTGTTATCGACCGGTCGATTTTTTTGATTTTTTTTTCAAAAATCGGCTTTTTATGAATTGAAATGACGATTTCACGGATAACCTTGGGCGAAAAAAAGAAAGAGGTTCCGGACGATGGGGAATTGAGTAAGGAATTTATTTTGACATTTTTTGATTTTCTCAAGGCAAAATAATACGAAAATCCGATAGAAGGAACGATTTGGAAAGGCGGATAGAATGTAAAATACGAATTAGCATAGTATTCATAGTTTTATTTCCAATTTGACCCATTTTCTGGAGATTTGACAGCTTTTTTGCATTGGCGAGCTGCGCCCGAACTTGACTTTTTTTCTGAGTTTTTTCTGGGGTTAAAATACGAACAAACTTGTCGGATCAGCAAAATTAGATTTTTTATTATTTTTTTGTCAAATTTTGATATTGAAGGCTTGGCAGCTCGCGCCCTGTCAAAATTTTTATTCCGCAACTTGCGCCCGCAAAAATGAATAATAAATTTTATAAAAGTTCTTGAAGGAAAGTTTTTGATACTTTTGCTTTTTTTCTCTTCATTTTTGAAGAAAAAACCGGTCCGCAGCTCGCGCCCTATCAAAATTTTTATTCCGCAGCTTGCGCCCACAAAAATGGATAATAAATATTATGAAAGTTCTTGAAGGAAAGTTTTTGATACTTTTGCTTTTTTTATCTTAATTTTCGTTAAAAAAATCGGTCCGCAGCTCGCGCCCTATCAAAATTTTTATTCCGCAGCTTGCGCCCGCAAAAGTGGATAAAAAAAGTTTCGAAGGAAACCTTTTGATACTTTTGTCTTTTCTCACCATTTTGAATGGAAAAATTGATTTTTTAGATACTCAAAAAATTAACTATCATACATATTTTCAGTAATTCCCGTCACAAACCCGTTCAGGACCCATTTACTGGATTTGCCCAGCCAAAGGAAAGCCAAAACCATTCTCGATGACCATTGGTATGACAGTGAATCCGAGGATTTGGGCGAAGAATGGAATTCCGGAGCGGGCGAGGTTTTGGATCAGATTCCGGTTGCTGTCTACTGTGAGGAATGCGATATTTCCGTGAGTTTTGAAGCAAAAAAAATGAAAAATTTTAAATTAAAAAAATTTAAAAGATTAAAAAAATGAAAAATATAAAAAAATAAAAAAAAAAAAATAAAAAAAAAAAAATAAAAAAATTAAATAAAAATTTTTTCGCGATTTTTGCATTGAAGATTCCAGGCTCTATTAGTATTAAACCGTAAAATTTTTGCACAAAAAATCAAATTTTTTCGAGCGGGAGCAAAAAAGTTATGCGGGGAAAATCGCTGCTCATCTGGCCGACTAAATTACTATTTTTTGACTCCGCGATATTGAAAAAAGCTTGGAAAAACTTTAGAATAATTTTTTCTAAGACATATGCGGGATTTTTTAGCTCGCGTTTTGCAGAAACAACCGAGATTTTTTGGCCGAAAGTTGGAGAAAATACGACAATTTTTTGCGAATTTTGAGATAAAAAAATTTGTGCTTATTTCTACTGTAGAGAGTGATCTTTCCACAAAAAATCAATTTTTTCCTCACAAAACTGGCAAAGATACGGCCAAAAAGGGGGTTTTTCTCTGACCGCTCTCCACATTTTGCGTGCTCTCTCGAAAAAAGTCGAATATCTCGGCGGCCGCTGGAAAGAGGGAGCTAAAACTTTCAGCGATTGATTTGTGAATAGTTTATAACGGTTTAGAACACGAATTTTTTATTTTCATTTTTTCAGGTTAAAACTACGGTCAAATTTGAACGCAACAACTTCATCAAACGACTCCTCGTTTTGACGGCAATTCTGGGATTTTTCACCTTCGGATTCACCTGGATTTTATTCCTGATTCTCCTATTTGTCCCCGGCTTCAAAAAAACGTATCATTTCTGCTCGATCTGCAAGAAATATTTCGGAGTTTATAACAATTGAATAAAAAGTTTTGAATTTTTAAAATTTTTTTGTTTTGGATATGAATATTGTTCTCAAATTCTTGTATTTAGATAAATTAGGAAAGAATTAATTTTTAACCAGCATCTTACAGGATTACCAAAGGTTTTTTGGCCTAAAATTGCCGAAAATCTGCGAAAACACAATTTTTGGTGTTATTATAGCAAAAATGGCTATATTTGGCGTCCTCAGACAATTTTATAGCTTTTTCTAGCGTTTTTATTCTCCAAATTGTCTTAATTTTGCAAGATTTTACCAAAAATTAATCTTCACGGGCACGTCTTCTGCGTCCCACCACGAATTATTTTGAGAAATGCGCGTTTGGCATTGTGCATCAAGTCAAAAATAAGATAATTTTTTGACAAAAAACATGAATCTAGAGCTTTTTAAGGGATTCTGAAGATGTTTTAGCCTTATTTCATCTATTTTTTTCGAGTTATTTCGGTTTATATTATCCATGACCATCAAATCTCCCAACTTTTTTCTTCTTCTTGTTTCAGGCCAAAAATGCCTCGTCCGGTGGACATGCCGCATCGCAGTCGCAAGAGCTACGACGACCGCAACTACGACAATCGGCGGGAGAGTAGTTCCGGCTCGAAACGCTATAGCACGCCCGGATCTTATGTGAAGGTCAGCTATCGAGATGCGTACGGACATGGCCGTTCGAGCAATGGGGATTATCGAAAACACAATGGTCGACATCACGACGACTATAAGCGAAGAGATCGGGATCGAGATCGGGAACGGAGGAGCAAGGAAAAAGAGAATAAAAAGCCAAAGGAGGTGAGTGTATTATAAATTATTTGTTCGATGTTTAGATATCAAAAAATGGATGCGTTAGCTGCCTCATTCTCTTACCTTGTCCTATGGCTTGATTTTAAAAGAGAATTTTGTTTAAATTCACCCGAAATGTTAAATTTCGAGCTAAATTTATATGAATTTGCCTAAAGTTACCTAAAATAAGGTGAAATTCATTGAAACTCCTCCTATAACAATGTGAAATCTCTATTATTACCTCTCTTTCAGCTCTTGCCAGTCGAAGAAATGGCTGATTTGGTTGAGAAGAAAATTAAAAAAGAAGATTTTGTGATTTTTGTTAGTGAGACCGGCTCTGGAAAGAGTACGAAAATTCCGCAGATTGTTATCGACCGCGTCTTCAAAGACGATCCCACAGCCAAAGTAGCTGTTTCTCAGCCGAGACGAGTTGCTGCGTTGAACTTGGCGAGGAGAGTTGCTCATGAACGGAACTGCGAAGTTGGAGACGAGGTGGGTATCATGATTTATATGATTTTGTTGATGTTTAGGGTAAAATACGGATCACGGAACTTCGCAATTGTAGAGAATGTGCTTGTGCTTAAATTGAGCTTCTTTTCAAGCCATTTTAAATGGTTTATACCCTCTTTTTGGCGAAAAAATATCAAAAATTTCTCAAGGAAAGTGCTTTTATGGGGTATGGAGTTACAGGTCGAGAGATATATCAAAAAAATCGCAAAATTTTTCTGATTCAAAATATGTAAAAATTAGCTGCCCAATTTTGGTTTGTAAGGGTGAAAAAGCCCTCTGAACTTTTCTCGCAACACCACGCAAATGCCTTTTTGACCAAGTTTTTACCAATTCCAAAGCTGTGTTTTGAGCTAAAGTAAACCTTGGCATCATTGACAAGCCTTAAAATACCAAATTTAATTAATACTACACCTTAATAAATCTCCTCTTTGTTATATTGGATCAACTAATAAAGGTGTAGTATTAATCAAATTCGGTATTTTAAGGCTTGTCAAGGTGCCAGGATTTACCTTACAGCTCAAAAACAATCTTTTGGTTTGGTAAAAACTTGCTCAAAAAGGCGTTTGCATGGTGTTGCGAGAAAAGTTCTGAGGGGGTTTTTCGCCCTTACAAACCAAAATTGAGCAGCTAATTTTTACATATTCTGAATCAGAAAAATTTTGCGATTTTTTTGATATATCTCTCGACTTGTAACTCCATACCCCATAAAAGCAGTTTCCTTGTGAAATTTTTGATATTTTTTGGCCAAAAAAGAGGGTATAAACTATTTAAAATGGCTTGAAAAGAAGCTAAATTTAAGCGCTGGCTTGCGAAGTTCCGTGCAGAGATTGCCACGGTCAAAATTTTGGCTCCGGCTCTTAGCTCCCAGAGCCGGAGCACGAGGCCAATTTTGCAGCTCCGGCTCTTGGCTCCGTGCAAAATTTAAAAAGGCCTCCGGCTCCGAATCCCGGCTCCTATGCAAAATGTTTTTTAAAAATATTTTTCCAAAAATAAAAGTTATTAGTGCCAGAGATAGCCAACGTTTCTGCAGTCAAGCCGCATCCTCCGCAGTGTTTTTCAAGCAATTTGGTTTAACAAGATCACGAAATTTTTTACTTTTCTGACCGCTGGGAAGCCTGGCTCCGACTTTGGGCTCGGGAGCCGGAGCCAAGAGCCGGCTCCGGAGCCGTGGCAATCTCTGCTCTCGACCTGTAACTCCATACCTCATAGAAGCACTTTCGTTGTCAAATTTTGCTCTGAGTTTGTGATTTTCAGGTGGGATACAAGTTCAGATTTGAGAATGAGACGTCGGAAAAAACGAGGATCACGTACATGACGGATGGAATTTTGCTGCGAGAGATTTTATACGACAAAGAACTCAAAAATTACAAGTGCGTGATCATCGATGAGGTCCATGAACGAAGTGTGGACACGGATATTCTCCTCTTTTTGCTCCAGCGACTACGCAAAAGAAGCAATTTGAAAATAATTTTGATGTCCGCTTATATGGATGTGGAAGGTCTAAAACAGTACTACAATGGAGTGGAGGCGTATTTCATCCCTGGAAGGTCATTCGAAATTGAAGTAGGTAGAAATTTGAGTGATTTTTGGTAATTTTTAGCGAAATTTTGGATAGAATTTTGGAAAATTTTGAGGGTTTTCAGAAATTTTTACCTTATTTTAGGCAGAAATTTGAGAAAAAGTTTGTTTTTGAAAAAATTGAAGAAATCCCTGGCTAGTTTACGGTTTAATATGGTGGCTTATGATTTTATGGTTGATTTTACGGTAGTTTAAGTGGCAGGGGCTTTTGTTTTAGACATAAAATTTATATTTTCACCTTATTTTAGGTAGAATTTTAGATTTTTAAAAAAAAAATTGTTTTTTTTTTGAAATTAAGCTTTTCTCTTGTAACTGGTATTTATTGCTGCTTTATGGCCTGAGCTTTTGTTTTTGGGCAAGAAGTTTGTGTCCGGACATTAGAAAAATTTGATAAAAAAGGTGATTTTTCCTCTAAGTAAGGTAAATAAATCTAGTTTTTAGTCGAAATTGCCAAGTTTCACAAGGAAAGTAGTTATATGGGGTATGGAGTTACAGGTCGAGACATATATCAAAAAATCGCAACACTTTTCTGATTCAGAATATGTAAAAATTAGCTACCCAAGTTTGGTTTTTAAGGGCGAAAAAACCCTCAGAACTTTTCCCGCAACACCACACAAATGCCTTTTTGCCCAAGTTTTTATCAAATCAAATGTTTTGTTTTGAGCTAAAGTAAACCCTGACATCTTGACAAGCCTTAGAATATCAGGTTTGATTAATACTCCACCTTAATTGGTAGTTCCAATGTAAAAAATAATCAAATTTGATACTTTAAGGCTTGTCAAGAGGGTTCACTTTAGCTCAAAACAAAACTTTTGAATTGGTAAAAACTTGGTTAAAAAGGCATTTGCGTGGTGTTGTGAGGAAAGTTCCGAGGGTTTTTCGCCCTTACAAGCCAAAACTGGGCAGCTAATTTTTACATATTCTGAATCAGAAAAATTTTGCGGTTTTTTTTGATATATAACTCGACCTGTAACTCCATACCCCATAGAGGTACTTTCCTTGTGAAACTTGGCAATTACGACTAAAAGCTAGATTTATTTACCTCATTTAGAGGAAAAATCACTTTTTTTATCAAATTTTTCTAATGTCCGGACACAAATTTCTTGCCTAAAACCAAGATTCGACGCTCCTCCGAATGAATAACTTGACCTGTAACTTCATAGCCTATAGAAGAACTTTCCTTGTAAAAAAATTTTTGATAAAAAAGCGGGTTTTCCTCAAAATAAGCCAAATAAATGTGGTTTTTGGTCTTCATTGCCACGTTTCAGACCCACTTTCTTCCCCAACCCGCCGACGACTACCTCGATCTGACGTTGCGGACGGTCTATCAACTGCATCAGTCAGAGCCCACCACTCACGCCTTCCTCGTCTTCCTCACCGGCCAAGAGGAAATTGTCTCCGCGCTGAGAGCGTTGAGAAAAGCCATCCCCGACGCGGACATTATCGCCTTCTACGCCGCCTTGGGACATGATCGCCCGAAGATCTTCGAGGTCTCCAAGGAACGCCGGAAAATTGTGATCGCGACGAATATCGCGGAAACTTCGATCACAATCCCCGATGTCAGAGTGGTGGTGGACTGTGGAAAGGTGAAACAAAAGTGAGTTTGCGCGAAAATACGTTGGTAAGGGAGATTTTGTAGGTTTTAGCGAGGAAAACGTCTGTTTTGCCGTTTTTTCGGGGATTTTTGCAATTTTCAGAGCAAAAATAGCGTTGACGAAGGGGAAAATTGTTGTGAATTGAAAGTGTGAGGCATGTAGGATCTGGAAATCACATTATTATAATGAGGGTTACTGTAATTTTTTCGAAATTTTGAGATTTTCGTTAAGAAGTCGGGATTTTTGGAAATTTTTGATTTTTTTTGTTTAAAAACGGTTGAAATGTGGTTGAATTTGAAAGGAAATAGTATTTCAGGGTACTGTAGCTTCTATTATTAACAGTTTTATTCCGAGGAATACTGTAATTTTTTCAAAATTTTCAGATTTTGGTCAAGAAGTCGGGATTTTTGGATATTTTTATTTTTTTTTGTTGAAAAAGAGTTGAAATGTGGTTGAAATTGAATGGAAATAATAGTTTGGGGTACTGTAGCTTCTGTTATTAACATTTTTGTTCCTGGGGATACTGTAATTTTTCAGGAAATAATTTTTTTGACAAAAAGTTTCGGTTTTTTGGGAAACTTGAATTTTTTGCTGAAGGTGAAAGTAAAACAGGGTAAAAAAGAAGTCAGATTATACTGTAACATGCAAGAATCTGTAATATAACCTTTCCCAGATGGACCACCAAGAATCTGCGGCTGGATCAGCTCGTAATCAACGACGTCTCCAAAGCCCAGGCCATTCAAAGAGCCGGCCGTGCGGGCCGCACCGGCCCCGGCAAGTGCTTCCGCCTCTACACGAAGCAACAATACGACGCATTCTTGGACCAGACCGTCCCCGAAGTGGAGCGCTGCAACCTCAGCCACGTGACGATGATGCTAATCGACATGGGTTTTGCCAAGCTCTCCAAAATCAAACTCTTGAATAACCCGCCGAAGACGGCGTGGGCCGAAGCTCTTTTTGAACTGTATTCCTTGCATCTGATCCAATTGTTCGATGGACTTCACAAAAGAGAACGCCGAGAGTTTTACGACATGAGCGATGACGAAAAAGTGGAGTAAGTAGGGTAAAATAATGTGAAAATTTTGTAAGAGAAGTGAATTGGGGGCTTGAAGGGGATGTAAAATACGCAAACGACGTTTATGAGTGCAGTTTGAGCGATTTCCCGTTGATTTGCGAGGTTTTTGATGTTGGCGAGCTGCGCCCGAGCTTGGCTTTTGTTTCTCTGTGTTTTATGGGATTAAAGAGTGCAATATTGTCGTAGAAGTAGCAGAATGTGATTTTTAATCAAATTTGCACTACTTTTTGATATTGGAGCCTCGGCAGCTCGCGCCCTACAAAATTTTTTAATCCGCAGCCTGCGCCCACAAAAATGGCGAATAGTGGATTAGACTGATTTTGAATGTCATAAACCAAATTCTGCAGACAAACCTACGCCCTAACAAGCGCCGGCAACAAGATTCGACCACTCCCGGTGACCCCACAACTCGGCCATTTCATACTACAATGCGCGAAAGAGGAGATCACACAGACCGGCATTCAGATCGCGTGCTTATGCTCCATCACGGAAGAGATGTTTTTGAGCTTGAGGGAGGACATGGACGAAGCAACGAAAGCACGAATCCAACATGAACGGGACAGCTTACTGAAGAACAACACATCAGACTTGGTGGCCATCATGAAGATCATCAAAATGAACAGGAAAATGGATGAAAAGGAATGGGTGAGTGGGGAATTTGGGCTGGGCTGAATGTGCTTTATCTAGATTTGATTCGATTTTGGATGAAATTTGAGATTTTTGTATTGGCAGCTCGTGCCCTAGGTTAGAGGGAATTTTGTCGTTTGAAGGGAAATTTTGGGCAAAAATGCGGTTAAGGGTTATGTCTGGAGCATCGGAATGTTTTTTAAAGTCGAAATTTTTGATTTTGAAACATTTTTTCCACGCAGCCTGCGCCCTGGCTTTAATCAAAGCTTTTGCGACAGAGTCGGAATTCTCGGATTGTAGCCGTAAATTTATGTTGAACTGTTCATAAAAGGAAAGTATGGCGATCTATTTTGTATGCTCGAATTTTTTTCTATTATCAGCCGCAGGTCGCGTCCTATTTTAATATTTTTTTTTGGATTTTTGAGATTTTTATTAGAAATTTGGATGACTTAATTTGTTTTCAGAAGAAACGCGAAAAAGACAAGCAGTTGAATCCAAAATTCTTCAAAGAAATTACGCAGCTGCGCCGACAGCTTACAGTCCAATGTGAGAGTAAAAAAGTTTGTGATCCCAAGAAGGACAAACTGTTTGGACAAGAGCTGGAGAAACCGTTGAAGTAAGTTTTGTTCAGTGGAATTGATAAAAAAGAAATTTTTAAGTCAGGTCTTGAAAAAAAATAAAATTTTTTTACAAAAAAATACTTCTGTGGGGTATGGAGTTACAGGTCGACATATATATCAAAAAAACATCGCAAATTTTTTCTGATTCAGAATATGTAAAAATTAGCTGCCCAATTTTGGTTTGCAAGGGCGAAAAACCCCTCAGAACTTTTCTTGCAACACCACGCAAATGCCTTTTTGACCAGGGGCCTGTTTCATCAACGAAAAATAAATAAAATAAACGAAAGGGAAAGCGAGAGAACATCCAAAACACGTTTCGAAGCGAGAGAGTCGCGACAGATTAGTAGAGACCATCTATAGAGCGGCGCATTTATCACAGCGATCGGAGTGACTTTTTACGTCCAAAACGGGGGGTTCTCAGCAGTAATCAGTGGATAACTCGGCTCCCGGTGGTCATAGAGTCACCCTTCCAAAAACCAAATAAAGCTATTCCCTAGAGCTACGTGATATCCAAATTTCATATTTATACTTCAAAAAATGAACTCAGTAGACACCTAGTAGATCGTAGTATTCAACTTTTTTGACGTTTTTTTCTGAAAACCATTATTTTTTCAGACAATTTTTAACATAATGGGATAAAATTGGTATCAGTCGATAGCCAAACCTTTACTCTACAAAACTTTTTTAGAGGGGCGGTTTACTTCAAAAAATGAACTCGGTAGACACCTAGTAGATCACAGTATTTAGGCTTTTTTTACGTTTCTTCGGGAAAAACCTTTGTTTTTCACTCAGTCTTTAACATAATGGGATAAAATTAGTACCAGTCGATAGCCCAACGTCTAATCTATAAAAAATTTTTAGAGGGGCGGCTTCTTTTGCCCTGTGGCCTGCGAAACGTTCAATTTCGTGAGACGATGTCTTCTATTTGCGTAAAAAGTCCTTCGATCGTTTCCGAAAAAACCAAAAGAGAGGAAAAGCGCCCTCGAAACGCGATGGTTTTTTGTGTCAAAAACGGTGGTTCATGACAGTAAACATAGACGTTTCGCAGGCCACAGGGCAAAAGAAGCCGCCCCTCTAAAAATTTTTTATAGATTAGACGTTGGGCTATCGACTGGTACTAATTTTATCCCATTATGTTAAAGACTGAGTGAAAAACAAAGGTTTTTCCCGAAAAAACGTAAAAACAGCGTAAATACTGTGATCTACTAGGTGTCTACCGAGTTCATTTTTTGAAGTAAACCACCCCTCTAAAAAAGTTTTATAGATTAGACGTTGGGCTATCGACTGGTACCAATTTTATCCCATTATGTTGAAAACTGACTGAAAAAATAACGTTTTTCAGAAAAAACCGTAAAAAAACTTGAATACCACGATCTACTAGGTGTCTATTGAGTTCATTTTTTGAAGTATAAATATGAAATTTCGATATCCCGTAGCTGTTGGTAATAGCTTTATTTGGATTTTGGAAGGGTGATTCTACGACCACCGAGAGCCGAGTTATCCACTGATTACTGTAGAGAACCCCCCGTTTTGGACGTAAAAAGTCACTCCGATCGCTCTGATAAATGCGCCGCTCTATAGATGGGTCTCTACTAATCCGTCGCGACTCTCTCGCTTCGAAACGTGTTTTGGGTGTTCTCTCGCTTTCTCTTTCGTTTATTTTATTTATTTTTCGTTGATGAAACAGGCCCCAGGTTTTTACCAAATCAAAAGCTTTGTTTTGAGCTAAAGTAAACCCTGGCATCTTGACAATCCTTAAAATATCAAATTTGATTATCAGTCTGTCGGAAAAATAACGGTGCGTCATCGCAACGAGATGTCTCGTCTCGTCGAAAAAAGGGTGCAAATCCCCAACTGCGGCTTGCCGTCGCAAAGCGATGAAATGCGATTCCGGGGCGCGACAATCCGCCGTTATTTTCCCGACGGACTGGAAATACTACACCTTAATCAGTAGTTCTAATGTAAAAAAGGGCGTTTTTACATTGGAACTACTAATTAAGGTGTAGTGTTAATCAAATCTGATGTTTGTAAGGCTTGTCAAGATGCCAGGGTTTACTTTAGCTCAAAAACAAAGCTTTTGAATTGGTAAAAACTTGGTCAAAAAGGCATTTGCGTGGTGTTGCGGGAAAAGTTCTGAGGGGGTTTTCGCCCTTTCAAACCAAAATTAGGCAGCTAATTTTTACATATTCTGAATCAGAAAAATTTTGCGGTTTTTTTGATATATCTCTCGACCTGTAACTCCATACCGCATAGAAGTACTTTCCTTGTAAAAAAAAATAAATAAATTTTTCGAAATTTTAGCAAAGCAATTGTCGAAAGCTTCTTCCTCAACACGTGCATCCAAACCAACGACAAAGAACACACCTACTACTTGCTGCTAGACCCCTCGGTGAAGCTGAAAATCCACCCCAGCTCGATTTTAATGCAGAAATACCCGAAGATGTTCGTCTTCAACGAACTGGTCAAAACCAACGAAAACTACGCGAAATTAATACACCCCATCGACCCCGAGCTCCTACTTGACAAACTGAAAACTCTGGATATCCCCGGATTACTCGAGAGAATCAAAGGAGGCTAGAATTTTATTATTGATATTACACTTGGTGTCTAACATTATTTTTGTTGATTTCTTGTTGAATTTTGAAGAATTCCGGATGTTTATGTGAAAATAAAGAAACGAAATGAAGTAGAGATTGATTTGAAGTACATTTTTGAACATAAATTGGTTGACAACCATGAGATATTTGAAGATATTGTAATTGATGGGTAGTACAATATAAATTGATGTTTTATACTTGTTTTTGAAGGTATTTGTTGAAAGTTTTTGTGGAAATATAGCATAGCGACTGCAGAGAAAAGAGTCTGATGATTTTTAGGCCAAAATTTTGACTTTGAAAGTTTTCGTGGTGGGACTCAGAAGTTTGATACGTGGGTTTTTGAAATGGCTGTAGAATCTAAAATAATGCGTCAATAGGGATGAATTTTTGTTTATGTGTTTCTTGAGAGATAAATTTTGCGTTTTTAGACTCAAATCTTATTAAAAATTTTCGTGGCGAGACCTAACTTAAAAAAATTTTTTTTTGTCATTTATCAAAATTAATCGAAAATATAGTTGGATTTTGATGTAAAAGTGAATGACAAACCCATTTTCAGCGCCTAAAATGCTGCCGGGCCGAATCCAGCCGCCACAAGATGTGGAGAAGATGACCGAAACCAACTGGAGCAACTTTATGCAAATCCCGCAAAACGCGATCAACCGCGACAACGTGCTCACCTACTTTTGCGACCCGAAGAACCCCTTCTACGACAACCAATCCGACAACGAGCAACTCCGCATGCAGCGCCAAAGCATCATGCCAAATGGGATAGTTTTCATCGAAGAAATGCTTCCACAGCTCAAGTGCGTTGCTGTTTTTAAGGAGGCATTTTTGTTTTTGTTTATGCTGTGGGGATAAGACTTCTTTTCGGAGAATTTCAAGCCGCTCGGAGGACTTATCAGGTTTTCGTGCCGGGACCCAAAATTTTGAAAAACCTTGGATTTTAGTGGGAAATGTGGCAAAGTTGTTCTAAATTGATTGTCTAACATGTTATAACGCTAAAAAATTTTTACTATGTTTTTTGGCCAAGTGTAAAATTAAAATTTTTAAAAATTTCAAATATTTTTAGTCGAATGAATGGTATCCAATATGTTGTCCATGAAGGCCAAGCTCCGTTATTTGTGATCCGAAAACAACGCAGAACCAGTGCAGCGCAATGTAAGATATTTTAAGCCAATTTTGGAAACAAAATTTGACAATGTTGCGAAGTGTCACAAAATTTATTGGAAATTTTCCAGTAAGGTCTTGTGGCATTTCGTCCCATGAAAATTGTGGCTTGTGTTGTTTTATGACTGGAGATTCATTTTCAGACCAGCCAATCGCCTTTTACTACGTTTTGAACGGCATTGTCTACCAGGCTCCCTCAATATACCACATCACACAAAGCCGCATCGTGGGCGCCATGGAACCCCTGAAACGAGCCTTCACCGAAACCCTGAGCTATTTGCGCTTCAATGTGAACAAGGGCTACTACTGGGAGTTCAAGGACGGCCAGAAGCGGCCGGGCAGCAAAGAAGGCGGACCTCAGGAGATCCCCCAAAACGAGCCGCCGAATGCCCTGAAAAAGGAGGACGAACCCTGGACCACGAGGGCCACACCGTACCAACACAACCGCACAGAGATGTTGTTGGCGTATTTGAGGGAGGAATTCAGCGGGGAAAAGGTAATTTTGAGATTTTTTGAGGGCTAGGTGGGTAGTACAATATAAATTGGGAAGTTAACTTAAATCTTGGAGAATAATTGGTCTAGTTTTTTGAATTTAGGGCCTTTATGAGCTCGAAAAATGAATATTAGGTATTTCGGAGGTAATTTCTGATTTTGAAAGTTTTCGTGGCGGGACCCAAGATTCAAAAAATTTTGTTCGAATTTGATCCAACAAAAGAAAAAATATGGAAGGAATAGGTTCTGAAAATCGCTAGAAAAATTTTTTATGCCATATTTTTTTATTTGGGACCGACTTTTATATGAATCTTGATAGCTGATGACTAAAAGTTTGAAGTCGAAAAACTTAGTTTTTGTATGCCAAATACGGTGTAAAACTTTATGAAAACTCATAGAAAAGTATACTCTGAAGTTTTTGACAAGATTCGGCAAGATCCGGAAAGGTGTCATTTTATACGATGAAAGTTTTTTTGGATTTTTTTTTGGAATATCCAATTTTTTCAGTAAAATTTCAATTTTTATGTTCTTTCAGCCAAAACCCTCGGGAACTCGACCCAATTCGGCCGCTGCAACCCCCTCAATAGGCGCTGCAACTCCTCAAAATTCGGAAGCCACGTTTTTGGCCCCCACAGCGCCGGGCCAAGCCTCGAGTGCAGCCCATTCCATCCCAAGCGCCCATGCCAATATTGGCCTAGACCTGCCCGGAGTCCTGCCGATGAGCAATTCAGCCGCGGCGCATTTCATTGCGGCCGCAACGTCGAAAAACGACCAAAAAATGGAACAAATGGACACAAGTTGATTTTTTTGGAATTTTTTTGCCATTTCGGAAATTTTTAAGCAGATTAATGGGTTTTCTGGTCTGTAAGTTGATTTAAAACGTATTTGATGTCTTCATTAATACTTTTGGATACCTTTTTTTTAAAACTTAAAAATGAAATTTTAATTTTTTGGGTATGTTTTGACTTTGATGTCTAGTACAATATCCATTGTGAATAATTTGATGTTTTCTTGTTGAAATTGTCAATTAGTGTGTGGTCTCTCATAATTATGAGAAATAATTTATTATGACATAAATTTTATACAAATTAATGTCACTTTTTGTCGGAATGATGACTTAAAATAAGGTCGGAAATAAAAAGCAGATTAAAAAAGTTGTTATAGGCAAAACGCGTTGTTATCGGCGGACGCTCTGCGAAGGCTTGACGAAGACTTGCAATATGTCCTCTTTTTCTAACTTTAGCTATTAAATACTAACGTTAGTTTTCTTTACCCTGAGTTATCGTAACATATAAAAGAACGAAATTTGCGGCAAACAACGAAAATCCGTAACTTTTATTTAGATATTATTGATGTGAGTACATGTAAAATACCTCAAAAAAGGTGATAAGCTATCCTAGGACGCGCTCAATCTTATTATTTCTACTAAATAAGCCTTCTCGATTCCTCCACAAAGCCTTTGGTGCCTTGCATGGGTGTAACCATGCATGGGGAGACTAAGAGAAGGCTTATTAGTAGAAATAATAAGATTGATCGGGTCGTAGGATAGTTTATCACCTATTTTGAGCTATTTTACATGTACTCACATCAATAGTATCTAGATAAAAGTTATGGATCTTCGTTTTTTGCCGCAAAATTTGGTCTTTTTTATGTTACAATAACTCATGGTAAAGAAAACTAACGTTAGTAATAGCTGAAATTAGAATAAGTGGACAAATTGCAAGTCTTTGCTGAGCCTTCGCCGAGCGTCCGCCGGCCATTCAACGGCTTTGCCAGGCCTCGCAGGCACTTTCTACAACCTTTTTTGGGTATCCACCTGCCTTGAACCTCGTGTCGATCGATTTTGTGTTGACGCGAACTGTCGTCGACCCGAAAAGTCGCGACGCACGGCAACCCAGGGAGTCTCCCGCCTCGTTTCGGCACTTCGCCCACCTAGTATCGGTTGAATTCAAACGAAATGTCAAAAATGAATTTTTCGTGCGGGTTTCCGACCAAAAAACATTTTTCTCGGAATTACAGGGTGCGGCAAAAAAATGGAAACTTATTTTTATAGCTATATTTTTCCTAGCAATCAAAATTCCGCAAATATAACGGTCATCATCAATAACATAGAGCATTGGATTCTAACGTTTTGTTGGTTGTGCACCCGCCAAACATTGCACCGCAAAGGGAATGCGCTCCCAACGTGGACCTGCGGCCCGACTTCTGAATTTTCGGCATTTTTTCAGGCGTATGGGCTTGATCTTGCCGGTGAGGGGTTAGGCATTTTAGACCATGCGTGGGGAGACCTTGAGCTGATTTTTAGCTATTCGGCCGACTGGTCGGTCTCTGATGCCGGTCTCACGGGCAATTTTTTTCTGGAAATCGACGGATTTCGCTGTCGATGACCTCGCGGCTGGCAGAAGTGTTGGCGGTGCGTTTTCTTAGACTGAATGGACGCTTAAAATTGTTAACAAGCTCCTTGCATTGTGTGACTACTTTGGACACAACGTCGTTTCAATACCGGGCAAATTAACAATTCGATCAGCTTAAAAAACAGGTCCAAAATCGAGGTCCCTTGGTTTGACATTCAAAAAAAGAATGTTAATAAACCGATATCGACATGAAATCATAAGGTCTAGGACAGAAAACTACGTAGAATTTAATGGTATGAAAATAATTTTGCTTCACTTAAAAATTTTCGCGTCAGGACCCAATGAAAAAAGTTTCCATTTTTTTGCCGCACCCTGTATTTTATTTCTTTCGCCAATTTTGACACTTCGTTTGGACGAAACTCAATAGTGGGCGGGAGACATTTTTGTTATATTTTGGGTTGCCGTGGGACGCCTACTCCATTGCCTCTCAACAACATTCAGCCCGACAACTGGGCTGCTGAATCTTTTTTTCGACTTGAATTTCCATCCAAATTTATTTGATGACTGGAATTATTGATCTTTTTCGTTCATTAAAATCTCCATTTATAACTTCTGAGGCGAGGGTTGTTTCGGCTGGTTGAATTTTGACCACCTCCTGGGACCCATTACCATAGTTGCCGCAGGTCAGAAGCCTCAAAATTGGTTTGAATTTGGTGATTAGAAAGGTCCGATAAGGCTTTATGAAATAGAGAGTGACCAGGGAATTGGAAGCTCCGTAAAGCTCAATGAAATCGATTATTAGTCGGCCCTGCTCGGCTGTTATGTCTTGCCAATAGGTTCGGATGATTCCGTAGGTGACTGGGAGGATTATGAAGAGAAATGGAGTCAGCAGCTGAAAAGATTTGAATGGAGGGAGGGTTTTTCTTGATTTTTACGTTTTTTTGAAAATGTTTGAAATTTTGACCATGCTTTGATACGAAAACTTATTGAAAAAAAAATTGGCAGACTTTCAAATCGTATATTTTAGGATTTTGCAAATCAGTTTTTCAAAAATTTGAATTTACCGCGAAAATCAAAAAATTTTGGCATTCTGTTTCAAGGCCTGTATTTTATGAGTAATATCACTTTCAAGACACCCCATGTCGTATTTTACACTATTTTGGTCTGTTTGCCAGGCCTTACGATCAGGAAATTTTTGAAAATTTGAATTTCCCGCCAAAATAAAAATTTTTTGGCATTCTGTTTCAAGTGCTGTATTTTGTAACTACGAAGGATGCAAAGTCTTCAAAACACGTTTTCATAATTCTTAGGCTGTTTATCAAACCTTTGCGACCTTGAAATACTCGAAAATTTGAATTTCCCGCCAAAATAAAAAATCTTGGCATCCTGTTGCAAGCACTCAAAACGTCCAAAATGATATACAGGAGACCCCTAAGGCATTTTACTGATTTTTTACCGCTTCCATCAAGATCAAAACGCATTTTGCAATAATTTTTTCCTACTCTTTTCAACTTACTTGAACCCCCAGCGCCACCGTCAATTGTCGATGCAATTTGTAAGTCATCACCGAGAAGCTTTCCTTTCTCGATTCCAGCATCTTTAGCAGCACGAAAACAAATCCAATTGAGGTGAATTCGGCGACGAAAAATCCGACGAAAATGAAAATCGCGGCGAAAATTGCGTAGTCGCTTTTATAGTCCGTGTAGAAAATCACGGTACCATTGAAGTTTGGAAATTCCGCATTCGGGGTGGTTTGGAGGTCGCGGATTAGCAAATCGCGGACTTCCTGCAATTTTTTATTTTTTTTTTTTTTTTTGAATTTTGAATCCAACTTACATTCTGATAAGGCTGGATTGGCGCGAAAATAATGATCGAAACGACGGTGAAAAATAACGAAATCGCATACGCATATACCCATGTTTTGGTCGAAAGCAAAAAATCCAACCACCATTGTGAGGTTTGCAGCGCCGCAAACCGATAAGCAAGACAACAACATTGCGTGGACAGACAATACCCGGCCGTGTTTATAACTAGGACCAACTAAAAGAGTATCAAAAAAATAAGTTGATTCATTTGGAAATATATTTACCGACAGCTTGGCGCCATAATCTCCAAAATATTTCAGCCAGCCATTGATGTAGGAGGCACGCAGCGGATACATGGGATTTGGTCGGACCAAAACTCCCAATGTGAAAGAAAAAAGGGCGTCGAAGAGCTGAAAAAAAGTTTGTTGGCAACAACTTGATAAATAGGAATTCTTGAGTTGCAGTGCTCAGATTTCGATGAAACTGGGAAAAAATTTACATTGATTTTTCTCTACAAGATATGTGAGACTCCTAACAAGGGAATGGTCTAAGCTTCCCCCTGCGTTTGGCAAAATGACTAGTACAAAACAGTCATCTTCTACAGCGGGGGACCTGATCCAGTGGCAAAGAACGTACCATTTTGCATCCGGGAAGCATCCAAAATGTGGCAAAATGCTTCCCTCTCCAAGTGAAAAGACTCTGATTTCAAAAGCGTGCCTGCTTTTTTTGTGAGGAAGAAAGGGCCCTTCAAAACAAAGTTTTTTCACTTGGAGGGGGAAGCATTTCGCCACATTTTTGATACTTCCCCGGATGCAAAATGGTACGTTTTTTGCCACTGGATCAGGTCCCCCACTGTAGTTGCGGAATAAGCTTGACCGATGAGAAAAATCAATCGAAAGTTCCACAAAAATTTCCTCTCTCTCTTCCCTCGGAAAAGAAGAGCGGACTTTTCAAGTCGAAAAAGTTTTGGTCAAAGTCGACTAAGATTTTTTGACTGAAAAGCGACAAAAATATGACATTTTTTTTGGCGAAGTTTTCCATGAAAAGTTTCACATCTATTATATTTATACTGTAGAGGGTAATGTTTCCGCAAAAAATCATTATTTCAACGCAAAACTGGCAAAGATATGGCCAAATTTTTTCCTTTTAGCGCTCTTTTCGTTTCGCTTTCTCTCTCAGCCGCAAAGATTGTTGAATATATCGGATGCACCTGTAAAACGCGCGCTAAAACTTTCTAAGATTGATATGTGGCCAATGCCCAAAATGTGGGCAAAATTTTAAAAAAATTCGGAGAGTCCGGCATGGTAAAATCACTTACCGTAAAATTGATGATATATCTGGTATATCCAGCCATAGTCTTGGGTGAATGAAAGATCACCATAAAAATGACGAGTAGCGCCAAAAAAGTGGAAAAAATACTTATAATTAGGAAGAATACGTCCACTATCATCACTTTACATACTTACCGAGTGAAAATAAAAAAAGGTTTTGGCAAAAATTCGCAAAATTTCACCTGTAAATGAAAAGTTACAGCGATGTTTGATCTCAGGTGTTAATGGTCTACAAATACCGAGAGTTTACTTTGAATTTAAATTCACTATTCGCATTATGGATTCCATGCCATTGCGAATAAACTATCGTCAAATTGGTTGATGTCAAAGATCAGTGCGGGGAAAAATGTGACTTTTGTTTTTTTTTTTGAAAAAGTCTCAATACTCCTCACCATTGTTGTGTCTCGAGAGTGAGCGTTGGGTGTTACGCTACATACTGTTACTTTTATCTGATAATAATCTTATATTTATAATCCCTCCTACATCTGGCTCTTCACCAGTCAAGATACAACAACTGGCGCGTGGAGATACAAAAAAAAAAAAAAAAAAAAAAAAAAGAAAATTGCGCTGCTCCGCCAAACGATTCCACAGCATCTAATTCCAAGATTTTTATCCTCAAAGTCCCCTTTCAATCACAATAATAGCCTAATCACAGGCGACAGGCAACAAAGAGTATTAGGTTGATGCATAATTATCCGGCATTTATATTGGCACGTTTTCTGTTACTAGGGAAGTGTACAAACGAACCCTCACCAAATGGCAAGTGTTATACACCATTGGAAAGCCCTTGAAAAATGGTGAAAGGTACCATTTTCATTTTTTGCAGAATGCCTCAGGGCAAAAAATTATAAACGGTTGATTTGTTCCTTGAGTAGTTACAATATCTGCTGTGGGGCAAAATAAATCTTATTTCAAAACGCTAAATGGTAAATATTGCTACTAGGTTGGCCTAAGAATCATTATGAAGTTTGGCGCTTACCAGTAAAACCATTTTACATATGATATTTACTGGTTTTAAACACCCATAACGTGAAAAAACACTTTTAACTTTTTTAATTTTGAAAAACATGTAAGTTTGATGGTTTTAACCGTAATCGACCGTTTTCTAGAAAAAATAAAGCGTTTGTAAAGGTTTAACTCAAATATTATCCTAACTGTAAGAACGCAAAACGTTTTTTCCCAAGCTGGGAATCGAACCTAGCTTGGTTTGGCTTATCAGCCTGCTCCGCAATCACTGCACTATTGAAGCAACCCTCTTCGAGGATTTTTATCCGCTCAAGAGAAAGAAAGATTTTTGTTGCGAAATGACCTAAAAATAATATAATTTACAGTGTGTCGTCGCGGAAAGGCATTCTGCAAAAAATGAAAATGGTGCCTTGCACCATTTTTCAAGGGCTTTCCAATGGTGTATACCACTTGCGATTTGGTGAGGGTTCGTTTGTACACTTCCCTAGTTAGTGAAAATTGGCGTTTTGTTATTTTTTGTAGAACTAATCTTCTCTAGTCAGTTAATAAAAACGCGTGTCGAAAACCATGGTCATATTCGCCATATTATGCTCTACCACTTCGAGAAAGGTTGGAAGGCAGCACAGTCATTCCGCGATCTCAACAAACTTTTCGGTCAGTGTAGGGAGTGGTTTGCCCGCTTCAAATCAAGTGACACCAGCTTGCAAGATAAGCCAAGAAGAGGTCGGCCGTAGGATTTCGACGATCAGGCACTTCTGGCAGCCGTGGGGACGAAAGCTTGACAACACGAATGCAGTCAACGATCGTTCGACGTCTCAAAAAGCTTGGAACGGTATGTAAAGGCTGGATAGGTCCTTCACGAACTCCCCGACAACAACAAAACCGATCTTGGTTAAAAAACGCAGGATAATTATGCATCGGCCTAATAATATCGATCTGTTTCAACCGAAGCTCTGACGACCAAAGATCGGGCTCAAATGTAGTACTTATTGCGGCTGCGGCTGTGACTGTCCGCAAAAATTAAGGCCCTCTGTCATATCGAAAATCGACGTCGAGAAAATGAATTGTGTCGCGGAAAAATCAAATTGCTTTCTTTTTCTTTTCAACTCAGCGACATTGCGCTCATTATTTTCCCGACAGACCAAACGCCTTCGCACGTACTTCTTTTTATTTCTGTATTTGACTTTGATGATTCCTAAAAAGTTAAAAATTACATAACAATGATATGTTCGTCATCCACTTCCAGTTCTTCCAACGCCGGTAGCACCGCGTTCTCCGTCATCGCTCGAGGGCCGCAAACAATGAAGCCGGTACAGTCATCGGGTGGGAAGCATGCTATATCAATGAGGTCCGTATTGATGTGTCCAATGTGGCCGGCCCAAGGTCTCTCGGCGGCGGGTTGGGACAGAACGTGCGTTAGGCGGAAGCGTTGCGGATGTTGGCGTTGCAGACGCTCTAGATCCGATCTGGAACGTGGAATTCGTAAGGTTGTCCTGCGCTGAAGTATTTGGGGAGCAGAGGGCAGTACTATAAGTCCGTCGGGAAGTGTTTCTCCCTTTCTGTTGCCCGAAAACGTCGGCAAATTTCCAAAAGATCGCAGTAATTTTTTTCACCCCGTTGCCGCAAGTGTCGGTGCCCGCAAACGTTATCAAAATCAAGTGGCGTGCAACGCCAGCCCAATCTGATGGAGCTGTCGCTTTTTGTGAGGAAAAAGGCGCGCAGTTCAAAACGGAGTTTTTTTAGTTGAAGAGGGAGGCATTTTGCCAGATTTTTGATACTTCCCGGATGCAAAATGATACGTTTTTTGCCACTGGATCAAGTCCTTCACTGTACCTCAATAAAATGTCATCTTCTGTTCGGTTTGCGAACAACAAGCGGATTTGCGTCTCATCAAACGGATTCTTCAACGTCTTGTTGATGATCCTCCAGATCGGCGTGATCCCGGTGCCTCCGGCAATGAGATTCATCCGCTTGTAAAGATGGTGCTGGAGAATTTCTTCTGCTTCATTGACCGCATGGCCACTTGTGAAATAGCCATTTCCATGATACATGTGGCGGTAGATGGGGCCGCGGAAGTTCATAATGTCACCTGAAAATTTTTGGGATATTATTTTAGGGATCTGTTCGAAAAAAATGTAAAAAAAATTATTTTTTTGAGTACTACCAGTCTGTCGGGAAAATAATGAGCCCTCATTATTTTCCCGACAGACCGATAAAACTTAAGATTGGGCCTTGGAAGTTGATTTTGTCACCTAGAAAGGCCGAAATTAATACTTTTTTTTTGAAAAAATTATATTATTCTTGACAAAAAAATTGTTAAAATCTGGTCAAAAAAGAGGCTAGGATAACTAAAAATGAATCAGAATTTACTCCAGGCACCTCCTTTATGCCGAATACGGAAAAAATCTATGCAAATTGAGGAAAATTTATATTATCCATGACAAAAAAATGTCTAAATAAGGTCTAAACCCGATGAAAAAAGTTCGGTTTAGCCCCAAAATGAAGTAGAACTCATATACTATCTAATATTTTCAAATACACGCCAAAAAATAACAAAAATCAAAAAAATTTTTATATTATTTATGATGACAAAGACCTAAAATAAGGTCCAAAACCCTCAAAAAATCCAATCAAAACCCCTTTTCTTCTCTAAAATACAAAAAAAACTTTTGAACATACCAAAATACCACAATATTATCCACTTACCAATCCTCAAGTTGTCCAAATATTGCGAAAAAAACCCGCCGCTCGGAAATGCCTCGGATTTCTCGTAAATTTTGACCAAAACATCGATGAACCCGACCAATTCATCGTCCGAGATTGGTGTGTAAAGCCGGCCACAGCATTTGTCGTTGACGCGATTCGAAATTCGGACGTGATGGCCCGGCTCCAGGCCCGAAATATGGCTCGGAGAGGGGAGAGCGAAGCGAAAAATTCGGGTGTTTTTGGAAATTGATGACTTTTGGACTAATTTCAGGGGGATTCGAGTGGTCCGAGTGAGGTCGTGGAATGTCTCGATGAGTTGAGGACGCTGAAAATTAAAATTTTTTTTTTCAAAATTTTTTTAATTTTGAAATTTGAATTTTTTTTCAAAATTTATTTTTTTTTTCATAAAGTGCATGGACATTTTAGACATTTTTTCTCTTTCGCACAGTGCATTTTGAACCTTTTCCCACGCTTGTCGCCAACGCACAGTGCACGTCAAACTGAGGAGTCCGGTGACCGGAATAGACACTTCGCTATGGGTTTTTTACACTTCGTCTTGATTTCCAGAGAAAGAGAGAAAAAAATACACGCAAAAGCGTACTCTCTCGCCCCAAAAATTCCCCATTTCTTCCCCGACAAAATGTTTTTTCGCGTCTTTTTTTGGAAAATTGCCAATCCATTCACCGGAATGTTTTAGCTTATCTCAGTTTGACGTGCAGTGCATTTCTCACTTTTTTGCACTGTGCAAACCCCAAAAAAGATTTTTGCACTGTGCAAATTTTTGAGCTACGGACAGTTTTTCTCTTTTCGCACAGTGCATTTTGGACTTTTTCCCACGCTGAAGCACAGTGCGTTGGCGACAAACGCGGGAAAGAAGTTCGACATGCACTGTGCGAAACAGAGCAAATGTTCATCGCTCACTTTTTTGCACAGTGCAAAAATCTTTTTTTTTTTGAGGTTTGCACGGTGCGAAAAGCAAAAAACGCACAGTGCACAAAAATCTCCGATTTTCGAAAAAAATCTCCGATTTTTTGCACCGTGCATTCACTTTTTTTGGTTTTGCACTGTGCGAAAAAAGAAATATCGCTGCGACGTAAACTTTTCTCGACCGCTCCGCCGCGGTTCCGCTGAAGAATTTGCACAGTGCAAACGATCTTTTTTGAGGCCTGCACGGTGCGAAAAGAAAAAATGCACTGTGCATTGGGGACAAGGGTGGGAAAAAGTTCAAAATGCACTGTGCGAAAGCGAAAAAATGTCCGTCGCTCAAAAATCTGCACAGTGCAAAAATCTTTTTTGGGTTTGCACTGTGCGAAAAGTGACAAATGCACTGTGCGTTGGCGACAAGTGTGGGAAAAGGTTCAAAAGATGCACTGTGCGAGAAGAGAAAAAATGTCCATCGCTCAAAAATTTGCAAAAACGACTTTTTTCGAGGTTTGCACGGTGCGAAAAGAAAAAACGCACTGTGCAAAAAATGCACAGTGCGTTGGGGACAAGCGAGGGAAAAAGTTCAAAACGCATTGTGCGGCGGTTTTCCTCGAAAGAGACCCCCGGAATCGAAAGAGACCCCGGAATCCGGGGTCTCTTTCGATGTTTCCCCGAAATGGCCGAAAAGGTCAAAAATAGGGTAATCGATGGCGTAGATTCCAAAAATCATATTCGTTTTTTTCTGATTCTTGCTTTTTTTCTTAAGTAGTACTAGTCGCGGCAAAAAGTCCTTAGAATTTTCTGCGACTCCGCACTGTGCATGCACCCGAAAAGTGCTTTTGCACAGTGCAATTTTCTTGTTTTTGCCTTATTGTCGCGCGCGATTCCCGCGACAAATCAACATTTCGGGGTGCGATGAGATTTGGGGGCCGCGAAAAATTCTAAGGACTTTTTGCCGCGACTAGTAATGTTAAAAAGTAATTTTTTGAATTTTTTCTAAAAATAGTCGATTTAGGGGTTATCGAGGGTGCTGATTTCGAAATTGGCATTCATTTTCTTTGATAGTTACTTTTTTCCTTAAGTTCGAAATCAGCACCCTCGATAACCCCTAAATCGACTATTTTTAGAAAAAATTCAAAAAATTACTTTTTAACATTACTACTTAAGCAAAAAAGTAAGAATCGGGAAACCGAATATGATTTTTGGAATCTACGCCATCGATTACCCTCGGGGTCTCTTTCGATGGCTTTCCTGTGCGGCGGCGGAAATAAGGTCCATGCACTTTATAAAAGCGCTAATAAATGAAGACAAAGGTTCATATTACGATTTTCAAAAATAATTTTAGCTTGCACTTTGCATAAAAACCCACCTTTTTCCCGATTTTCCCAAAATTTTCGATATTCTCCATGGCCGCCGAAGAACGTGTGGGCTCGCGCTTTTTAACCTCCAAAGAATGTTTGTGCAAAACAATGGGGTCGAGTCGCTAAGCATTATTAAAAATTGGCCACTGGTTTGTAGTTTAGGGTGGCGAAATCAAGAATTTTGTTTGGAAAAAAAAGGACAAATTGATGACAAAATTTGTTGACATAGGGGCTGAAAATGGTCGAGCGTTTGTTGTATGGGATTTTTAGGTCTTTTGGGATACTTTGAGGGGTAAAAAATTATCTTTTTGAGGTGGAATATTCCATTTTTTGAATATTTTAGTAACTTTTGTGAATTTGCGTCAAATCAAAAGTCGTATTTTAGCTCAAAACAGCCTCTAGACACTCTTCCAGTCCTTAATCTTTCCTACATACCATATTCCGCATCAAATCAAACATCTTTCTTACATTTATCGACCAAAATTTATATTACACTAGGTAAATAAAAACCATCTACATCACAAAAATATGGTCCTTGTCGACGCCCAGCTCCTGCAACGCCGGCAACACCGCCTTCTCTCGCATTGCCGGTGGGCCACAGATGACGAACGCGGTGTTTGGATCCACTGGGAACAGGGTTCTTCGGATGGGATCGGCTGTGATATAACCCGTCAGCCCTCCCCACGGCTGGTCGGGGATGGGTTGGCTGAGGATGTGGGTGACACGGAAACGAGAGGGGTGCTTTTCGTGGATCTCGTCCAGTTCATTTCTGGAAAAATAAAAAAAATTTTTTGATCTAATTTTGCAAAAACTAAAAAATTTTCAAAAATTTTCACAAGGAAAGTACTTCTATGGGGTATGGAGTTACAGGTCCGGACAACCAATGTGCGACAACCCGGCGCACGTCAAACTGAGATAAGCTCAAACAGTCCGGTGAATAGGTCAGCAATTTGCCAAGAAAGATGCGAAAAAACGCTTTGTCGGGAAAGAAATGGGGAATTTTTGGGGCGAGAGAGTGCGCTTTTGCATGTCTTTTTTCTCTCTTTCTCTGCAAAATCATGACGAAGTGTAAAAAACCGTGCGCCGGGCGTCAAACTGATGAATCCGGTGACCGGAATAGACTCTTCGCTATCGGTTTTTTACACTTCGTCTTGATTTCGCTGAGAAAGAGAGAAAAAAGACACGCAAAAGCGTACTCTCTCGCCCCAAAAATTCCCCATTTCTTCCCCAACAGAACGTTTTTTCGCGTCTTTTTTTGGCAAATTGCCGATCCATTCACCGGACTGTTTTAGCTTATCTCAGTTTGATCTGCGGCGTTCTTTCAACGACAGACTGATATGTAAAACTTAGGTGTCCAAGTTTGGTTTGTAAAGGCGAAAAACCCCCTCAGAATTTTTCTGACAACACCACGCAAATACCTTTTTGACCAAGTTTTTACCAATTCAAAAGCTTTGTTTTGGGCTAGCAATTGTAAGGCAAACCCTGGCATCATTTGACAAGCCTTAAAATTTGATTAACACTACACCTTAATTATTAGTTCCAATATAAAAAAGGGGCATTTGTGTGGTGTTGCGAGAAAAGTTCTGAGGGTATTTTCGCCTTTACAAACCAAAACTGGGCAGCTAATTTTTACATATTATGAATCAAAAAAAAAATTTGCGATTTTTTGACACATCTCTCGACCTGTAACTTGTGAAAATTTTTTTTCGACTAATTTCGCAAAAACCTTTGGAAATTTTCAAAAAATCTCAAATTTCTCGATGAAAATACGAAAGCGCAAACAAAATTTTTTTTTCTTAAAACCCCTCAAGGCATTATTCCTCCATTCCAAACAAACTTCAACACTTTCCAATCATCCTAACCCTCAAAAATCACTTTTTCCCCATTCCCCCTACAACAATAAACTTACTTCAACAAAATGTCGTCCTGAGTTTGATTGCCGAATAATAGTGCAAATTCCGTCTTGTCATCGGGGTCTTTCAAGCTCTTGTTCATGATTTGGAGGATGGGAGTGATCCCAGTGCCTCCAGCGATCAACGAAATTCGTTTGAAATGAGCATAACGAGTCTTATCGGGAGTGTTAGCGGGAGTATGCCCAGTCGAGAACTGGCCATTTCCATGGTAAATATGTTGAAAAGTTGGGCCTCGGAAGTTGATTTTGTCGCCTGGAAAGGCCGAAATTAACATTTTTCAAAAAAATTATATTATCCATGACAAAAAATTGGCAAAATCAGGTGAAAAAAGACGTTTAGATCCTTCAAAATAACTCAGAATTTATTCTAGACACCTTTTTTACGTCGAATACGGAAAAATTTCGTGCGAATTGAGGAAAAATTATATTATCCATGACAAAAAATGTCTAAATAAGGTCCAAAACCGATGAAAAAAGTCTGGTCTGGCCCCAAAATGAATAGCAGAAGTCATATACTGTCTTATTTTTTCAAACACATGCCATAAATCCAAAATTCAAAAAAAAATTTATATTATCCATGATGACAAATACCTAAAATAAGGTCCAAAACCCTCACTAAATCCACTAAAAATCCCTTTCACCGTCTAAAATACAACAAAACACTGCCTAAAATACCAAAATCCAACAAAACTATCCACTTACCAACACACAGTGAGTCCAAATATTGCGAAAGAGCGCCTCCATTGGGAAATTTCTCCGATTTCTTATAAATTTTCACAACAATATCCACGAAACCGACCAAATCGTCATCCGAGACGGGTGTGTAAGGTCTCACGACAGTTTTTCCATCAATTTCGGCGGAGACCCGAACGTGTTGACAGGCCTCCAGACCCGCGACATGATGAGCGGAAGGGAGGGCGAAGCGAAATTTCCGGACATTATGCGACAATGAGGTCTTTTCGGCCAAGCAGAGAGGGATCTGTAGATGCGGCTCGACGAACGTTACGATTCCTTTGGAGGTTCGCTAAAATATGGGGGATGATTTTACAAGGAAAGTGCTTTTATGGGGGTCCTACTTTTAGATGAAGACATATCTAAAAAATCCGAAAATTGTGTTGTTTAAGAGTATGTACAGTGACGGACCTGATCCAGTGGCGAAAAACGTACAATTTTGCATCCGGGAAGTATCACAAAATGCGGCAAAATACCTCCCTCTCCAAGCGAAAAAACTCAGGTTTCCAAGGCGCGCCCGCTCTTTTTGCGAAGAAAAAAGTACGCACTCCAAAACGACGTTTTTTCACTTGGAGAGGGAAGCATTTTGCCACATTTTTGGATACCTCCCGGAAGCAAAATTGTACGTTCTTTGCCACTGGATCAGATCCCCCACTGTATGGATCTACAGTGAGGGATCTGATCCAATGGCAAAAAACGTCTCATTTTGCATCACGGAAGGGAACCAAAATGACTCCAAACCCTTCCCTTCCGTAAGCTAAAAAACTCCGCTTTGAAAAGCGCGCCCTTTCCTTCAAGGCGGGCTTTTCAAATCGGGGGTTTTAGCTTAGAGGAGGGAAGGGTTCGGAGATATTTTGGTCCCTTCCGGGATGCAAAATGAGACGTTTTTTGCCATTGGATCAGGTCCCTCGTTGTAACAAGGAAAAATCAATCGCAAGTTGACTTAAAACTCTACAGTGACGGCCCTGATCCAGTGCCAAAAAAACGTACCATTTTGCATCCGGGAAGTATCAAAAAATGAAGCAAAATACCTCCCTCTCCAACTAAAAAACTCCGTTTTGAACTGCACGCCCTTCAAAAAGGGTGGGGGCGCTTTTGAAATCGGAGGAGTTTTTTTTCACTTGGAGAGGGAGGTATTTTGCCACATTTTTGGATACTTCCCGGATGTAAAATGGTACGTTTTTTGCCAGGTCCGTCACTGTACATAAACCTCGTTCCGCTTTTTTTTCACAGATTTACAAATTTTACTTTAGACCAAAATTATGTGTCTTGAGTTCGAAAATCGCATAAAACAATATAGAATCCAAGGTTTCATCCTAAAATCGACGAAAATTTCTGCTGTTTCGCCTAAATAAAGGTGTAAAATACAACCTTCTTCATTTTCCAATATTTCAAATCCCTATATCGCCTTACCTTGCTTCCATTCGCTCCCATTTTATATTATCCTTGCTCCAAAACCCTTTCAAGTCCTTTTATATCCTCCAAAAATTCTTCGGAATGAAACTATGACTACTTGAAAGGACCTCTTCCGCCTAAATACCCACAATACACTACAAAATACACCTTTCGTCGTCATTTTTCGCCTCTTTTTTATCTTCGATTAGCTCCAACTTTACGGCCCGTTGACGCAATTTCAACGGGGATTGGCGCTTTTCAACATTCATAATTTTCAACAGTAACGTGCAAGAAATGAATTGAGATAAGAATGTTTCTAGTTGATAGCCAGAGGGCAGAGCTTGAGACGAGTTTGGGGAATGGCCAAAAAAAGGGCGATTTTTGGAAATTTTCGGAGTTTTGAGGATAAAAGCGCCCTTGGAAGGGCGTAAAATAGAACTCAAAGTACAAAACAAACGTCGAACCAAGTTTTAAACGCTTTTTTGAAAGCAATTTACTACAAGATTTATAATTTTTTGGCGAAAAAACCAAAAAAGGCCAAAATTTGGATAAATTTAAAAAATTTAAGAAAAAAATTAAAACTACAGTAAGAAATTGATAGTAAAATAGGACTAATGAAGCTTCAATTTTCTATAAAAGCCATTTTTGCGTTGTAAATTTCCATGCCCTTAGGGAAAATTCAATTTTTCGCCGAAAAACCGGCAAAAATTGCTCCACTCAGAAAAAATGTTGAAAAGCTATGCTACAGTAACCCAAAGCATATAAAATTTGAAACATAAGAAGCTAAGATCTCATAGCTTCTATTCAAACATAAAAATCTCCATAACTCACTCTATAACGACGAGAAACTTTGGTCATCGGTATCTGCCCACTTTTGTAAATAATCGCCTCCGGCTCTCGAATCCAGAAGTAATAAACGCCAGCGCCAACCATCAACGCCACCACAGTTCCCCCAATCTTCCAATAGAACCATTGATCCGGATCCATTATCCCTCTGAAGATGATAATTAGGTAATTATTATATTGTAGTAGACAAAAAGTGGTTTCCGAACGCGCTACGTCACCGGGAGGGTTTATTTGGGGTTGTAAAAAGAAATATAAAGGAGTGGAGAAGTCATATTTGTAGTTTATAGCGGACTGGACAGTTGGATCTAGGAGAAAGTCACAAAATTAAAAAAAATCTGAAATAGTTAATGTCAAGAGAAAGAATGGGTAATATCTTGAACAAAACCGCATGGAATCTCCTGATTTTTACAGTATAAACCATATATTTGGCCACCATAAAATACTGTAAATTTCAAAAAAATTCTTTGACTCGCAGCAAAGTTATAACAATTTTAGTTCAAGGTGTCTAGTCCAATATAAAAATTTTAAGAAAAACCGCTCAAAACATTCATTACAACTGCCAAAAACAAATATAAATTGTAATACACGCCAAAAAACGGCTTGCTAATTGAATTCGACATAAATTCCACGCTCTTTTCCGATAAGAAAACAAGAAACAGCATTTTCTCAGGCCCAAAGAAGAAAAAATGGTCTAAAATACATGAATAATACTATTCCAGGCCGAAAAGTTCCATATGCAAACACAAAAAGTCTTCCGCCCTTCATTGCAAACCAAAAACTGTCAAAAACAAGAAGAATTTATCGGAATTCGCAGGAAATAATATTCCTTTGACACTTCGTAACAAAAATCAATAAATTGACATTTCGTTATCACAAGAAAAAATTGTAAATTTTTCTCAAAATTTTCACGAATTATCTGACATTTCAGCGTATTTTAGCCGGTGCATTCTCGTTGTAAACTTTAATTTGTCGAAATATGAGGATTATATTGTTTTAGGGGTACTAGATCGTATGGTTGTTGGAGAATGCTTCGGTTCGGGTCGTTTCGATTAAATCAACAGTGAGTTTTTCGATTTTTCTTCTTGGTTTAGGTCTGTTATTTCTTTATGGGAGGCCCGAAGACAATAAACACGGTCGGTAATTGCTGTATTAGAAAATAATTGTTGATGTAGGTGATCAGAACGGATTAGCCATTTTTTCGAAAGTTCAGAGGGATTGAAGTCTGATGTCTTAGAATTTTGAAAAAGAGAGTCTCAGCTTTCTTTTTGCATACAAGACGCCAAGAATAATCGAAAATTAAAATTGCTACGACCATTTTTATCTTCACCTAGGTCTTGATCAAGTTTAATGTTCAAAAATTGACTTTTTTCTTATAATATTGGTTGATACTAGTCACATATACGTTCTTCAGGATTGTGGTCCGTTATGTGAACAGTTCCGCAGCCTTTGTCACCTCCAATCCGGGTCTAAATGCCGCCGCGGCTCCTCGATTTCCTCGACGAACCGCTCTTCATCGTCCTTCTCCGGCCGTTCAAGCTGCTTTAAACCATCAACGAGCGTTGATTGAGAAACACAAAGATGCGGTTGAGGTTCTCGACGAATCAAATATCTTTAATTTGACTGATGGGTAAGTAATTTTATATTTTTTCTTTGACTTTTAGGCAAAATTAGTGTTTCAATTTTTTTTCAGCTTGGAATTTTCATCCTCCGTCTCGTTCCCGGCATTGCGAGCGGTGAAAAAGCTGATTTCCAAGAGTCCGGAGAAGATTAACGCACTGTCAGACCAACGACTAGCCGTCCTTGTTTCAGCTGCGGGCCAAAAGTCGGAGCTGAATGTGGAGAAATCGCTTCGTGCGGGATATTTGAAGGAAATTTGGCCCAAAATCTTGGCTGCTGAGAGTGAGTCGATTTATTATGTGTGTATTGGCTTTTAGACTTTGGATTGGAAGCGTTGAATGCGTATTTGGAGACGAGTGTTTTGCTGGATGAGACGTTTTCCTTGACCAGTGTACTTGATATCTTGGCCGAGAAGAATTTGACGGCCAATTCGAAAACCTACGAGAATTTGGTCGCTGGCGCAAATGCTCAAGGAAATATTCAGGCTATTGTGTGAGTTTTTGGTTGGTTTTATGGCCATTTAGCTAGAGCTTTGAGGTCTATGGATCAAAATATTGGTTTAGGCAGAAAAGTTGGACATGGATAATATTTTTGACTTTTTTGCCAAAAATTGACTTTGACATTGTAGAAATTGACTTTTTAATACAATCTTAGCCCCATAGAGTATCTATTTAGTTATGATTTACAGTTGTTTTTTGTCTGGTTTGGGCGTTATGGCCATTATATTGTTTTAGAGAACCAATTTTTGAGGTTGATGTTTCATGATGAATTTTAGACACTAAATTTGTGTCTTGCAAGTTCGATTCGGTTTATTATAATCTGTAGACTCTTTAGTTCTCATTCTTCAACTTGTTTTACATTATCTTAGTATCAAAATAAATTTTTGACCAAAAAAATGATTTTAGGGGACCAGATGAGTGATGGTTAATATTTTGGCTATAAATCTCTCTGAGTTGTCGTTTTTTCTCCAATTTTGGATCTCATGTAAAGTTTATTGATCTTGCAGCGAGATCATCAAAGAAATGAAAGCCAACAACATCCCGCTGAGCCAGACGGCCGTCGAGAAATGGGTTGAGTGCTTGGGGCTGAAGGACGCCAGAAAAGACTTCAAAGCCGTAATTCAAGCCTTCAAATCGTCGTTAGACCCATTCCGTCTTTATGTATCAGCCTCGATTGGACTGGCCCGAGCTGGGAAAGGCGCGGAATGCACGGAGATTCTCGTAGATTTACCTTCGGCCGAAACTCGAGCATCCCCGAAAAATGTGGATTTAGTCATAAAATTGTTCAATTTACTGGTGAAAAACAAGGTCGCAAAAGCAGCAGAGATTGTAAGGAGGATTTTGAAATTGATTTTCCAACTTTTGGTCCAAGTTTTTTGAGATTTTTTGCGAAAATTTTCAATTTTTATCTATTTTTGTCTAACATAAGGTCGGAAATCCTCAAATTCACTCATTTTGAGATCGATTATGATGTTTTTAGGTCCGCCCATACCTGCCAGAAGGCCGATTGGACTTTACGCAGCAAGCCCACCTCAGAGTTGCCCTTATACAGGCGTTGAAAAACAAAGTTCCGGCCGAAAACACGGCTCAGATTATTGAATTGGTCCGGGAAGATAAAGCAGTCCGATATAGTCTGATAAATCACTCTTATCGGTATTTTTTGGAGACATATGAACACGCTTTGGCTCACGGATTAGATGTAAGCTCGATTTTTTTCTTGATTTTTTAAAATTTTTTGGGATTTTTGGCGATTTTTTTGGATTTTTTGATGATTTATGGGGGTTTTACGGGAAATACGGGTATTTTATTGAATTAGAAGTGATTTCAGACCTTTTCAGATATAAATTTCGTAGAATTTGATATAGTTTTACCTAGTGTAATATAGAAATTTTAAAAAAATTTCCCAAAAATCTCGAATTTTCAGGCCGAAAAAATTGTCAAGCAGCTGGTCAAGTGGACCTCAGTTCTCAAAGCAAATGACTTGTCGCAAAATCCACTGGCTGATGTAGTCCAACAAGCGATTTTGGAGAAAGTCCCGGTCAAAGAACTCTACAAAACCTTTATTCATTCCCAAGAAGCACAAGATTTAATGGCCGAAGAGGGCCAAAGAGCCCATATTTTCATACCGTTGGTGAATCAGGTCGTCAAACAGGTGGGAATTTGAAATCGAGATTTTTTGAAATTTTTTGGGCGATTTTTGCTGATTTTTGTGATTTTTAGAAGTTTTTTGGGGTAAATTGAGTTTTTTTTTGATCTGTTATGATGCCACAGACCTTTTAGAGCACTTTTTTGGACATTTGAAATATATTCTTAACAGTTAAAACGGAGTTTTTATCAATTTTTCGCCCAAATTTTGCCTTATTTTTGGCCTCAAAAAATAAAAAAATTTTTTTTTCGTGGAATTGGAGTATTTCGAGTATTTTCGGAACCCTCCCAAATTGTTTTCGATACCACAATTTTTTTTCGGAAAGCCCGTAATCGAATTTGAATTTAATTTTTGATGTTGTTCATGACCTAAAATAAGGTCTTTTTAGCTGCCAGAGTCAAAAATTGCCGATTCAACCTTCAAGGAATTGATTTTCCTCTGCAACTCGACAAGAGGAGGAAGTTTCTCGACGCTGGCGACGGCATTGGCTCAGAAAAGTGAGATTTTTTAGAGATTTTTAAGGAAAAAGTGGGATTTTTGAAGAAAAATGAAAAATTTTGCAGATTTTTTGTGATTCTTTGAACTAAAGTGGGCGGGGAATGGCATGAAAAGGATTTTTACGCGTAATTACGCCAGAATTTTTTTACTTCAGTCTGAATTATGGCCTAAATTTACAGTTTTTCAACCTTTTTCGAGCCCTTTATTCCCCGGAAATCGACCGTAAACGCACTGTGCAGAGGACCGAAAAATTGCCTCAGGCCACTAAAAAATGCATGAAAATTGACGGCTTATGCCCTTTTGTGGCGCTCCGTTAACGCGTTTAATCACCAATTTCCACCCAAATTCTGGGGATAAATTTGAGAAAAAATGGGAAATATCCCCCCTTTCGGATGGGTTTTGGGAATGAATTTGGCCGAATTTTAGATGACATGGGTCTGTAAGAGATGGTAAAGGAGTGGGTTTGCAAGTTTGAGGGGAGTTTGGAGATCTTTTGCCGGGTTTTGTGATAGTTTAGGCTATTTTTTTTTGAAAAAAAAGAAAGATTTTAGGGTTTTTGGCAAATTTTTTTGTTTTAATGTGGTTTGAAGGCTAGTTTATGACGTATCTTGTGATATAGATGATTTGTTTTTAAGAAAAAAGCGATTTTTTGCCGGAAATTTTGCATTTTTATATTGTTTTAGGGGCTTGACCCCGGTTTTTATCGAAAAATCTCGATTTTTGAATGAATTATTTAGCGGAGAGGTGTTGAATAGCATTTTTATTAAAGATAAAGACACGACATGGCTTGTTGATAAAAAATTTTGAACGTTTTTAGACGATTTTTAAAATTTTTAGCCATTTTTGTCATGGGTAATATCAAAAAGAAGAAGTGTTTTTTTGACAAGGAAAGTACCTCAATGGGGCATGGAGTTACAGATCGAGACATTTATCAAAAGATTCGCAAAATTTTTCTGGTTCAGAATATGTAAAAATTAGCTGCACAATTTTGATTTGTAAGGGCGAAAAAATCCTCAAAACGTTTCTCGCAACACCACGAAAATGCCTTTTTGACCAAGTTTTTACCAAGCCAAAAGCTTTGTTTTGAGCTAAAGTAAACCTGGCGTCTGGAGAAACAATATCAAATTTTGTTAATACTACGACTTAATCGACCATGAAATGGCGTAATATTAATAAAATTTGATATTTGTAAGGCTTGTCGAGATACCAGAGTTTACTTTAGCTCAAAACAAAGATTTTGAATTTTTAAAAACTTGGTCAAAAGGTGTTTGCGTGGTGTTGCTAGAACAGTTCTGGAGTTTTTTGCCCCTACAATCCAAAATTGGGCAGCTAAGTTTTACATATTCTGAATCAGAAAGTTTTTGCCATTCTTTTGATATATGTCTAGACCTGTAACTGCATACCCCATTGAAGTACTTTCCTTGTCAAAAAAACTTCTTTTTTTGATATTACCCATGACAAAAATGACTAAAAATTGCAAAAATCGTCTAAAAATCTTCAAAATGTTTTATCAACAAGCCATGTTGTGGCTCTATCTTTCATAAAACTGCTATTCAACACCTCTCTGCTAAATAACTTATTTAAAAATCGAGATTTTTCTATAAAAACCAGACTCAGCCCCTAAAACAATATAAAAATGCAAAATTTCTTTCAAAAAATCGCTTTTCCTTAAAAGCACAGCATCTACATCACATGATACGTCATAAACTAGCTTTCAGACCACATTAAACAAAAGAAAATGTTAAAAACCACACTTTTCTGGTTAAAAATGCCGATTTTGTCATGGGTAATATCAAGAAACTTTTTTTTTGGTATTTTTTGTCACCACTGATTCCCTCACTTTTACTTCCGGCTATAAAACCTCCGTTCGGCGCTGTTTGTTTTCCCCGCTTACCCAAATTGATTCGGCCAAATTTAGGGTTTTTAGAGGCCACGCGGCCAACACTTTTAATGGACCCCCGGAATTACCCGCTATCCCAGAAAATTGAAACGGATTTTTTCGGGTAATTTTCGAGTGTTTTCGGAGTGTTTTTGGCCAGACAATTTTTGGGATTCTTTGAAGGGGAAATTGAGCGTGTATTGGACTAGACAGATCGAAGATTTTTGGTCGCTGGAATTGAGTTTGACGTGGAATTGAGGTTGTATTAGTTTTAAACAGCTGAGAGATATTCTAATCGTATTTTAAAAATGATTTTGATATCGAATATGTCATGATTTTGAATGAAAATGAAATTTTTTATGAAATTTTGGGATTTTTTCGGAATTTTGGTTAAACCAGGGGGAAATATCGCTATAATTGGCTGAATATGGGTTGGAAAACAGAGGAAGGGGAAGAAGGCGTATTTTAAAAATCATTTTGGTTACATCCGATGCTTAGTTTCAGCAGAAAATGAACTTTTTTGGGGGGAATTTGGGGGTTTTTTTGATTTTTTTGGCGAGAATGAAAAAAAATTTTTTTAATAGGGATGTGTATGGTAAGAAACAGCGAGTATATGGTCCTTAGAATAATTTAGAATCGATTTTGATTTCAAATATTTTTTGGAGTCCGGCCGAAAACGGGATTTTTTGAAATTTTCTCTATTTTTTGACATTTTTTTTTATTTTTTTTACTTTAATTTTTTTCCATAGGCGGTAATGTAGAACATACCAATTTTCGAGCCTTTCCAGGTGTCCCATACATCAAATCAGTCCTAAATTCCATCGAAAATAACAGTTTTTTGGTCACCGAAATCGTCGGAGTCATGCTTTCGAATGAACAATTGGACCGACTCAGCGAACTCATGACGACGTAAGTGCCGCGTTTTTTGCCAGTTTTTTTGTTTTTTTTCAGAAAGTTGGAGACAGAAAAGGACGTCAGAATCATGATAAATCGAGTGATAAACCCGATTATGAGGAATTTGAAGTCCAATAAATTTAATGAAGAAGATTTGCCGGCAATCTCCAAAGTCATCGCTAATGGATTTAATGGTAAGCAGTAGAAGAAGGGAAAAGTTTTTTGAGAGGTTTTTATGCAATTTGGATACTGGGGTTGACCCGATATTAGACTAGACAAAAATAGCCAAAGTGATGACAAAAAACGTTGAAAAGTCTTGAATTTTGATCTGATTGTAGTGATTTGGATATTGAAAATCGATTACAAGGCCGTGAAAAGTTGTTGGGCATAAGAAAGAACCTATTTGGCTATCATTTTTTGAACGAAATTGGGATTTTTGGACAAGCAAAGTACTTTTATGGCTTTGCATCCGGGAAGTATCAAAAATGCAGCAAAATACAAAAAAATGTGTCAGGACTTTATGGCGCGACTAGTATCCGGCTGTCGGGAAAATAATGAGCACTTTATCGCATCGAAAGTCGCATCGCCGCCGAGAAAATAAATTTTGTCGCTGAAAAATTTTTCCGATGCGACATTGTGCTCATTATTTTCCCGACAGACCGATAACAAACAAGGAAAAATCAATCGCAAGTTGACTTAAAACTCTACAGTGTCGGACCTGATCCAGTGGCAAAAAAATTTTTGCATCCGGGAAGTACCAGACAATGTGGCAAAATACCTCCTTTTTTCACTTGGAGAGGGAGGCATTTTGCCACATTCTTGATACTTCCCGGATGGAAAATGATACGTTTTTTGCCACTGGATCAGGTCCCTCACTGTAATTTTTTCTTTCTTTCAGCATCCGACAAATCGGCCCAAACGCCGGGCGGCGAAGCCATTGCCGCCATCCTTGCGGCCTCAACGATCGCGGACGCTCGAGTGGAGAAACTGATTAAATTGTTGGTGGATGAACCGAAAGTCACGATCGGAAGCGCGGAGGTGAGTTTTGTATTCAGGTGTAGTAATTTGTTATATTGTACTTGATATCAGATCGAAAATTGGTGATTTTTGATATTTAGAGAGGTTAGAATACGTTGAAATCATTTTGTATGTTGTCTTGAAAGTGTTTTAAATCATACGTTGTATGAGTTTGAGAACTTTTGATACGATTTTGAGTTATATTGTACTTGACATCAGATTGAAAATTGATAGATATGGCGTCTTAATAGATGAAAATTTCGGTGAATTAAATTTCTTGTGGCTTGATAGGCTGTAATTACTCTGATAAGGGCATTTGGAAGTAATAGTTTTGATATCAATTTTTAACGATTATATTATACTAGACGTCTGATATGAAAAGTGAAATTACAGTAAGTTAACATGAAATTCAAGTGGAATCAGACTTGATATAGGCTAAAAACAGGTTGAAATCAATTGGAAAGTGGTTTAGATAAAGTCTTGACACTTTTTTTGAGATTAGATTAGACTTTCCGTCAAACGGGTAGTGTAAGGTAAAATTGGATTTTTTGAAGGTTTTTAGGACAAATTTTGTAAAAATTCTGAGAGTAGTTGGTGAAATATGATTTCCTGAGTGTTTACGGCTGGTTTTACGATGACTGTGATATCAGTTTTTGAGCTATATTACACTTGACATCAGATGTCAAGTATAAGGTAAAATTAGGTTTTTTGTGACTTTTTTGAAGGAAAAGTTATTAAAAATGACTTTTTATAGGATTATCAAGGCATTTATGATATTTATAGCGAAAAATATAACAGTAGAACAGCTGAAAATACCCAAAATTTATGAATTTTCAATTTCAGATCAAACGAATCGAAGCCAAGCTCCTGGAAGTGAATCTGCCTCATCGCGCGGGCCTCATAAAGTACCTGAAGAGGAAGTCCACCACCTACCAGCGTTGGCAAACCACCGAGGACATTGGGGAGCTAGAAAGAGAGGCGGAAAGCCTCGAAAAAGCCGAAGATGTCCCCGCCGGCGTGTTGCTCACCCTTTACGAGGTGATTTTGAAGAAAGCGGTAGCCGAAAAAAACGTCCCGGCCATCATGAACACCCTCCCCAAGTTTTACAAGAAGGAAAAAGACCAATCGGACGTGAAAATTTTCAAAGGCAGAATCGTCGAGGCCCATAACATGGCACTCTTGGAAAACATGAACAATGAAGCCTGGGAAGCGGCGGATTTGCTGTGGAATTTGAAGTAAGTGAGACTACAGGGCATTTGGAGAAATTTGGGGAGATTGGAAGGGTAGAATTTGAAAAAAAGGGGGTTTTTAAAAGGTTTGGACATTATTTTAGGTAACAAATTTTATTTTTTGTTTTTTTTTGAAAAAATCTTTTTAATAGCGGGGTTTTTTGTCGAGAAAATGAGTTTTAAACAGGGTTAGAAGGGATCAAGTGGGAGAATGCGAGGAAAGAAGGTGTTTTAAAAAATTTTGGACCTTATTTTAGGTATGAATTTAAATTTTTTGGGGTTTTGTTTACTCATGTAGCTCTAAAAATATGTGAAAATAAATTTAAAGAAGATTCACAAAGATTGCGAGGCAGAATACCATCAAAAATTCAGTTTTTGTCGTCTTGGACCTTATTTTAGGTAACAATTTAAAATTTTCTTTTGTTTCCACCGCGGAAATCTTGTTAGAATTAGCGAAAAAGGCTTGAAAAAGCGTTATGGAGATATTCAGAGATTTTTGGTTGTAAAATACGATGCATCAATGTAAAAAATTTTTTTCAGCCTTATTTTAGCCAAATTCTGCATTTTTTTTTATTTTTAGGCCTCTAAAGAACGTGGAGACGGTTCTGCTGTACGCTCTAACATTATGCCGACGAGGAATGACGGAGGAAGCCCATGAAGTCTTGAAAAATTTCAAATCGGCCGCCCTGAACTTGCAACCCAGCTATTTTAATAATGTAAGGATGATTCGAAAAAAAATCAAAAAAAAAAAAAAAAAATTCAAAATTTTTTAAAATTTTTTAAGGTAGCCAGCTCGAGTGTCCTAAAAGCGGCCGGAGAGCCGGAAATTGAACAATTTTTGAAGTTACTCTCCAAAGAATTCAACATCAAGTCGACGTGGAAAGCCCGACTGAAAGCCGAAGTAAAAATGAACAAACTCCGAGCGTTGATGGAGCAAAAGAAACTCGACGAAGCTTTCACGGTGTGCATGGAGACCTCCAAAGAATGTGGATACGCATTTGGCGCCTTTGAATTGATGAATGAGGCGTTACAGGTGGGTCCCGCAACGAAAAATTGAAACGGCTTGGCATTGCGATTTTGAGTGAATTTCGGGAGGAATGGGGGTCGAGTAGCCTTGTAATAATAGTGGTTCAGTTTTGGAAATGATATGGACCGAAAAATTTGCATATTTAAAAAAATTTGGTCCCACCGCGAAAGATTCGAAAAAATGATGGCAATGAAGTTAGTGCGTAAATTAGTGGAGACGGGCCTCTGTGATACGACTAGCGATTTTTTTTATCCAAAAATTGAGAATTTTGCGGAAATTTTTTTGTCTCGACACGAAAGATTGAGATAGCTTTGGCATTGTGTTTTATCGCTGTTTTCGGAAATTTTGAGACTAAAAAGGAATTGCTATGCAATTTTTAGGCCGAAAATCAAGTCCTGGTGAAGAAATTGAAGACTTTGATCATCTCCGTGGAGGACATTAACACGTTTATCATAACTTTTGGCGTTTGTTTATTGGAAAGAGGTGACAAACGAGGTGTGGACCTCCTGAAATCAAAGATCGAATACATACCATCGAAGAAACTAACGGAGTTGACACAACGCGAATTCAACTTGAAGAATCCGGAGATTATGCACTTGTTGTTCAACATCTTCAACAAGCCCGAAAATTCGGTGTTGGAATTGGAGGATTTGATGCGCAAAACGGCGGAATTGTATGGTAAGCGCAATACGCCGACTTATAGACGTTTGTATTTCATTTTTCTGATCGCGGGAAATCTTTGTCGGTCTCGCAACGAAATTTGGCATTGTGTTGTAAGCTTCGGAAGAGGCTGGAAAACTGCTGAAAATTGCTCTAATGGGATTGTAGCGGAATATTAGGTCTAAGTTTTTAGATTTTTTTGGTAAAATTGTGCGATTTTTGTGTCCCACCACGAAAATTGGCATTGTGTTGTAAGCTTCGGAAGAGGCTAGAAAACTGCTGAAAATTGCTCTAATGGGATTGTAGCGGAATATTAGGTCTAAGTTTTTAGATTTTTTTTGGTAAAATTGTGCGATTTTTGTGTCCCACCACGAAAATTGGCATTGTGTTAGAGTAGTTGTAAAGGCGTCGGAAGTGGAGAAAAATGAGAAATAATGGTTTTTAACAATGTAGAGGCTTAGTTTTTGAGATTTTTTTGATGAAGATTGATGGTTTTTTGGGTCCCACCACGAAAATTGGCATTGTGTTCGAAATGGCGCAAAAGATTCGGAAATGATTGAATTAAGCGAAAATAAGTTTGAAATGTCTTGTAAACAAAAAATTAAACTCAAAATTTAATTTTTTGAATTGTAAAATACGGATTTTTATTCAGGTCTTTGAAAAATCAAATTTCAGAGCGACAAAACAACTTGGACGGCCTGAAACGACTCTTTGATGATGCGAAATCCTCATCAATCCCACTGAACGCAAAAATCCGGGTACAATTCGAGTCTTCCATCAAAAAAGTAAGCATTTTTTTATAAAATACATCTTGAAATTTTGGTTTTTAAGAGTTTTTTTTTGTAATATTTGCAATTTTCAGCTTGAATCAGCGTCGAAGTCCACAGAAACACACAGAGAATCTGCTGAAGCCAAGTGAAAAAAAAAATTTGAAATTTTTTGTTACCCCCGCCGGATTTTTTGCAGTCTGGCCTCAGAATTTGTTAGGAAATTTTGTTTTTACCCAAATAATAAACGTATATAATCGTTGAGTCGTTTATCACATGAATTTTCACAAGTCTCAGGCATTTTTCAATATTTTTGACATTTTTTTGCATTTTTTGCAAAATTTTTGATTTTTGTTCAATTTAAGTTGATTTAACATGATCTCAAGGGGATTTCTGACACTAAGATGGTACTCAGCGACGAGCTCAGTGCCCCAACCGCAATTAGACGGCGTTTCGCGGATTTTCAAGGCGAATTCCGCCGAAGAAGCGGAGAAATTGTGGAATGAAGTGTAAGTTCGCATCGAAGTTGAGGCTTGATCGGCTTGTTTTTGGTTGAAAATTCTCCTATATTTACCCTAAAAGGGAATAAAATCTCGTTGAGAGATTACGCCGTATTTTAAAAACTTTGTCAGGGCGCGAGCTGCGCTGCAAATATGTGATAAATTTGAATAAAAAATAGTTTTTTACAGTGAGAAGAACTTATCTCTGGTATGGGTAAGGCAATAAAACTTTTTTAATACTGTTTTATCCCATTTTTAAAAAAATGTAGGGCGCGAGCTGCCATTTTGAAAAGCTCGAAAATAGGGTTTTAAAATCATAAGAGACGTTGAAAATTGCTTAAATTGGTGTGAATAGGGCGAAAAACTGCTTTAATTTTTCTTTAACCTCATTTCCTGAGTTAGTCTAGGGCGCAGGCTGCGAGGAAAAAAATTCGAAATACACAAAAAAAAGTGAAAAAGTTGTGAGAACAAATTTTCATGCAGTTACTAGTGTTAATTTATTTTTTTTACGAAAATTTTTGCTTTCTTCTGGGCGCAGGTCGCCGAAAAGTGAAAAAAATTTGATTTCCAGAGAACTGCAAAATCTCCCGCTGAAGGAGCGAATCAAAGTCGCCGTATATTTCATTTCCAAAAATAGTCAAGAATTTGGCCAGAAAATCCTCGACGAAACCGCAAAGGCCTACAATTCGAATTCGCTGCCCGAAATCGCCGAGAAATTGGAGAAAATGGCCAAAAAATCGACGCAAAAACCCTCGAAAGGTTTCTTCCCCTACACAGAAGCGCAATTACTCTCGAGCATACGACGGATCCTGGAGTCCGGCAACGAAAACGCCTTCGATTCGGCGGTTTCTTTCGCCGTTTCCGCCGTCAAATTGCGGTTGGCCAAGGTGGATGGAGTGTGGCTGAAAGAATTGGTGTTTTACAAGCTGAAAAAGTAGGTAGAAAATTCGTTTTTGACCTTTTTGAAGCCTACGTGACTCTATCTTGGGGGTAGAGGCCAAATTTTCGAGATTTGAGGAAATTCAGGTTTTCGTGGTGGGACCCAAAATTCGAAAAATTTTTGAATGGAATAAGGAAATTGTTGATTTTTATAAACTCCAGAGACTTTTTAAAACATTTTTAGCCAAAAAAATGAATGTATAGTTTTCGTGGCGGGACCCACTGAGATTTTTGTATTTTTTGAAAAACCCGATTTTTGTTTTGAAATTACAAGTAAAATGTAAAAAATTCAATAATTAGAAACAAGAACCGTCGTATTTTACCTCAAAGTTTGCTTTTTTTGAGTTTTCAGGTTTTCGTGGTGGGACCCAAAAAAAATCTTTTTTTCAATTTTTCCAAATTTCAGTGATGAAATCTCCTCGGCAATAGACGTATACTCCAAATTCTCCTCTCTCACACCTCACAGAAAGGTCTTCATCGCTCCAGTCTTTGCAATTCTCCAGAAAATCCACGAATTTTCAAATAAAGCGCAAAGAAAATCGAAGGAGTTTGAAGAAGTCTCGAAATTGAAGGCAAAAATGTTGAAGATCATCGAAGAAAACGGCTCGAACCTCCAGAAGACATGCCTAGAAGCGAGTGTGTACTTGGCCAGTGGGGAATCCCTCGAGGCTTTCGATTTATTGAAGAGAAATGAGGTGGAGTTCGGAATTGACACATTGGCGTATTTTACGTTAATTTCGAAGGAAACGCATTGTGTAAGTTGAAAGTTTTTCATCGATTTCAGGTCTTGGTGGCTTGGAGGGTTGTTTTGAGTCATTTCCCGCCAATTTTGGGAACTTTCAGGTTTTCGTGGTGAGACCCAAAATTGAAGAAAATTTTTGAATTGTTGGGCTTAAAAAGGTTTGAGATTGTCTCAGATAGTTTACTAAACCCCTGCGGATTATTTTAAATTACTTCCCGCCAATTTTGGGAACTTTCAGGTTTTCGTGGTGGGACTCAAAATTGAAGAAAATTCATGAATATGGCATAAAAAGATGTAAAATTATCTCAGGTAGTTTTATTAGACCTCTATGATTAATTTTGAAACAACTCCTTCCCAGTTTTGAACAATTTCATGTTTTCGTGGTGGGACCCAAAATCCGATTTTTTCCCTAAATTTTGTAGAAGCTGGTCTAAACTAAATCACAGAATTATAGTTCAACCTTATTTAGACGATTTTCAATTTTTTGCATCTCAAGTTTGCATATTAAATCTGCATTTTTTCAGCCAGAAGTCCTAACCCCAATTGCCGACTTCGGCCGGCGAATATTGCCAGATCATATTCCTGTACAGGTGGAATTTTACAACACATTGATTGGTCATTATGGTAGGTTAAAAAATGAATGGGAAATAAGTCAAAATAATGTGCTTTTGTTGGAAGATAGGGCGCGAGCTGCCATGAAATTTTTGCCATTCTCGATGCACAAAAAATAAATAAATTTAAATTGGTGTTTTTTTACACTGGTTGTCTAGAAACGACCTTAATTTTTGCAAATTTGCTTAAGAAATTTCCCATAGTTAGGGCGCGAGCTGCCAATTTTAAAAATTTGGATTTTATGTTTTATTATTTTTTGTTACTTAAATAGGTCGTCTAGAATAATAGCTTGCTTTAAATACCAAAAAAATTTAAATATTGCCCAATTTTGCTGAAAGCTAGGGCGCGAGCTGCCAAAATTGAGATTGTGGATTTTTTGAAATTTTAAAATTGGAATTGCCCTCATAGCTTACAACCTCTCCGAAAAATCGTTTTTGCGGTTTACTTTAACGATTTTTAGGAAAACGAGGAGATTTCGACCGGTTGAATGAGCTGGGACAAAGATTGTCCAAAGAAATCCCCAGATTCGAATTGCGCCAATTCCGGCACGTATTCTACAGAATACGCCACTACTATCGATGTGCCAACAAGCACGTCCCCGAAGACTTGACCGCCTTCCTGAAACGGCTCGGCGATTACTAGGTTGTAAGATCACTTTATTTGTTATAAACTTGTTATTTTCATCAAATTCAATACGCAAATTTTGCATGTGAGATGTTCCAGCGGGTAAAATACGACTTTTGATTGCATGAAATAGGACAAAATGTAGAGAGTAGTACCGTTTACGGCATATTTTTGTACTTTATTTGACGATTCCGGCACTTTCGGTAGATTAATGCCCCAATTGCCGCGATTATCGCCAACCCAAAGAACAGCATCCCGATGTAGAACTCGCTGGGGTCTGAAAATTTTGTATTTAGGGGTTTGAAGTGAACAATACGATTGCTTCTATTCTTTTTCGGAGAAAATTTGAAAAGTCATTGGTTTTTTCGAAAAAATTGAAATTTCGACGAAAAAATTGCTGAGTTCACAAAAAAATTTTCTGTTTCTTTAGCCCATTACTCTGTAAATTCAATTTACCACAATTTTATCGGAAAAATTTACGTTTTTATCCATAAAAAATCGATTTTCATAAATTTTAACGTTTTTGTCCATAAATCAATCGTTTTGGCGAAAATTGAAAATTTTTTGATTTAGAATAGTACTTGGGGGTCTAAGAGATATGCACATTACAATTTTTTATCAGTTTTTGCAAGGTAGTACAGTAAAATCTACAGTGCAATGTTTTTATAAGATTTGACGTTTTTTGTCCATAAATTTTACGTTTTGGCCTATAACTCGATCGTTTTGAGCAAAATTGAGAAGATTTGGATTCTAAATGGAAGTAGAGAGTCTATTGAGAAATAAAAAATAACATCCGATGACTCTCCGACGTATTTTACCTCAAAACTTACTGTGCAATATCATGTATCGGAGATGGAATCTCTTTTCGTAGGTCAGCCCCGCCAATCGCTGCTCAATGGTCAGCGGACGACAGGGTCGCACCGTGTTCACCACGGACTGAGTTTCGCGAAGATGCAGACTCAAAATATTTGAGCCCTGCGGGTTGGTGCGGGTGTCAATCATAAAGATGGAATTGGGATCCAAATTCGTCGATTCAACGTCAATGTTGAAGCTGCGGAACAGGATGCCCTTGGAAACCAGCTCATTGTCAATCAGCGACATGATTTCGGTTTGATGGCGAACTGAAATTTGATGACTAAACTGATTTTTTGAACGTAAATTACAGGGTGACCCAAAAAAACGATCATCAAATTTGTTTGTGTCCTAACGCGAAAATTTTTAGATTCAGGGAAATAATTATTGCACTATTAAATTCTCCGTGTTTTTCTGTCCTAGTACTTCCCTTTTCATGTCCATATCGATAGATTGACATGTTTTTTTAAATGTCAAAAGAAAGGGACTGCGATTTTCGGACCGTTTCGACAAAAGGAAACTTGTTAATTTGCTAGATGTGGAAAGGACGCTGTGTCGGAAACAATCACACGATACAAGTAGCTTGGCAACAATAGTCAGCGTCCAGAAAGTGAAAGAAAACGCACCGCAAACACTTCTGCGAGACGCGGCATCATTAACAACAAAATCCGCGAATTTCGAGAAAAAATCGCCCGCAAGAACGGTATCAGCGATCGATTCGTCTACCGAATAGCCAAAGATAAGCTCAACTCCGTACTGTAGAAGCTGCAAAAAGGTCAACCCCTCAAGGGCGGCAACAAGCGCGTATAGTGCCAGAGATGCCTGCAACTTAAGGGTCGGGCCGCAGCTCAGAGGTGTGAGCACATTCCTTTCGCGGTTCAATGTTTAGCGGATGCGCGACCACCAGAACGACAGGATCTGGTCCAATGAGGCCCCGAGCACATTAGCTAACGTCAAACCCCGAAAAAATGCGGAACGTAACCCTCTGTGGCGGAATTTGTGCAAGCGGCAAGGAATCGATGCTTTTAGTGGTTCAAGGGGGCAAAATTCTAGCTCTGCGTTAATCTCCATCTCGTCGTGCTTCCGTTGACTTAGAAGAACCTTGGCGATGCAAATTTGGCGTTTCAACTAGACTCAGCGCTGGCTCACAAGGCAAAAGCGACTCAAGACCAGTAATGGGACCGATTTTTCCGATTTGACCCACTCTGCGAAAAGTGCGCCTGCTCGCCGGATCTGAGAACGATGAACTATAATTTTTTTTTCAATTGGAGGGCAGTACCTGTACTACACGTCACAAAAGTTTGGAGTCACTGAGTGATCGCTGCGCTGAGAACGGGAACGATTTCCCCGAAAAAAGCTGCGGCCCCGAGCCCAAAATTTTAAGTTACGTTTGGCGCTCTATATCGCCGCCAAGTGCTGCTGCTTTGAAACTAGCTTAGTACTTGATCACCAGGTTTGTTGTTTATCGTTTGAATTCATAAATTTGTGCTTGTACCGAAAAACAAACTTTTTATTACGAAAAGTCTTGATGATCGTTTTTTTGGGTCACCCTGTATATTGTATTACTAGACGTCAGATCGAGAAATGAATTTTAGTGAAAAATCGATGAGATACAAGTAAAAATCGGTTAAAATAGGCAATAAAATATTTTTTATTTCATTTGACATAAAAAATTTAGGCTGTAGTTACTCCTTTACCGTATTTTAGAAGAAAATCGATGTTTAGGCCAATCTTTGATGACTTAAATCAAAACTTCAATATCTTAGCCGCCCTTACAGCTGGGCACTTGAAAATTTCAGTGAATACGACTCATGATATTCTCAATAAAAGCGCCTAGCATCAAAAAATTTGAATCAAAATTGAAGTCCTAATGTTTTGGCCCCGCCCACTTTTGATAACTAAAATTGCAAAGAATATCTCAAAGCCCATTACAGGTAGAGCTTTAGAATTTTCAGCGGTTAACAACAATCACATAAGAACTAAATGTGCCAAGTTTCAAAAAATTTGCTTAAAAGACGATTTCTGAGTCATTGAAGCAAGCCGTAGTTAGGCCAGGACATAGGATTTTTTCGATGTTGAGTTTTTTACATTATTATGACCCATGGCACCTGTAGAGAAAAAGCGAACCACAGTTTTCCTTAATTCTTCCATTAACTGTACTTTTTATACAATTTTCTGTTTATACAGTAATTCGTCATAACTTTCTACAATGGTGTCCGTTTGTCATAAAAATAAGGCTACTATGGTTTTTGGGCATGACGAGTTCAATAAAACCAAAAAAAAATTCATCCGGTTACGGTAACATATAAAAATACTGTATCGGTCGGTAAAAATCGACCATAAAAAGTTTGTTTCAAAAAACCCACAGCCAATTTTTTCATATTCGTAATCAGCGTAAAATTCTGCTCTAGGACCAATTTTAAAAAGTTCAAAAATAGGACCCCCATTTTCCGTGGTGTAGTGGTTTTTGACCAAAACTGGTAATCTGATCACCCAGGTTCGAATCCGGGTGGGTGCGAATGTAGAAAAAAGACCTAAAATCACTTTTAATGAAAACCTGAGAGTTATTTGAAGCACGCTGAGCAATTTTAGGCATTAAAACTCTCTGAATTTGGGATTAAAACGATTTTTATGTAATTTTAGAGGATTAATGCATCAAAAATAAAACTGCTTCAAACTGGTTGAAATTGATAACACTTATTCTATGGCTAATTGTAAGAAACTTTCCCGTTAACTTTTTTTGGTAGAATGCTATATCATGGATTACTGTAACATTAAACCCGTTTTCGTTTTTGGTATGCCACAGGGCATAGAGACTTCAATGTATCACAATTATGATAGGAATGCTTGAGAACACGTTGTTTATCACACAAATGTGTTTTCTATGTCCGTAGGACTTGAAACACGTCCGTTATAACGCGCAGGTTTCCAATCGATAATGATGTCAAGATGCACAATATATCATGGGAAATTCTTTTTTGAAATATGGAGCGTTGAGATTTCTTGCTTTTTAATAGATCTAATCAAAAAAAGAAAAACATTTACCCAAGAATTTTGAAGAAAACATCTGCTAAGTAGAATAAGTTTTATGTTACAGTAATCCATGATACAGCACTCTACCAGAAAAAGTTAACAGGAAAGTTTCTTACAATTAGCCATAGAATAAGTGTTATCAATTTCAACCAGTTTGAAGCAGTTTTATTTTTGATGCATTAATCCTCTAAAATTACATAAAAATCGTTTTAATCCCAAATTCAGAGAGTTTTAATGCCTAAAATTGCTCAGCGTGCTTCAAATAACTCTGAGGTTTTCATTAAAAGTGATTTTAGGTCTTTTTTCTACATTCGCACCCACCCGGATTCGAACCTGGGTGGTCTGATTACGAGTCCTGGTCAAAAACCACTGCACCACGGAAAATGGGGGTCCTATTTTTGAACTTTTTAAAATTGGTCCTAGAGCAGAATTCTACGCTGATTACGAATATGAAAAAATTGGCTGTGGGTTTTTTGAAACAAACTTTTTATGGTCGATTTTTACCGACCGATACAGTATTTTTATATGTTACCGTAACCGGATGAATTTTTTTTGGTTTTATTGAACTCGTCATGCCCAAAAACCATAGTAGCCTTATTTTTATGACAAACGGACACCATTGTAGAAAGTTATGACGAATTACTGTATAAACAGAAAATTGTATTAAAAGTACAGTTAATGGAAGAATTGAGGAAAACTGTGGTTCGCTTTTTCCCTACTGGTGCTGTGGATCATATTTATGCAAAAAACTCAACTTCGAAAAAATCCTATGTCACGGCTTGCTTCACTGACTCAGAAATCGTCTTTTAAAGAAGAATTAAAATTTTTGTTGGCTCCGCCCACTTTTGATGATTAAAATTGAAAGGTGAATATCTCAGCGGCCCTTACAGCTGAACACTTGAAAATTACAGGAATTATGACACATGATGTTGTCAATAAATGTGCCAAGTTTTAAAAAAATTGCATAAAAATCGAAGTTAAAATTTTTTGGCTCCGCCCACTTTTGATGACTAAAATTGAAAGGCACTTGAAAACTTCAGTGACTTGGATTCATGATATTGTCAATAGATGTGCCATGTTTCAAAACAATTGAATAGAAAGTAATACAGTAATTGCCGATTTACTTACCAATAGTTTGATTAAAGTTGGTCATCCCAAAAATATACCGGCCACTCCCCTCTTCGGCATTCGGCATTTTCTGGATGGCTCGAAGGATTCCGGTCAAAAAGGCGTTCGCCGTCTCGTTTTCGTTGTATTTGTAGTTGTCGAACTGGAAAATACAGAGTTATGGAGAGAAAACGTAAAAATTATGGATAAAAAAGTGAATTTGGGGGAAATATAAAAATTAAAGGTGAAAAAAACATAATTTCTGGTGCGCATTAAGGCGATGTAGTCTTCTAGGGTGCCTCAGGTTTTTTCAAAGCAATTTCGCAAAAAAAACATGATGGTTTGGGGAGTTATGGATGAAAAACGTAAAAATTAGGGATGAAAAGCGTAAATCCGGGAAAAAACGTAATTTATGGATAAAAAAGCTGTAAAAGCAGTGAACAAAAAAACAAAAAATTAGGGATGAAAAACAAAATCCAAAAACTCGTATTTTAGAGTTTAAAATCAAAAATATTTGTGTTGAAAATAATGTAAAACCAATTTTCAAGCCCTCTAGTAGAAATTTAGAGGCAAAAAAATTAAACACATTTCCAAAATGGTCGTATTTTACCTACATCAATATCGAAGTTGGCCGGATCCACCAACGGTTTTAATCGGCCGTTTTTGTCCAAGAAAAACACATGCACATAGCCGAGGTACCACTGACAATCCTCCAGGAGTATGTCCGTCAAAGAGCGGAGAATGTTGACTTGGCTGAAGTCGGCGGTAAACATTGGAACGATGGTTATGATCCAACGGTCACATTCTTTTACTAAAATGCGAAAAATTCAAAGGATTAAGTGGATGGGTTTTGATGAAACTTGGCAAAAATCTATATTAGAAAATTACTGGGACATGTGCGAGATTTTTAGCTTGCGCTTTGCAGACTTTTTTGAGATTTTTTGGATTTTTTTGTTCGATTTTTTTTTTTGAATTTCAGGATAAAAATTTGGTGTTCAATTTGATGTGTAGAATAAAGAACTTCCACAAAAAAAAAACAATTTTTAAAATGAATTCGCAAAGATACGGCCCGAAAAAGATTTTTTCTCTGACCGTCTCTCCAATTTTCATAATCCCTCAAAATTTTCATGAATGATTTTTAAGGCTTTTTAACAAATTTTGAAGTTGCTTTTTTAAAGTTTTTATTCATTTTTTTGTGATATTAAGCTTAAATTTAGCCTTTTTGTTGACATTTCTCCGCGATTTAGTGTTTTGCGTAAGCTAGAACAAGCTGAAATTGATCCGTTTCACACTCAAAAACAAAACACAGAAATAAGTAGTGACATTTTAAAAGTCACAAATAGTCATAATAAAATACGAAACACAACTTATTTTGTGAAATGTATAAAATGAAAAAATAATGAAAATAAGGCAGAAGAGCCAAAAAAATTTTTTTATTCCCAAAAAATCACTTACATTCGCAACTTGGCACACTTTTCTGGCCAAAAGCAAGATTGGCCAGGAAAATAATAAAAAATGATCGGAACATGTTCCAAAAATCTCTTTTTTATCGATTACTCATAAACGCGAAAACAATTTAAAAATCTCGTGCGGTTCGCTTTGGGTGTGAAGATTTGCATATGAATGCAGTTTCCGTCAATTGTTTCCCAATTTTTGGGGGGAAATTGGAGGGGAAAGCGAGAGAGAGATCTCTAAAAAGTTTTGGGAGGAGGAGAATTTATTTTTAAATTATGAAAAATAATAAAAAAACAAAAAGGAAAAAATATAAAAATTCTCAAAAAAATTGTCATCTTTTTGCCATATTTTTCCAAAAAATCTCGGTTATTAGCGCGCGAGCTAGAAGCCTCGAATATATATCTTACGTGGGAAGTGCCCCAAGTGCGACCCTCAGATTTAAATGAAACTTGGCACAAATTTCGAATATTTTTTCTAAAATATATTCGAGAATTCTAGCTGGCGCTTTGCAGAAATGACCGTGATTTTTAGATCGAAAGCCGGCGAAAATTTGACACTTTTTGCCGAGGTCGAAGGTTTCATGGGCCTTGTGTCCACAAAAAATTTAATTTTTCTGCACGAGACTTTCAAATTTGTAGTCAAAATGTGTTTTTCACTCTAACCGCTCTCCACCTTCATCGTATTCTTTCGGCGGCAATGATTGTTGATTATCCCGGCGGCGCTTGTAAAGCGCGCGCCAAAACAATGATCACCGGGAAATGATCATTGTACTTCGTCGGTGTACCATCTGCTACAGTGCAAGAAATAATGCCGTGATGGAAATAACAAAGAGATGCGTGAGATTGTTCATCCAACTGCTGCAGAATCATCCCCCATGTTGTCACCGGAAGGTTGATCCCAGTGCGTTTCCAGATGTCGCGGTTACATCATTTCGACCTTTCCAGAAGCCCGGAAATTGCGCAATATACTTCACTTCCACCCAATTTCCACCAGTAAGCTGCTAAGGAGTGTATAATTGCTTTTAGGAAACAAGTATTGTTTTCGCTTCTTTGGGTACTCACCACGGAGGTGTTCATGACATTGCGAGCATGTTGATCGGGGTGAATACCCGGATTGACTGGTCTTGTTCGGCGATCCTCATCAACTCAAATCACGGTTCGCAGATATAAACTTCGTTAATGAGGATCTCATCCATTCGACAGCGTTTGGCCCTGATGTTCAAACGATGCTAATTCGATGCGGAGTTCACCACATCGTCCTCGACGAAATCATCGGGGAGGACCAGCTCTCTATAACATGTTTCAAGAGTTCTAGTAAGTAATGATTATAAATTTATCTGATTCTTATGTGAAATATATTTAATTTAAAATTTTCAGCCCCTTCAATTTCGACATGACTGTTGCCCCACCAGATCGTCTGGTCCACCTCGACTTTAAAGAGAAAATGAGCGCCGAAGAAGGCTTGGACCCACTTCTTCAATTGGTGGAGCTTCGTCGTCCAATTTTGCAGGATTCGGTGAATCCTCTTCCTTTGCTTTTTTCGTTTATTCGATTGTTACTTTACAACATAAATGATTGAAAACAGCGAAAATTAAAATTTAAATGGCTTCTGCGCAAGGCTGGACCAATTTCGGCGAATTTAGTCCACCCTTTGGATGAAATTCGCTGAATCTAGTCCGCGGAGGCACTCTGGACTAAATTCGCCTGTTTCAGTCCGCACTTTAGGCTTTTTTAAAATCCGAGAAAATCTAAAAAAAATGTCCACGAATCGAAAAGGAATGGACTAATTTTTGCAAACTTAGTCCGAGCGGCGGACTAGTCAATGGTAAATCGACATTGCACTCAAGCGGAAGTGTCTCAATAAACCGCTTTGAGTCTGTTTGTTTTGAAAAAAAAATTTAATTAAATGAAGTAAAGCCTAGACAGTCGGTCAATTTCAAACGAGATATGGGATGTTTTCGGATGCGCCTCTTTCCGAGCTTTTATTTACCATCCGTCACGACGGAATGTGACATTTTTTGAGATTTCTGTATTTATTTTTTGGCTTGCCACGCGTGACTGTTAGCTCCCAGAGGCGGGGCCGGGGCCAAATTTGCGGTTCCCGTGCAAAATTTAACAAAGTCTCGCGCGAAAATTTTGGTTTGAGAATATCACTCGGACTTTGGGCTCGGGAGCCGGAGCCAAGAGCCGGCACCGAAGCCGTGATAATCTCTGGTTGTAACCAGCTTGTTTTTTCCAACCAACGCGAATTTCATCCGTTTGATCTTGTAGACGTCAACATAGTTTTGATACTTAATTTGGGGGACATACTGACTGGAAAAAGCTCATAAACTAGGTCAAGTTTTTCTGTGAAACGTCCATAAAAATGGAACAATACTCAAAAAACAACAACAAAATTTACTGCTTGATGACACAAAAAACATTCAATTTTTCTCATTTTTATTTTTATTTTTTTTAACTTATTAATTAACGAGATTTTCCAAGAACCATAAACCACAATTTGTTGGGTAGACGGCATTCCTCCTTACCGTAGGAAGCTTCTTATCTGCTCAGCAAATTTAGCTTGACTGTGAAGATGCAATCTTTTTCATGTACTTTTAAAGTGCAATTAGACAAACTACCGTTGCCGCGCCGAAAAAAACAGACCTTGAAAGACGGGAAATTGTTTATAACGCTGGATTATCGGCCAAATTTTCGCAATTTTAATCTTTTTCCGACATCTTCTTTTTAGATTTAATCTTTGACCTCGATTTTTTTTGTTTTTTTGTTCCATCCTCTTTATTATGCATTCCATTCGCACGTTTCTCAGCTTAAAAATTTTTCTTCATCATCGCGTTCTATGAATACTAAAAGTGGGAAATCTCAAATGTCACCTGCTTCAGATTTCAAAAATTTTTTTGACAGGCCACGCGCTAGGTTGCAAAAAAGAATCAAAAATAAAACTTGTAAGGGTTGGTTATTTTTTTAATTTCACTTTATTTTTTAAAAATTTGTTTATTAATTTCTGCAATAAATTTTTTTCTGAGCTAATTTGAAAAAAGTAATAAATAAAAAAAGAAAATAAAAAAATAGAAATAATTTTATGAATATTGAAATGGGAGATCTCCGGTGCCAAATTTTTTATATGAAATTTTTTTTGTCAAGCTGCATCCTTGGCAACTCGCAAAAAATGAAATATGATGCTTTTTTCAACCAAAAAATTTATTGCGAGCTGCGCCCTAGCTTGCGAAAAAACAATTAAATATTATTTTTGTTATTTTTTATTTAAAATTTGATCACTTGATCTTACAAGGAAAGTACTTCTATGGGGTGTGGAGTTACAGGTCGAGATATATATCAAAAAATTCGCAAAAATTTTCTGATTCAGAATATATGAAAATTAGCTGCCTAATTTTGGTCTGATGACATGTTTTTGTCCTCAGAAGTTTTCTCGCGACACCATGCAAGTGTCTTTTTGGCCGTGTTTTTACCAATAAAAAAAATTTGTTTTGTGCTAAAATAAATTCTGAGGCCTTGACAAGCCTTAAAATATCAAATTGGATTACAACTACACCTTAAAAGTAGTTCCAATGTAAAAAAAGGGTTCAAGTGTGGCAAAAAGATTCGAACCCGTTACCCACGGATTTCCAATCTAGCGCTCTAACCACTCGGCCACACCGCTCTCTTCCGAAGGAAGAGGCCGAGCGCGCTTTTGTTGCCGGAGATTTTTTTCCTCGAGAAATACATTTATTGATAAAACTCGTTGATAGACCAAAATTAGGCAGCTAATTTTTATATATTCTGAATTAGAAAATTTTTGCGAATTTTTTGATATATATCTCGACCTGCAACTCCACACCCCATAGAAGTACTTTCCTTGTTAATTTTTTAAAATTTTTTTGATGTTTTTGAATTTTTTTCAAGCTGCGCCCTAGCCATATAGAATAAAATTAGCGATTTTTTGTATTTTTTGAAGTTATTTTATAAATATTCATACCTTTTTTAACCGTGTTTTTTTAAAAAAAAAATAATTCTTTGGCAACGCTGAATTAATTTTAATTTTTTAATATTTATTTACTACTCTTATTTTTGTCTACTCCCATTTTCCTTTTTTTTATTTTCATAACAGAATTTGCCTTGGAGTTGTTTTGCACTCATACAGAGAATAGTAAATTGAATGAGTAATTGTTTGTTACCCAATTACTATTCGTCTGCAGCAAAAACTCCTCACTTCCTGCAAAAGGTAGAGAGGAAATGGCATAATCGAGTCTGTATACTTGGTCCTATATTTTATTATTGTGGACTCTCGAGGTAATGGCCATGGAAAAATTTCTTTTGAAAATTCGCGAACGTTATGCTCATTATTTTCCCTTGGTATATTACAGACAAATTATGTTTTTGACTCGTACTATAAAGTCCAAATTGTCGCTTGACAAGGGAAGTGATACTAGGCGGGCCAAAAAGTCTTGACATGTCTGCACAGTGCGCCGTCGTGCATGAAATTTGTCGCGCGGCGACAAGAAAAATTTACGGTGCAATGCGACACCGCACAGTGCAAAAAGATTGTTTTGAAAAAGGGTAAACAACGCACAGTGCGTTCTTCATTCGCACCCCGCCAAATTTTTGTCGCACGACACCTCGTTGCATCGCCGAATTCATGCACCCGCACGGTGCGAAAACATGTCAAGACTTTTTGGCCCGCCTAGTACAAGTGCGATGCTCAAATTTTGAAGAAATTTGGCAAAAAATTAGAGTAATATTTTCTACGACGTATGCGAGAATCTTAGCTTGCGTCTTGCAAAAACGATCAATAGTTTTAGATCGAAAGTTGGCAAGAAATGAAAGTTTTTTTGCAAATTTTGGCACGGAAAGATGGCTGAGTCTATTTCGACCATAGAGGGTGATATTTCCACAAAAAAAATCAATTTTTCCACGAAAAACCGGCAAAGATACAGCCAAAAAGTGTTTTTTCTCTGACCGCTCTTCGCATGCCGCATACTCTTTCGTTGGCAAAAATTGTTGAATATCTCGGCTCTCCCTGCAAAGCGCGGGCTAAAACTTTCAGGAATTGAAACTTGGCCTATGGCTGAAATATGGGTAAAATAAAAAATAAATATTTTGCGATTCTTATTAGGTTGTTCAGAAAGTTCGGTCGTTTTTTCCATTGCTTTGTTTTACAAAGATTTTTTATTGTTTCCCAATTTTATTTTACAGCTTTTTCTCCTCTACAAAACTGTGTTTTTAGTTTTCTATGAAAAAGTAATTTTTTATTATTTTTCGGGCTCAAAGGTGAACCCTCCAGGTTCACTTTGAAAAACAACCTAATATTTTTCAATGCAATCATTAATTTCATCTCTAATTACAATATTCAGAATGCTTCTTTTCAAGTAAAATTCATTGTCTTAACTATATTTACACTCCGTAATCCCTTTGCTCTTTAATTTTTTTGGACTCATTGATATTCCACATCGGATTATCAAAAATTAAAAATCCCGTTCTCAGAACTTGCCCAACTCTCAGGCTCTTAAAAAAATAAAAAATGTAGTTTTCATCCTACATTTTTTACCTTCTTTCGGAAAGTTTTCACACACGTTTTTTTCGTTTTAAGAAGATGAAAAATTACTTTTTAAAAAATCTTGGAAGAAAACATATTTTTTTTATATGAGGAGTGCTGCAAGTGCAACGTTCAGATTCTCTTTAAATTTCGCATACATATTTGGTATAGATCAAATATCAATTTCTGTAAGTTTTAGCTCACGCTTTGCAGGGAGAGCCGAGATATTCAACGATCTTTAGGGCCGAGAGAGTACGCGAAATGTGGAGAGTGGTCAGAGAAAAGACACTTTTTGGTGGTATCTTTGCCAGTTTTTCGTGGAAAAAATTGATTTTTTTTGTGGAGATATCACCCTCTATGGTTGAAATAGACTCAACCATCTTTCTGTGCCAAAATTTGTAAAAATTTTTCATTTCTTGCTGTCACGACTTGGCGTGCGAATTTGCATATTCCCACGGAATGACCGACGAATTGGTATAAAAGGAAGAGAAATCGCCCAATCAAGAAGTATTATTTTGTTTCCGTCTTTTCCCGGTTGTATGTTGTTTGGAGCAATAAACCGTCGTATTTATACTGTTGTCTATTATTGATTTGTCTATGGTCAACTCTTGTGTTCGTGGAGTCAATTATTGTGAGTTCATTAGTGAAGTTGTTTCCTGAGTTTAGTTAGTCGCTTGCCTAAGTTTGTGTAGTCGTTTGTTTGTATAGTATTGTTCGAGCTTGGAATCAGAAATAGCAACTAGAACAGGGACCCTTTATACATGTGCTCTCACTGAACTCGTGAAATTGCCAACTTTCGACCTAAAAATATTGATCGTTTTTGCAAGACGCAAGCTAAGATTCTCGCATACGTCTTCGAAGATATTACTCTAATTTTTTGCCAAATTTCTTCAAAATTTGAGCGTCACACTTGTATCACTTTCCTTGTCCAACGACAATTTGGAATTTATAGTACGAGTCAAAAACATAATTGTCTGTAATATACCATATAATTTTCTCAAAAACATGACTTTTGAAGTCATAATTGTGGGGATGGCAGATGTTAT